CCACCCCCACCCCCGCTGTGTGTGGGTGTGGACCCTTGAACCTCATAAGGGGAGGCACCACCCACTAGCCGGAACCCCCTGGGTGGACTTGCAGGGGGCATTAACATCTATCTCAACATCTTTACACACTCCATCCTCAAGGTCGTGTATTGAATAGCAGCCCAGCTGCTGTGTGAACAAGGAAGAGAAGTAGCCTTGCTGAGGTCCAATCATGCTACCCTCCCAAACACATACACATGTGTATGTATACACACACACACACACACACACACACACACACACACACACACACACACACGGGAACACTAGGCCCTCCCCCCGCCCAAATCACATGATACCATAGTACCCACTCTTGTCTTCCAGGGAATCTTTGAGCATGCTAAGTGGCATTTAATTTTCTTTCTGTCAACTGTTCTGAAGGCTGTCACAAAAAGATATGGTAGCTGGGTAAACCTGACCCTCAGAAGCTTAATCCTGGAGACTGGAGAGGAGAACCGTTTGTGCAGATGTAACAGTTTCTCACCAGCCACAGCCCAGGAGGGTGGGGGTGAGGCTGTAATATCAAGGTGAGCTGTTGCCATGGGGGATACCTGGGTCTGGCCCCAAGGGAGTAGGAGCTGAGCATCTGGAAGGTGGGCTGCATTTACGTTGAGTGCCTACTGTGTGCAGAGACCTGTCCTAGGCTCTGCGGCTCTTCCTGTAGAGGAGACAAAGTCCCTTGCTTCAGTAGTGGGGGCTCCCGGGGTCACTTGCACCCAGTAGGAGGCTCGGCTCCTGTCACCTTTTCACCCCTCTAGACCCTCAGGGTCCCCAGAAACCTGGGTGTTGCCTGCCTTAGCTGGGGACTCTAGCAGGGCTCAAGAGAACAGAGGTTTGTAGACTGACTTCGGGGGTAAGGGAAATGGGTGCCTGGCAGGGAGGTCGGGCCACACACCCTGTGAGCAAACAAAAGTCATAGGGGCCCCCACAGAAACCACAGCAACACAGCGGAGACCTTGGAGGCCGGGGCAGTGACATCCGCCCTACCCAGTGACTCACAGTGTCCCTGCAGCCTCGGGGCCCATCACACACTGCCCCTGGGTCAGAGTGAGGTCAGTCAGCCAGCCAGAGGGTGACACAACCCCACAGGACAAGATAAGGGGGAGTCCCCCAAATGTAAGAGGGAACACGGGCTGAGCACTGCAGGTGCCATCCCCATCCCCAGTCCCATCCCCAGGGTGTAGTGACGGCCAGCTGGCAGCAGGTGCATGGGTAGTCAGGTGGGGGATGGTGATCATATGGGAATGAGATGGGTCAGTGGGATGTAGAGCCCTGGCTGCCCCATCAGAGGGCTGGGGGGAAGAAAGGAAGGACGCTTTGCCTCTAAGGCTGTCATCCCCATTATGCAGATGTGCAAACTGAGGCTTAGAAAGGTTCAGAAGCGCATGACTTCACCCAACAGGAAGGGTGAGGCCAGGACTTCATCCCAGAGCCTGTCAGTCACAGGGACAGAGACTCACAGAGAGGAGAGTGACGGAGGTGTGTGGGTAGGAAGAACTGGTTTGGGGTGACGTTTTCCCCCTGGAGTTGGCAGGCATGTGGGCATCAGGGTCAAGGTGACCCCAGGGTTTCTCCTCACTGAGAAACAGGAGAGACAGTGGACAGGCTTGCAAGGCCAGGCTTTCACTGTCTTCTCCCTTTTCACATGCCCCGTCTTCATCCGGGAGAGGGAAGAGTTACTCTGAGCCGCCACAGATGCTTGCTCTCTGACTCCTCTCAGTGCGTTGCGAATGCCCTCTCACGATGGCAGGAGAGACTCCCAAACCGCCTCTCCGCCACCCTTACAGACCAGCTCTGTGGGTCTGAGGTGCCCTTATTCTCATCCGCACCTACTTTACAGTTCGGGGAAACCAAGGCTAGGGATTAAGCGTTCTCCTGAGGGCTGGTGGCAGGAAGCCAGAGTAGTTCCCCAAATCAGGAGTCTTTCCTATAGTGACGTCCTGGACCCACAGTTTATACTCCTTGAAGCCCTGGGAGGAAGCGAGGCTGGGCAGGGGGGCCTTCTACGGGGGTTGGCGAGGAAATTTGGAGGGCCCTGTGCAGCTGTGAGGAATGGTACACTGATGTGCTCCTCGACTGGACAGTGAGGGCAGCCCATTCTCCTTTGTCCTCCCATGCATCTGTCCCTGGTCCCTGTGTGATGAAGAGAGGAGGGGACAGGGTTTGGAGCTAGTGGACTCCTCCCACAGTGCTCCATTTGAGGGAGCTCAGCAGGGTTGGCTGGGCTGAGCAGGGCTGGCACACGGAGACAGACATCCTGGCTAGGGGTGGGGAGAAGGAAGGAGCGGATGGCCTTTCGCATGCCTGAGGCAACAGGGGTGTCACAGACCCCTAAAACAAATAGCAAACCCCCAAGAATGGAGAACAGGGCCCAGCTTGTACCAAAAGGTGACGGCAGACTGTCTCATTTGGTGAAAATGACAAGTGCAGCAGAGACCAGATTTAAGTCCTTGTCACCTCAGTTGCATGCAAAGAGGCTTTTACTGTGCTAGCCTCAGTTTCCCCACCTGTAAAGTAAGCTGTTCTGCTCTCTGTAGCCCTCCTGGTGCTCAGAGAGACAAGGAACTCATGGGGACAGAGGGCAGCCCCAGCAGGCCCAGACCCAACTGACACTCCCACGTCTTTCTTGGAGTCAGGGACCTGGGCTCTCAGCCTCTTTCAACCAGCCATGTGGGTACGTAAAGGCCGCACTGGATGCTCAGAGGGTCCAGGTCCTGAGTGAGCCCCGGGAGGAGTAAGCAGAGAACGAACAGTAAGCTACAGAGGAGCAGTGGGGAGCACCGCAGAGCTGAGTCATGGGCGACGTGGCTGCCCACAGACAGAAGAATCCTCCAAGAAGAGCCAGGAGCCCTAATGACCCTGCCCTGTCCTGGTTGAGACTGGGACCATAGTGTGTCTCCCTGTGACACGTGCTTCCCTGGGCCATTTTAGAGCACAATCAGGGGACCTGTGAGGGACATCCTAGGTGAGATACCCAGAAGGCAGTTAGGATGGACTCGGGAAAGTAGGAAAGGGAAGGGCGGGTCCCTCAGCAAACAGCGAAGTGAGGGCCCAGGCTGTGTTTGGCTGTGCCGAGCTGTTGGCAGTTGGGCACACTGTGGTGGCCACGGGAGAAACTGGAGGGACAAAAGAATGCAGGGAAATGAGGCCACCACCAGGACAGCACTACCCCGCCCCATACCTACTCCGCTCAGGTGAAGCACCTGTGAGACTCGTTTCCAGGAGTCTTCACTCCAAGGAAACTCAGTTTCTCCATATGTAAAATGGGGACAGCACAGGGCCGGACTTCAAGGGTGTCCCCGTGAGTGGAAGTGGTGAGCGGCATCGGTCGGGCTGTGTGTTTGCTGTCTCAGAACCCGGCTATTCTTAATTGCGATGCGAATATTGGTACTAACGGCCGAAAAAGAAATGGTCACAGTGCATGTGTTGGGAACCAGGTGCTGTTCAGTGTTTCACAGGCTGGACGCTCATGACGTCCCCGTGACAAGGACAGTTGTCTGTGGTTTACAGATGAAAAGCCGAGGCACAGAGAGGTTAAGCAGGTGACTTAAGGGAAACCAGGATGAGAATTCCAAGCTTGAGGCTCTGCCACTGGGCACGCTGCTTCTTGGATTCACCCCTGGCAGGTTCGAGACCAGGTTGGTGTCCTGGAGCCTTACAGAGTTTCTGCCTTATGAAATCTGACAGCCAGGACATGCCTCTCCCTCCCCCTAGTCCTAAGCAGAGTGGCATGGGTGATCGGGAAGGCGTGGGGCTCTCACAGGCTTCCCTGGGAGGCTGGCTGGCTCTGGGGTGAGGACAAGAGAGTGGGGTCAGCCCCTCCCCTTTACACCATAGTCTCTGGGGGCCTAGGGGACAGATGGCATGGCTCAGGCCAGGGCCAGGACTGTCAGTCAGATAGATGAGTTATGAGCCAATCAAAGGGGTGGCGGTCGGGAAACCACAGAAACAATAGCATTGAGACTCGGAACAATGGGGGCCACGTGCCGCAGGGGCAACAGTCGTTTGTGGCACAATGGGCCACCAGGGGACAGCAGCCGGGCCAACTGTTGCCACTGACACGGACCAGCCAGTTTTCAAATGATTTCCAGGCCCTGTTTTCCTACAAGGCAACCAATGGCCAAGGTAGCCGGGGGTCACCTGATTGCGGCTTCATGGGCTGCCGGCCCAGGCCTGTGACAACTGAGCAGTGGTGGTCATGGCAACACTAACTGTGGCTATAGAGCACAAGGGGGCAGAGATGGGAAGAGAGAGGGTGAGCTTGGAGGTGACAGGATTGTCAGGAAAGGAATGACTGGCCAGTGGGCCACATAGGCACCCCCCAACAGATGCGGGAGGAACCTCGAGGCTGTGGTTCTAGGGCACGAGTCCCCTCCTCACTCCACTCTTCCCAAGGTCCGTCTCACATTGGTTTGAACTCGAGGGCAGGATGTAGGTTGTGGTCTCTTGGCCACAGAGCAGACAGCTCTCGGTACTGAGGAGATCGGGCTGGGGTGTGCTATGGGCATCCCAGCACAGCACACACAAGATGCCACCACAAAGCTGTTGGCCATGTGGCACATGGGACTTCAGGGATACCAGAGTCATCCTGCCCGGCACAGTTTTCTGTAGATACGTGTACTCCATGCATGTCTTTGTCAGCCTGTTAATGATTGTAGGCCTCATGGTGCTCCAGGAGCTTCCTGAGTCACAACACTTGACCTTGGCCAAGGGATTCATTGTGCTGAACCTCAGTTTACCATATGTAAAACTCCTTTTACATAGGCACATACCTTATTTCAAGTGTTTGGGACCGGAAGTGTTTTAAATTTCAATTTGGCGGTTTGCGGAGCCATCTTTGCAGAAGGACCTGAGACAAAAGATGGAATTCACCGGTGTCCTGTATGTCTCACATGGCCAGCAGGAAGGGATTTATATGCACTGTTTTCATTGTATCCACATTCGGAAGGTGACCCCTCAAATGATCCAAGGTGTGGAGTTTTCCACTGTGGCAGGATGGAGGTACTCAATAAGTCTGGATTTTGAGGTTTTGGTTTTTGGAACAGGCTCCTGCCTCCCATGGGTGACGATGACCTCCCCGGGGACCTTCAGTCGCTGTCATGGCTCACAGCCGTGGACGTGCCTCGGCTGCAGCAGATGGCAAGCGGGCGGATAGACCTGGGTGGCCCCAGTGTTCTGCATCCACACCCAGGTAGGCTCAAGGGGAGGAGGGAACCCCTGGCCCTGCCACTAGCCTGCTGAGTGGCCCTAGAGAGGTCCCTCTGTCTCTCTGATCTCTCTGTCCATATCTGTAAAATGGGGAGAATCCCCTCTTTCTGGGAGCAAGTCCACACTTCCTTAGTGATATGACAATGGGATGTCTCACACTTTAGCAAACTTGTGAGGGGCCAAATGCAAGCCGAGGCCCGTCCTTGCAAGTGCTAAAGTGGGGTTTAGATTTTCTGAAGGCCTAAAGCCTTTGCTGTCTGGCCCTTTAGGAAACAAGTGTACTGCCCTCTGTTCTAGAAGATTCTGAGAGAATCTTGGCACCTAGGAGGTACTCTGTAAATGACAGAGAATTGTAATCAAATCAAGTGAACTAAAGGCAGCGGTGATGGAGAACAGCAGAAAAGCCACTGCCATGTAAGAACAGTGCGGAAGTGGACATCAGTGTCTGGCAGGATGGCTCTGTGGGCAAATTTTTCTTGAGTACTGTGCACAGCAAGCGGCAGCTAATGCTTGTCTTCCAAGAAGGACCAGGAAATACTTTTTTGGGGGCAGGGGGAGTTTCGAGACAGGTTTCTCTGTGTAGCTTTACGCCTTTCCTGGATCTCACTTTGTAGACCAGGCTGGCCTCGAACTCACAGAGATCCGCCTGCCTCTGCTTCCCAAGTGCTGGGATTAAAGGCGTGCGCCACCACCGCCCAGCTGAAATATTTACTTTTGAGACAGTGTCTCCCTAAATATCCCAGGCTGGCAATGAACTCCAGATCCTCCTGCCTCAGCCTCCTAAGTGCTGGAATTACAGGCGCTCTCTGCTGTACCTTTGCTGGGAATAGATTGTTATATACTTTATGAATTAAAAAGTCTAAAAGTCGAAGCTATTCAGTACTGATGTTGATGGTGAAAACCCAGCCACAGACTGTATGTAAACAAATAGACATGTGCCAAAAAAAACTTTATTGACAAACTAGGTCAGTTAGGTGGTCAGTTTTCTAACTCTAAATCTAGAGCCCTGTAAGACAGCTATGCAGCACTGGGATGTTCCTGCTCCTCCAATCAGATTCCTCATCTGTAGGGTATTGCCAGTGGTCCATACAGGAGGCATTTTAAAGCTGTCAGGGTTTGGTACATGGTAAAATAAGTCAGGGCCTAGCAGCCTCTTACAGGTCACTTTTACTTGATTAGAGGTGGTGCAATGAGACTCTGTGATGGATTAGTAATGTCTGTCACAGACCCAGCACTGGAAGCAGATGCACATCTGTTATTCTTGGACTAATCTTTGGCAGTCTAGCAGAGCTCAGGAAGGAAGAGGAGGATACTCTTGTATCTAAATCTAGAGCTCTCAAGGAGCCATTAAGCCTTTGAGGAAATGAACAATAAATTGGTGTTTTAGCCCATAAAGGACAGGAGCCAAGGCAGTCTCTCATTATTGTCATTATTGGCTCACATTAATTGGAATTTTATCACGTGCCCAATCATGTGCTAAGCGCTTGGTAGGCAGCATCTCATTTAACAGTCACAACTTTGTAAATAGGTAAGGGGTCAGTAGAAATGGGGACACTGAGGCTGGCCAGGTGACACAGGTTATAGGAACCCCACCGCTAACCACCATATTCCAGAAAAGTGATTTGGAAGCGCTTGCTGTGTGCCTGGTCCTGGGGTGGAGGGTGGCCCCCATCCCCCACTGTGGCCACCATTTCCAGCAAACGGCTTTCTCTGTACCTTCCTCCTACAGGTGCCTTGGCTGGGGCAGCCGACCTGAGTGTGGGTGCAACCCCACGTCCCCTGCTCCGGGGCCAAGCTGCCATGGCCCCCAGAGGCATGCTGGGCTTGGGCCCCATAGGCAGCCACAGAGCCAGCGTAAGTGCCACTACATGGCTGGGAAAGACGGTGTGCGTGCGTGCATGTGTGTGCGTGCGTGACTGTCCCTCCCTGACCTTCTGTCTCGTCCTCTCCAGGCTGAGCAGATGAACCAGTTCCCTATAGGAAGCCAGTCATCCTCGGGCCCACAGGAAATACCACAGCTGTACTCACCTCCGACCCCACTCCAGTTCCCTCTGCCTCCAGGGTCCCAGCAGGTACCACAGGCTCAGAGACAGACTATCCTGAATTCACTTGCTTGTACCCCAGGCTCCCACGCATAAGATCTCCTCCATGCCTGTGCCATTGGCACTGTTCATGCCTTGCTGGGGACACCGGAGCATCTCCTGTGTTGAAATCCCTGCAGTTAGAAACTGGGCTGGGGTTTGTGAGTCACCTCTGCTCTGTCTCACCTCCATTCTCTCTCTGCTGCCTGGCCCTGCCCCTTCCTGTGAAGTGCCCTCCTGCAGGCCTCTATGGCTCCCCATTTGCAGCACGGCCTTCCTACCCACAAGCCCACATGACCGCACATCCATCTCAGGAGCTGCACCCCAAACACTACCCCAAACCCATCTACTCCTACAGGTGAGGTCTGACGACCCAGAAGGAGGGCACAGGGGCTGCCACCGGGGCACCTTAGGCAGATAGGAAAGGTGACCTGGCTCCCCAGGGATCCCCCAGGTGGGACCCACTCTTGGGAGGGACTGGCATGCGGTCAGCTGACCCTGCATCAGACTGGTTCTCCATCCTCACGGGCTGGATGGCTTGGCCCCTGTGAGCCTGTTTCTTCTGATTAAAAAGTCAGTTGCAGAAATGGGGGTGTGTGCCTTGGGCTTTGGGGGGTGGGGTCGGGGAGGGAGCATCTTGGATGAAGTCTAAAAGCCCATGGGAGTGGGGTCAAAGGGCAAGAGTGATTTCTCAGCTCACACAGTGGCTGGGCTGGGAGAAGGGTAGGGAAGGGACAGGCCCGGGCCCAGGGAAAGTGCGGGAAGAGCTAACACTGGGAGTGTAGAGGGGCTGGTGCCAGCAGAGGGGGCCTTAGGCTGTCACCTGAGGCCTGTGTGTGGCCCCACCTCTGGTCCCAGCTGTCTGATCGCCATGGCCTTGAAGAGCAGCAAGACTGGCAGCCTGCCTGTGAGCGAGATCTACAGCTTCATGAAGGAGCATTTCCCTTACTTCAAGGTGAGGGCTCTGAGGCGGGGTGGGGGAGTGCTGGAGCCCCTTGCCTCTCTCTCCCCCGGCCTGCTAGGATCCAGGGCTTCTTCTACACTACACTGAGCCCCCACTCTTAGGTCCCCAGTTTTGTCATGCCCTATAGGAAGGATGGGTGCAAGTTACAAAGAGAACGGGGCGCCGGGCAGTGGTGGCGCACCCCTTTAATCCCAGCACTTGGGAGGCAGAGGCAGGCGGATCTCTGTGAGCTCGAGGCCAGCCTGGGCTACCAAGCAAGTTCCAGGAAAGGTGCAAAGCTACACAGAGAAACCCTGTCTCGAAAAACCAGAGAGAGAGAGAGAGAGAGAGAGAAAGAGAGAACAGGGCTTTTGAACTGGGTTCTGATGGATGAAGCGGAGCTCGCCATGCGCCTTGGTGTCGAGAACAGAGGGCCCAGCCTAGTTATTCAGCACAAACTCAGCAAGACAGCGGGATGCCAAGCACTTTCAGCAAGAGCCTTCGCTGGCGGGTTCAAAAGGACTTAGGAAGAACTGTCCATCGCTGGAGCACGGTTGGCCAATAGCCACCCTGTAAACTTCAAACCCCAAAGAACAACAGGCAGCTAGGGGTCCCAGATCACAGGATCTTGGGCCTGGACAGTATCCCGAGGAGAAATGCTGGACCACATGGGTTGGGTGAGCTGGGTCCCAGTGTCCGGTTGCCTAGCAACAAAGCGGTGAGCCTTTGAAAGTGATTTATTTGCATTGAATTTACTGGGCAGCTACATAGTCCCCAGCATCAGTCTCCCCTAATCCCTACCCAGTGGGAGAGGAAGAAGGGGCATTGCTGAAGCCCTGGGCTGTGGTCCAACTCCAGGTCCGCAGCTCCCAGGGCAGGGCCTCTTGCATGCCTCAGCCCCCAGTCTTCTCTGTCATCGCCACAGCTGGTATTGTAGATGGAATTCCCTATGTCCTGCCCTGAGAGGCATGAGTTTGAATGTATCCAGACACGTAAAGAATTGCTAGGGGAGGAGGGGGATCACCTGAGGAGTCTACCGGGTCTCCATGTGTCCCCACAGACGGCGCCCGACGGCTGGAAGAATTCAGTAAGGCACAACCTGTCACTCAACAAGTGCTTCGAGAAGGTGGAAACCAAATCCAGCGGCTCCTCCCGCAAGGGCTGCCTGTGGGCCCTGAACCTGGCGCGCATCGACAAGATGGAGGAGGAGATGTATAAGTGGAAGAGGAAGGACCTCGCGGCCATCCGCCGCAGCATGGCCAACCCGGGTGAGCCCCCGATCCACCGTTCACATGCACCCGCCACCTCCCTAGCCTCCCGGGGCTCCCTGCCCCTGTCTAGAAGCCGGCAAGTGCAGGGGCCTTGTGAGAAGTGTGAAACGCCGTCGAATCTGCTATCCCTGTGTCTCTCACTCCACGGCTCTAGGATGGTATCAGACTGGGTGTTGGAAATAACCAGAGGGCTGGAGAGATGGCCGGGTGGCTAAGAGCACTGCCCGGTCTTACGGAGGATGGAAGTTTGGTTTAGTATCCATGCTGGCCCGCTCACAACTGTCTGTAGCTCCAGATACAGGGCATCTGGTTTTTTTTTTTCTGGCCTCTGCTGTGGCACACACATGTGGCAGAGAGAAAGAGACAGAGACAGAGAGAGACAGAGAGAATGAGTATCTTATGTAAGAGCTGACCATGGCAGCATGTGTCTGTGAGCCCTGTCCTGGGGAGGCAGAGAGGGGAGGATCCCTGGCGCTCACTGGCCAGACAGTCTAGCCAAAGTGGTGACTCCAGGTTCAAGTGACCGAGTAGGGCAGCGGTGCTCCACTGAGTGAGAGGGGGTAAGGTTTTGGCAGGAACTACCAGAGGCCCAGCACAGCACTCATCCCAGGGCTCCTGGGCCTCGGTCTCAACTTGCTGTGAGATGCTAGGCCGGTCGTCTGGCCTTCTAGATTCTCATCTCTAAAGGGGCCCAGCTAGATCTTAGGCCCCTTATGGTCCAGTGTCAGCATTGTGCTGCACCCAAGGAGACAAAGGCAGACAGGAGTCATTCCCGGGGCTGGGGAGGTGGCTGAGTGGGAAAAGCACATAACTGCAGTGCGAGGACCTGAGTTCGGATCCCCAGAACCCAGGTAAAGCGGACATGGTAGTGCACATCCGTAATCCTAGCGATCCTTTGGCAAGATGGGGTGGTAGAAAAGGGTGTGAGCTGACCTTGGGAGACCTTGTCTCAAGAAAGCTGGAAGGCGGGGCTGGAGAGATGGCTCAGAGGTTAAGAGCACTGACTGCTCTTCCAGAGGTCCTGAGTTCAATTCCCAGCAACCACATGGTGGCTCACAACCATCTGTAATGAGATCTGCTGCCCTCTTCTGGTCTGCAGTCATACATGCTGTATATCTAATAAATAAATAAATCTTTAAAAAAAAAAAAAAAGAAAGCCGGAAGGCAAGGACCCACACCTGAGACTGTATTCTGGTCTTGACATGAACTCTATGGTGCACATACATGCATACTTTTTTTTCGAGACAGGGTTTCTCTGTGTAGTTTTGGTGCCTGTCCTGGATCTCACACTGTAGACGAGGCTGGCCTTGAACTCACAGAGATCTGCCTGGCTCTGCCTCCTGAGTGCTGGAATTAAAGGTGTGCGCCACCGTCGCCCGACTACACGCACACTTTTTGGAAAAGAGTGATGTCTGTGCTTTGCTTCTATCCATTCTCGCAGAAGGGGATCCAGGTCTTAGCCCTCAGCAGTGGTTTTCAGTGTTGTTTCTATACAGAGAGTCTCCATAAGCATTAATGACCTGGCTGCCTCACGGGACCTTCGTCCCTGCCTCAGCTCCCTCTTGAAGGGCTGGTGAGAGTTCAGTTAAAGTCTTAGGACCACAGGTCTGTGCTGTAAGTTCCTATCTGGGGGGAGTTCACTATTAGGAGTTCATGGCAACTCCCGTTCCTTGAAGGCCTTTTAATGGCTTTGGATGGCATCACATCTCCATAGCAACCCTGTGCAGAATGTATCATGCCATCTCATAGAAGAGGAGACAGTCGAAGACGGTTACTACATTCTCATGGGTGGTACATAGGGACTTAGGGCCTGGTGACCGCAGGGACTTCTGAGTGACATTTCCTACTTGTCTGCAGAGGAGTTGGACAAGCTCATCTCAGACCGGCCGGAAAGCTGCCGGCGTCCTGGCAAACCAGGGGAGCCTGAGGCCCCCGTGCTGACTCACGCCACCACAGTGGCCGTGGCCCACAGCTGCCTGGTCACCTCCCAACTCCCGCCAAAGCCACCGATGACCCTGTCCCTGCAATCAATCCCCCTGCACCACCAGGTCCAGCCCCAGACACACCTGGACCCAGACTCCCCGGCACCAGCCCAGACCCCACCCCTTCATGCCCTACCCCATCTCAGCCCAGGGCCTCTCCCCCAGCCAGCCATGGGGAGGCCCCCTGGGGACTTCCTCAACATCAGCACCGACATGAACCCGGAGGTGGATGCCCTGGACCCCAGCATCATGGACTTCGCTCTACAGGGTGAGGTGTAAGACACGGGGGGGGGGGGGGGGGGGGGGGGAGGGGGGTTGGACGGGGTTAGGGGCGGAGATGGGAGCCCAGCAGCACTCTGCCTGCAACCCCCGCCTTAGCATCATCACTATAACAACCACCCCACCTACTAAACACTTAATAAGCACCTGCTGTATACCAACTAAGCACTTCCTAGGCGTCACCTGCCACGGCCCCAAGGCCCTGCCACCCCATGTCCTCATTCCGCTGATAAGGACACTGAAGCAAAGAGAAGTCGAGTCACCAGCCTAGGTCCCCTGGCTACTCACTGGGCAGATCTAGGATTTAAGCCTACTATCTCAAACTTTTCTTCAGCAGTTGCTCAAAGCTATGCACGCTAGGTTGGGGGGGTGGGGGTGGGGTCACACTGTGGCACAGTGCCCCCCTTCAGTAGGTCAAGGGTGGGACGACGCATGTGCCTGCTGTGTTCCAGCCCTGTGTCCTGCCCCTCAGCAGGGAGCAGGACCAGGTGACGGGAGAGCCAGTCAATAGGTCTGTCACAGCCCAAAGGCACATGCCATGTCCCTGCTCCTCTCTCCCTGGAAGGGGAAACAGTGTTGTTCTCCGGGCTTTGATGTTGGTGGTGCTGCCCAGTGAGAACCAAATACTTTCCATTCATTATCCCTGGCCTCACCTGAGAGGTGGGTGTTTGGAGCATCTCCATCTTACGCTGTGGGAGGAAGACCAGGATTAGAACTCTGCTTCCTCTCCGCTCTTCCTAACAACACAAGGCCTCGGACATCACACACGATCTTTGCCCTCGTTCCCTAAAGAGGGGATTTGAACTCAGGGCTATTCGGCCCTTAGCCAGCTCACCCCAGTGCTTTTGTCTTTGCAAGGTAACCTTTGGGAAGAGATGAAGGAGGACAGCTTCAGCCTGGAGACGCTGGGGGCCTTCGGAGACTCCCCACTGGGCTGTGACCTGGGGGCCCCAAGCCTGACCCCTGTCTCTGGCAGCGGCGACCAGACCTTCCCTGATGTGCAGGTGACAGGTCTCTATGCTGCATACTCAACCCCAGACAGCGTGGCCCCAGCGATGGCCACCTCTGCTCAGTACCTGGGTACTCCAGGGAATAAGCCCATAGCTCTGCTTTAAGCCGCCCGCCGGTCTGGAGGAAAGCACCGTAGCCCTGACAGTGTCTCCAGCTGCTGGTGGACGAGGAAGTCCCAATGCTTAGTTCTTCTTGCTCCCTCCATGCCACCACCAGACACTTCTGGGGCACCCAAGTCAGAAGCATGGGGGGGATGTCAAGCACCCCACCTCCCCTTCTCCTTCAGGGCCTGAGAAAGGGGCATGGCCATGTTGAGGTCTGGCTCCCGGCAGGCACTGGGTGGTCAGCGGCCCACCTGGGGACACAGCAGTGTGTCAAAGAGACACAGGAGAGAAAGCTCTAAGCATGCATGTTCTCCCAGGAAAGCAACCTCTGCCTGTGCCTCAGAGAGTGGCCCGAGACTAGAGAAGGGCTTGGTCAGTCTTGGATCTGCCTTGGAGGTGAGACAGTTGACCTCTGCCATGGGTTCCTGCCCACCACTCCTGGAGTTTCCTGTGCTGACCACTGGGACCATGTATAAATTTATTTATTTTTTATTGTGACCCCAGCTGAGGTCCCTGGAATGAGACTGGGCAGACTCCCCACCACTCAGCAATCCCGACTCCCTAGTGACCCCAAGTTACATCTCCAGCCTGCTCAGGCAGACCCCGGCAGCCCCCGGCAGCCCCCGGCAAACCCCGGCAGCCCCCGGTAGACCCTTGCAGACCCCGGCAGACCCTTGCAGACCCTTGCAGACCCTTGCAGACCCTTGCAGACCCTTGCAGACCCCGGCAGACCCAGGTAGCCCTGCCATTCAGAGAATGAGCAAGCACTTTTGCTACTGGGAAGCACCTGGCCATTTTCCTACTAGGTCAGATCTTTTCCCCCGGTGTTTAATCATGGCTCACATCTACTCCTGGGGACACCCAGGAGGGGAGGTGCCGTAGCAGTGAGTTTGGAAGGGATCCCAAACTGTGGGGCTGAGAAGAGGAAGAAAAGGCAGAGACCTGTCTGTGCCAGGTTTGGGATGCTCGTGACAAGACGAGAACCTCTAGCCCTGAGCCCCTTCACCCTGCGCAGCAGTACAGCGTGGAATGTTGGCTGCCCTGTCTTGCCTGTATCTACTCTTATATTGCGCTCCTTGTTCCACGACTGGTTTTTCCAAGTGAGGGTTCTGCAAGCAGGCAGGTCTCTTTGTCTTGATGTTTGTCTGACCCCACGTCTGGGAGTTCACACCCTAGGGCCAAATGTTCCGAAGAACCAGCATGTGGGCCAGCTGTCTGGAAGGGCAATGCGAGCCCTTGTCCTCAAGGGCCATCTTTCAGGCCTTCCCCTACCTCCGTGGGTCCATCCCTGTCTCTAGACCACGCAGCCCAGCCCATCTGACCAGGCTTGCTCAGCTGCTGTGTGCCAGGACTCTTGATAAGTCATGGTGTTTAAGTGTTAAAACCCGCCAGGCGGTGGTAGCACACGCCTTTAATCCCAGCACTCGGGAGGCAGAGCCAGGCGGATCTCTGTGAGTTCGAGGCCAGCCTGGGCTACCAAGTGAGTTCCAGGAAAGGCACAAAGCTACACAGAGAAACCCTGTCTCGAAAAACCAAAAAAAAAAGTGTTAAAACCCTGCATCCAGGCAGTGCCAAGACTCTGTAGGTATAGTACCGAGTAACCGTCTACTGTCAATAAAGGCCGAACAGCAGCAGCGTGGCTCAGTATAGACGGCAGGGACAGACAGACAGACACACACACACACACACACACAGGTACACAGCACAGGAACCTGGCCCTCTGACACCACGTTCCCACTGCATCTGAGCCGAAAGGGGTGGGGTCGTCAATGAAATTCACATGGCTGGCATTTACTGTCCCTCAGAATGCACACTTGGCAGGTAGCGTCTTGGGAATGAGTTGCAGACAATTGGCAACCACTCCCGAAGCGGCGGCTCAGAGAGTATTTGGGGGTGCTGAGTCTTCCCGGGCCAGCTTTAGGCTTGAGTGTGGCTGCTCCACCTGGGGACAGTGTGGGGGAAGACTCCCACCTTTTCTTTCTTTCTTTTTTTTTTTTTTTTTTGGTTTGTTTGTTTGTTTTATTGAGACAGGGTTTCTCTGTGTAACAGTCCTGGCTGTCCGGGAACTCGCTTTGTAGACCAGGCTGACCTCGATCGAACTCACTGAGATCCTCCTGTCCCTGCCTCTCGAGTGCTGGGATTAACGTGCTGGCCACCACCGCCCAGCCTGACTCCGGCCTTTTCATCACCCAAGACATGCCAGGCCAGGGATGGTCACTACCATGAGCTCATGCAGCCCTTGGGGGGGCCGTGGCTTAGAAACTAGTGCCCGACTTTGCTGGTGAAGAAACGGCAGCTTGGACAGGCCCAAATAACCAGTACCTGGGACCCCACTCTAGCTTTTCAACCACGCCCTGAGACACAGGCTCCACCAACAGAGACACTGTGTCCCCAACCACTCCTGTGACTCGTTGATGGTCCTGCTGTCCCGGTGAGCCCAGTGAGACCCCTGGACTTCTGGTCTCCAATAAGGGGATTAACTTGCCACTTTAAACTACTACGTTATTGAGCTATAGAAAACCAATGCTACAATGTTACCGGAATAAACTGGGGCTGGAGAAGCTACGTAAGAGGACAGAGGTACACCAGTGAGCGGCACCAGGTCCCATTTATCCACTGGTTTAAAGAGGCTCAAACCTCTCCCGGGACTGACTCCAGGGTCTTCAGAGAAGGACTAGAGACCTGCTAACCATTGGGAGTGGGCTGGTGGGACCAGAAAGACTTCTTCAGACCGTCCTGTGGTGTGATACCAGGCCTCCGATCTCCAAGCCTTTTAGTTCAAGGACAAGACAGAGACCAAATGAGCAGCCATCACGACATACAACAACTCAGTGGCTTCCCGCCCGTCATACCCTTCGGGCACCTTGTACCCTGAGCTGTGCTCACCTATCCCTTGGCATAGCCCTCTGCTCAGCCAGCAGTGTGCCCAGGGACCGGCAATACCAGGAGATGGGAACCATCGGCTTAGTTCTGGGGACTGTTTTCCCTGCTTAACATGCCCTTAGGGGGTGTTCAGCCCTCACAGGCATCCTCAGTGGCCTCTACCTTGATGCTCCCACCTTCTGGAGCTGGCCTGCTTCTCTGAGTAAACATGGAAGCCTGGTATCGCTGTGATGAAGACCACGGGCAAGAGCATCTCAAGGAGAAAAGGGCTAGACTTACAGGTCACTCCTTCACTGAGGGAAGTCAGGGCAGGAACCTGGAGGCGGGAGCCGATGCAGAGGCCACAGAGGGGTGCTGCTTACTGGTTTGCTCCCATGGCTTGCTCGGCCTGCTTTCTTATAGAACCCAGGACCGCCTATGCAGGATCACATGACCATCCAGTAGGCGGAGCTCTCCCACATCAATCACTAATCAAGAAAATGCTCCTCAGACTTGTTTATGAGCCATTTGGATGGGGGTGTTCTCTCGGTTGAGGGAGGTAGCCTGCGTCAAATTGAAGAAAAACAATTAACCAGTACACCTGGGCACTTGCCAATGACGAGTAACTCCCGGGCCCTTAGCATTCTGGGTAAGATCCAACTCTCAGGGCTGGAGACATAGTTCAGCAGTTAAGAGCACTTGCTGCTCTTCCTAGAGAACCGGGCTTTGATTCCCAGCATCCACAGCTGTCTGTAACAGTTGCAGAAGATCCGACACCTTCACACAGATATACATACAGACAAAAACATAAATGCACATAAAAATAAATAAATCTAAAAAAAAAAGGTATAATCAGAATAGAGCAATAGACCAGGGGCAATTTATGTTTTGCTTGGCAAAGGGGCTTGCTATGTAGGCTAGGCCATTCTAGAACTTATGATCCTCCTGCCTCAGGCTCTCCAGTGCTGAGATGGTAGGTATGCACCCTTATGCTTGGCTAACATGAGTTTTTAGCAAGCACCCTGCTAAATTTAAGAACAAATCTAAGGAAAGGAATGTGGATCCGAGGCAAAGAGCACAAGAAGTCACTGGGGGGCATTGTTGACACACCAAGGCAGATCCAAGGGCAGCAGAACCCAGAGCGTTCCCAAGCTCCGCCTCAGGGTAAGCCAAGAAAGATGGACTGACATGCCCCAGTCTCCTCCAAGCTGAGGGTGAGCCTGGCTGCCTCTGGGAAGGTCTGTCTCCACCAGACTGGGTCTGCCTTGGGAGTAGCAATATTGAATTGGAATTGAGAGAGATGGGAGAGAAGTGTGGGAGATGATAGGGTAGTCAGGGAGGTGAGGCAAAGCTCTGAGCATCAGGGAGGTGAGGCAAAGCTCTGAGCATCAGGGCCCTGACCCAGGCTGTTGGCTTCTGCTCTGTGTGAGCCTGGAGTGTCTCTCGTGTCTTGAATACTTGTCTCCCAGCTGCTGTCACTATGATGGGAGATCGTGAAACCGTTAGGAGTTGGGGCCTGGCTGGCAGAAGGTCCTAAGTGTCGGGACATGGAAAGTTCCTGGTTCCTGCTCCAGGGAAAAGTGGACATCCTTGGCCACACTTCCCACTGCTCTACCTTGCTGGCTATGATGGGCTGAAATTACAAGCCAAAACAAGTCTTTTCTGCCGTTTCTGTCAGACATTGTGGTCACAGTGTCAAGTGACAGACACTGCTGGTTAAAAGGTCCAGCTATTTAAAAGCAAATTTTTAAAAAGTGTATGTCTTGGTATTTTGCCTGTATGTATGTGTACCACATGTGTGTCGTAGCTGCAGAGAGCGGAAGAGGCTGTCGGGTCTCCCGAAACTAGAATTATATACAGTTGTGAGCCACCAGATGGGTGCTGGCCATCAAACCTGGTTCCTTCCAAAGGTCAGTCAGTGCTCTCAACTGCTGGGCCACCTCTCCAGCCTCCAGCGACTTTTGAGTTTAAATCACTTTCCGCCTCTCTGGATGGTTATAAATGAACCACGTGACTAAAGAAAAAAAAAAAAGAGACTCTCTCGGAAAACATGTGTGGACCTGGCAAGGATGTGACGGTGGAACCCTGCAACTCTGCTGGGTACCGAAAACCCTGGAGAGATTCCTCTAAAAGATAACAGAGAACCACCACAGGAGCTGGCAGCAACGCCACTTCGGGATACAGATCGGAAGGAATGGAATGGGAGATCCAGGATCGGAAGGGACCTGCTCTGCTCTCCTCACCATTATCCACAAGAGCCACGAGGCAGGAGCAACCTGCAGCCTCCCTACGGGACTGTGTAAACTAATGTTTCCTGGCTTCGTGATGGAATATTGTTCAGCCTTTAAAAAAGGAAATTACGGTGCATGTCATAATATGGAGGGACCTTGAGGACATTGTGTTAAGTGAAATAAACCAGTATGAGTTCAGTGATGAGGTTCCCAAATCCATAGCGATAGAAAATATGGTGGGGAGGGGCTGCTGCAAGATCAAAAAGTGCTAACAAGGATCAGGTTTGGGTTACCTCCTCTGACTTACGGGCTTGTGATGTCCCGGAGACGCCCCCAACCAGGTAGCACAGGCAGCTGCTTTGCTCCTGGTTGCCCACTAGGACCCGGTGACAGATCTTATTGTTGAAGACGTCACATGGAGGAATCAAGCTGGTACTGACCTGGCAGTGTCCTCCTCCCTGGCTAGTTTGGTCAGTGCTGGGGAAGAAAACGAAGCAACAGTATCACTCATCTTTGACCCCTGTGAGCCACAACCAGCCTGGCAAGATACCCCCAACGGCACAACAGTGGCGGGGCTGTTATGGAAGTAACCAACGCCTTTCTAATCAGATTTAAGGCATGCTCCTCAAGGCTGAAGTCATGCCCGGAACTGTTAACTGGGTCAAGTACCACGGGAAGCTGATAGGCCCCAGGGGAGAACCTACTTCTATCATCTTGCTAAATGGACATAGCATCAAACTGCCCTCGAAATAGTGACCTTTACATCCATGATGAGTACAGCTGCCCACCCTCACCGGAGACGCTTCTTTTTGCAGTGGGCAGTAGCCAACAGATTCAGATTGTCAAAGTGCAAAGAGTAAGTGACTGTGGCATGCTCAGCTATAAGACATCTGTCACAGCCCCTCACCTCAAGGATCATTGTGTGGTGTGTGTGTGTGTGTGTGTGTGTGTGTGTGTGTGTGTGTGTGTGTGTGTGTTGGGGGTGTGGAAACTGTAAGATCTACCGAGTAATAGAGGATTGTGGCAAACAAATCTTTCCCATCATGATAGACACGTGACACATGTGGAGCCCTGTAGCCGGAAATTTTCCTGTGTCCCACAGCCGCTCAGTCCCAAATAAACACACAGAGGCTTAATATTAATTACAAACTGTTTGGTCTATGGCTCAGGCTTATTGCTAGCTAGCTCTGACCTCTTAACATAACCCATTTCAATTAATCTATATTTTGCCACATGGCCGTGGTGTTACTGGTCTGCCGGCAGATATCTTGTTCCTCGGGCAGCTGGAGGGCATCTGCCCAACTCTGCCTTTCTTCTCCCTCTCTCTCTGCTTGGATTTCCCACCTGACTCTTAATTCTGCCTTACCATAGGCCAAAGCAGCTTTATTTATTAACCAATGGGAGCAACATAGATGCACAGCATACAGAAAGACCGTCATCCCACAGCAAAGCCACACCACCAGGTCTGAACAAGATCAAGCCAGTCAACATTCTGAAGGGATGGGAGCTCAACGCCCAACCCTAGAGGAGGGAACTATTGGCAAATGATGGCTGTTAGGGGAGGGAGAATCAGGACTTGTTTCTGGGATGTGGACTCTGGGAGGCTGCCACATTTCCAGGATGGCCCCACATCCAGGTACATGTGGATGGAACTAAGTGGACACATTGGGTTAAAGAGGAGGGGGGAGAGGTGGGGAGGGAGAGAGAACATGAAGCTGAGAGGGAGATGTGGGGGTGGCTCTGATAGGAGCTGGGGGAGAGAGAATGGGCGTGGGTTTGATCAAAACATGTTTTATGTATACATGAAATTCTCAGAGAATAAATAAAGTCTCTTTGAAGGAGTGCTGGAGGTTGCTTCTCAGCGTGAATGTCCTCAGCCCCACTACATACTGGAAACTGGTTAAGATGAGTCCCAGGTAGGAGGGAGGCCACTCCAGGCTAGTTCAAGGCTAGCCTGGACAACGTTGGAAAAGGAAAGGCTAGCACAGTAAAGTGTATGGTGTGTATTTTATCCAGACCACCCTGTGTGAACCTGAAGGAGCCTGGTGGCTCTGAGCCTGATTTTTTTGTCTGTCTGTTTTATATTTTGTTTTTTTCCCTTTTTTTTGGATCTAAGAACTGAACCCAGGGCCTTGGTGCTCTACTACTGTGCTAAATCCCCAAACCCCTGAGCCTGGGTTTTATTGAGAGAATGAGGATGAATGGCCTCCTAATTGTTGGAGCCCATTTAGGCTTTATCCAGCAGGTCTGCATAAAGAGGATGATTGGACCACGGCCCGAGCACCAGGTGTCTGGGATGGTCTGCACTTGACTGTGCTGGGGGAGGAGGTCTTTTGCTCCACCCCTTGGCATTTCTTTAAAAGCCCTAGGGGCGAGACCGTCGGGGCGGTGGATAAGGATCCGGGCCCTCTCGAGTCTATCCTGCATTTCTCTCTGTTTCTCTCCTTTATTTCTACCTAAGTCTCTTATCCCTCATTCCTCAAGAGTCCCTGAGGTAAAAATAAATGTGGGAGCTGGTCTCCCACACACCTCCATCTCACAGGCTTATCCATGAGCTACACAGGACAAGACCAGGCCTGGCATCAGCCAATGGCCATCTTGTAAGGTCCTGAACTGGGCTACAAGGCCTCTGTCCACACAGAGGTAGTTGGTCCTTTCTCCCTTTCCCTGGGGGTAGTGACTGAGTCCCCCCTAAGTGGAAGCATTGGCCTTGTCCGGGACCATGGAGCTTGCAGCGGACTGTCCACAGGCCAAATCATAATAACAACAACAACTAGGTGTGTGTCTGGAATCCAGCTGCAAGCTGCCTAGCCCCCCTCAGCCTTCCAGAGCCTTCTGTCGGCTTCTTTCCCTTCCTGGGTATCTGGTGACACAGAACGGCATGATGGAAACATTAACTGCTGCCTCTAGGCTATCTGAGGAAGAGGCTGCTGCTTGTAGCATGAATCTTAAGAGGTCTTCTTAATAAAAACAAACCCGGAGCCAGGTATTGGGGTGGACGCTGGAAGATCAGAAAAGTAGAACAAGCCACAGCTTCCTCGCCTCGCCAATTCCTCAGCTGATTCTGTTTCCTCAGACTGGAAGCCTCTGAGTCCTCATCCAGAATGAATCTCAGCTGAACTGCTGCACAAAAGCCTAAAAGCTTAACTAGCCAAATGCTTCTAGTTCCTGGTTTTCATGCCTTATATACCTTTCTGCTTCCTGTCATCACTTCCTGGGATTAAAGGCGTGAGTCACCATGCCTGGCTGTTTCCAGGGTGGCTTTGATCTCACAGATCCAGGGGATCTCTGCCTCTGGAATGCTAGGATTAAAGGTGTGTGCGCCACCATTTTCTGGCCTCTGTATCTGGTGGTTGTTCTGTTCTCTGACCCCAGATAAGTTTATTAGGGTGCACAATATTTTGGGGGAACACAATACCACCACAGCTGCTCCTCTTCAAACTAGGGAGAACATTTTTTAAAACAAAAAACAAAAACATGAACAGGTTCCCCATAGGCCCCCTGGATTCAGGCATCCAAAAATTACCAACAGGTCTGGGTCCCACCCTCTTTATCCGTGGTGCTTCCCTTTATGTGACAGGTTCTCTCTACCCAGCGGGGCTGGAGAACTCTGTTTGACCCACCCCTGGGAAAGATGCTGGACCGGATTCAAAGTAATACTTGCTGTTTGAGAGTCAAGAATGCGCAGTCCCTATGAGTGGATAAGCTGTTGTGAGAGAGGGGCCGGGTTCCTGCTCAGGGTGGGGCTGTTCAGGGACAGCCAGTTCCCAAGTGTAGTTCAGATGCCTGGATACGTCACATCCCTGTTGTTGGACAGGCGTGGGTTCAGGCGGGTCAGTGGGAAGAAGATACAGTGCGCTTTAAGGACGTCCAAGCCTTTCTAGTCGCTGGGGGACTCAGCCTCTCCGGGACTGAGCCACCCTCCCTCAGCCAAGGGCATTTTTATTCTCCAAATTTCCACTTTCAGCAAGGTGATTTCCATATCCCCAAAACATCCTGTTAGTCCACTTCCAAAGGGACAATGCCAAGTGCAAATTCTTGACTAAGGAATATCACAGTGTGCAGGACTTTTCAGGAACCAAGTTTTGCATAGGCTTTGTACCCTTTGGAATCTCTCAGACAAGATTCACAGAGCACAAGAGAAGCAAAAGGTGGATTAAGGCTGGGTGCCAACTCTCCTGGAGCCAGACCAGGTGTAGTTCAGTGGGAATTTTCCCCATCGCAGCCGGGTGTCACAGGAGGAAGGAGCAGGGCTCCCCCCAGTCTGTCCTGTGTGACCGTGGGTGAGTGTGTGGACCTGAGCTTTGCCATGCCGCCCTCATCTGATGGGAAGGAATGGAAACCAGAGTGTAAGCTGCCCTGGCCTCCATCCCTCCCTCCCTCCCAAGCAGTGCAGCGTATGCACAAAGCTCTCTGATGTTTGAAAAAGGGAGATTTTGAGAACGGGGGCGGTGGGGGGGGGGGACCTTCTATCCCCTCTACCTGTCAGGCTTTTCTGGTCCCCAAAATAAGTCAAGACCAAAGGACTTCCTTCAAAAAATAGTTTATTTTGCAGATCTCCTGGCAGCCTCTTCGGCTTACGCTGATGGTCAGGGCAGCGGCTAGTCACAGTCTGGGCTTTTCCCCTCGACACCCAGAGGACCTTGCTCAGAAGAACCCTTCATCCCCCAAAATGGCAGCAACAGGCCACGTTTCTCCACTCCTCCCAGCCCCCCTCAGCTGCTAGGGCTGTCACTGGCTGATGGCTAGACCTGTTTTAATCCGGGGCACCTCAAGTATCCTTCCTGGCTTGCAGACGGTTCCCTGGGTGACTCTGGCCTCAGCCTGGAGTGATAATGTCTTCAGACACTGCCCAGAAGGACAGCAGGTGGCAGGCAACTTCTCCAGCCTGTCCCTGGCACAGAATATCTCATTCAGACCCTGACGCTGCTGGGCCTGCAGGTCCTGGAAAAGTCTTCATGAGCAAATGCAGAGTGCTTGCGGCACAGTCCCAGGTCACCGGTCCAGAGCCGTTGGCTCCTGCCGTGGCATCAAGGCACAAGGTGAGGAAGTGTATTTATTGGTTAGGGGCACTGTGTTTAGGGACAGCTTCCCTGCGCTCAGGCAGGAGGGTACTTGGTACCGTATGGATGGCCAATGTGCAGGAGGCATCATGTGGGGTCCAATCCTTGCTCTGCTAGGGAAGAAAAGGCTTACAGAGCCCTGGGGGCTGAGGCAGTAAGACTCCTCCAGCTCTGCTGGATGCCAAGCATCCTATTCATTTGTCCCTTTACCTTTGGAGACAGCTTGTCCACAGGACGGTCTTCCTGTCTCACCAGGGCCACTTGGAGAACAAAATGTCGTTTTATTCTCTTAATTGAACAAAAAAGATGATTTTTGCCCCTGTTTGGCTGCCTAAGTGTCTGATAAGACCCTTTCTTGGGGGCTGGAGAGATGGCTCAGAGGCTAAGCACACTGCCTGCTCTTCCAGAGGTCCTGAGTTCAATTCCCAGCAACCACATGGTGGCTCACAACCATCTGTAATGGGATCTGGTGCCCTCTTCTGGACTGCAGGGATACATGCAAACAGAACATTGTATACATAATAAATAAATCTTTAAAAAAAAAAAAAAAAAAAAAGACCCTTTCTTGGGTCTCGTCTGGTGTGTTTTCTTTGGCCTGTTTACTCTGCTGAAGGACGCTGCTGCTGAATGTAAACCAATGTGCAAGTGTGTTGAGATCAGACAGGGAGCCGACACTGGATCCCCATTCCAGGCAAAACACGAGGAACTCGGGGTGCCCGGTTCAGTTCACCTCAGAGATGCAGCAGAGTTATCCACTGAACCCTGGAGTCCCCAGATGAGGGGAGGCTATGACCGCCTGGCAGGGGCGCAGGGGCCTTCTGTCCAGGAAGACGCTGGTCATGAACGGCATTCGCAGAGTGCTCGAGATCGCTTTGTGAATTTTCCCAAAACAAGCCCCGGGGTCCTGCAAAGGCCTGCCGCACGGCCATTCCCGTGGTCCAGGGTCCTGGGAATGGCCAGAGTTGCTCAGGGGGAGGCCGGGGTCTCCGTGGTCGACAGTAGCTGAGCTACCTGTATTCGCTCAGCCGGGCTGAGGTGCTGGCTCAGGTAGACCACACAGTCCATGGTCACCTCTGGGTTTTCCTGAACCAGACTACAGGGAAGGGAAGAGACAGGCGGTCACTCCCGCCACTTGGTTCAGTGGTGTCTAGGGGACAGTGTCCCGGTCTAGACATGTGTCTGTTGGGTGGGCCAGAGCCCAGCATTCTGATTTCCTCCTGCTGTGCTCAGAGAAGGGTAGGGGGATGAGGGAGACAGGTCGGGGGGAGACAGTCCTGTAGGAGGGATTCTGACGTAGGGAACAAAATGCCTCAGGGTGACCTAGCCCTTTCCAGTCACTGGTTGTGCGTGTGATATGACCCGAGCTGTGACACACCCAAGTCCCAGCTTCACACCCAAAATAGGGTCCCAGATATCCTATGATCCTTGGATACTACGGAAAGACTGACAGGGAGGGAACCGGTATCCTCAGCCCCGGGGTTTGTGATGGGGGTCCTTCCAATCAACAAGGTACTAGCTGTGACACAAGAAAGTCACAGACCACAGCTCTGTTGCTGGGGGATGAACACCCTGGGTTGTCACCCCACCCACGAGACGGGGCCTGACTCTGGCACTGTGACAGGCCAATGAGCCAGAGGCTGGCCACAGGCATACCACTCACCTTTGGATGGTCTTGAGGACAGAGTCCCGCTTCAGGTAACTGATGTTCTCCCGGATGGTGGAGCGCAGGCCATCCCTGGCTGACAAGTGCTGTTCCAGCCACTGGACCACCACCTGGTTGCTGTCCCACAGGTAGGCCTGGGGGGGTGTGTCAATGGGTACAGTCTACCTCAGATGGGAATGCTGCTGAGGGACAGAGCTGGCCATCCTTATACCCCCAGTGCCTGCATGCTACAGCTTCCCTCTCCCTGCCCAGGCCCACCTTGACGGGGCCCTCGGTCTCCACAAACCAACGTCGCAGCATGGACTGTGTGTGCTCATGGCTCAGCTCGGGGCTGGCCTGAAGAATCTCTTGCTTCACCTGGGCCTCCAGCAGCAGCCGGCGCAGCCTCCAGTAGAGGAAGGTGCGTGCGGTCTTCCACTCCAGCACGTCCTGCGGACAGGTACAGCTGAGCACCCACAGAGGAGGGAGGGAGCCGGAAATGGCCAAGACCATACCCCGGGCTGGCTACCTGGCTTACGCCCCCTTCCTCCTACAAGCAGGGATATCCTGCGTAGGGGGCCGAGCTCCTATCTAGGGAGACAAAGGGCTCTGCAGGACCCCACAGTGCCTGGCAGGTCCTCTGAACCAAACTGGTGTCTACATTTACCTTTGCTGACACAAAACTCCAACTCAGGCTGGTTCCCAAAAGAAAAATGGCCAGCTATGGGCATGGGCCAGTGGACAAGGATGTCCTCTTAGGAGCAAGTCGTGGGCCAATGTTAGCATAAACAAGGCTTCAGGTCTTACCAAAGGCACAAACTAACAGCCATGAGAACACACTCAAGTTACTCACATTTCCAAAGCCTGGGACTCCTGGGGGTTAGAGGCTGTGGGCTCCTGTTGACACACTCTGACTGAAGGCCCTGAAAACCCTCTAAGCCCCAGCTGGGCTCCATCCCAAACCCCTATGCATTCCTCTGTGTCTGGGGCCCAGGTGGCCTTGGGGGACTTACAGAGATGACTCCCTTCTCCAGCATGTGGCCCGGTGTGTCGTGCAGGTCGGCGAATTGAACTGCCACCTGGTGGTAGATGGGGAACAGCAGGTCCTCTCGGGCCTTCAGCTGGACCTCCAGCTCCTTGCGGTCCTTGTCAGGGAGCTGGGCTGTCCCTGCAGGTGAGCAGACATCAGGACTTGAGGGGCTGTGAGGGATGGCCACGTGGGGTTGGGTTAAGCCACAAAACCAAACAAGAGGCCTTGTCCTGTGGTCGTCTGGTCTGCGATATCAATGCTGCTCCTAAATCAAGTTGTCCTGCAGCCTAGGAAATGCGCCCACAGCCCCACGACAGCCCCTGGAGGAAGCCCCGGCCCTGCCCCAGGCTTCAGCTGCTGTCTGCAGACATATAATAAATACAGTGCGGATATGCTAACACCTTGGCAACAGAAACACGAGGCAGGTTCTGGAAACGCACAAACCAACACAGTTCTGCCAGGGGAAGTGGTAAGTAAAGAAGACAACACCATATAGTAAGGAAATCCAGAGTTAGAATCCTAATAAGGGGGCCAGCGAGGGGGTTCAGTGGAGAAAGGTGCTTGGTGCCAAGCTGACGACCTGAGTTTCATCCCCAGGACCCACGTGGTAGAAGGAAGGAACCAATTCCGGCAAATTGTCCTTTGAGCTCCACACATGTGCCGTGGCGCGTGCACACATACACAAACACACGCAAAATAAATGTAATAAAAAGGAAAGAACTCTCATAAGAGGCATTTCCAGACATAACGCCAATTCCACACAAACCCGGAGTCATGAAGTACAGACCCATATCACAGAGGCGGACCCAAAGGAACCACACCGTCACAAACGTGTGGTCCGCACAGTTACAGACATCACCACCACATCAACATCGGGGAGTGTGGCATCAAAGATCAGGAGTGAAGGGAACAAAATCGGTAAAAATTGTTTATCTCTGATCGGGGGCATTTGGAGGACACAAGGACCTCTAAAGGGACATGGTCATTACCCAAGTTCTGGTGTTTCCTGTGGAACCCAAATGTTGTTTATGTGTGTGGGACGGTGAACTAACTATGAGATCACAGGATGAACGTCCCTCAGCTAAAATGTTCCTAAGCTTGAACTTCTGGGTGTGGATAGGAGGCCACAGCGGAATGTGCCACCCTGGCCCCAGAGATGGGGCTGTGGTCTGAACACAGCAGCTCTGAAAATTCATTTCATGTTTATATCTGGCCCCTTTGCTGAGACGTCTCACTGTGGACATCCAAACCGCAACTCTCCAAAATATCTGCCATCTGAGATAGTTCCTGTCCGACCACTTCCGGTGTCCCATAGAAGGAGCTGATTACCAGTGCGGGCTGGCTTTTGGGTCTCATTTTATCCTTAATACACTAGAATTGATGCCTTTGGCGACCTGGAGGTGGCACCTGTGTGACCCACTTACCCAGCTGTCCCAAGAGCTTCTTGCACACTGGGTCTATCCTTCTCATGGTCTTCACCAGATCTTTCTTCCGGAACTTAATCTCCACAGTGCCCTCCGGCTCCAGAACACCCGCCCTGAACAGGGAATAGGAAAGAGGTTGAGGGGGTGGGCGGGGAGGCTGAGGACAGACACCTCAGTCCTCCCTGCTATCCTGCCTCTGGCTCCTTTTTAAAAAATATTTGCTTATTTCTTTGCATGTATTATGACTGTGTGTGTGTGGTGTATATGTATTTGTGTGTGCGTGCCGGTGAAGGTCATAGGTCACGTCAGCTGTCTTCCTCTGGTACCTTCCACAGTACTTTTTGAGACGAGGTCTCTCAGAGAACCTGGAGCTCACTGATTTGGCTAGATGGACTGGTTGGTGAGCCCCAGAGGCTCCCTATCTCCGCCCACAACCCTCAGGGCCCAGGTTACAGGTGCACACTGCCACGCCCGGCTTCTTGCCCTTCTCCGTACAGTGTCCTCTGGGGACCTAACTAGCTCTGCGGAGAATGTCCCGAGTGACACACCCACCTGCTCTCTTTGTCTGCGTACATCTCTATGCACAGGGGGTTGATGGTGGAGTCGAGGACCACCCATGAACCCCCACGGAGCTCGGCACAGGGTGGGATGTAGATGAGGATGGGTTGCTTGTACTGCCGGAGGCCATCCACGATGTAGGCGCCAAACTTCAGAATTTGCTCATACATGTCTACAAAGTGAGGCCTGCTTAGGAGACTTGGGCCCCAGTGACAGACTCAAAGCCACAAAGACTCAGAGAGCTGGGGCTGGGCTGGGGCTGGCTCCCTCCCTCAGTGGCCATGGGACCTTGGGCAGGTTGCTTTCCTGCATGGGTGTGTCCTCATCTGCGAAGGTAAACACAGGGACTGCCGCTTTCTGAGTCCCTTCCAGCTCCGAGTGAGAGGCCCCAGCACACCCACGTGTCCGGTATACACAGGTCCCTGCTCTGCCTCACCAGGAAATCCCTCCCAGTCCCCAGGTACCCTCGGTGGTGACATTACAAGGCTGTCATCAGTGACATGTGTGGAACCAGAGCATGGGACCCTCACCGCAGCCCTCCCCATTCACAAACAAGGGGTTCAGGGACTCAGACAAGTCACCCAGCTAGCAAAGACCTACATGTGCCTCTCTCCCACCTCAGCTCCTTCCTCAACAGCCAGCCGGAACCATTATCCCTCTGGACATTCTGGGTGACTTGGAGGGATTGTGCAATTATAAGGCCAGCTCTGAGGAAGGTGGATGGGCATACGCCTTCCTCATCTTACCACCCAGGAAGGCAACTGCCCAGGTCACCATGGAGCTTGCAGAGCAGACCTCCCTGCCTTGCCCTTCCCATGACCCCAGGACGTCACCCGCCTCCCACGCTCAGTTCCTCATCTATAAACCAGGTGGTTACTTGACCTGCATCCTCCCAGGGCTGCTGAGAGACAGGACTGGAGTGGCACATCGGAGTGACACAGGGGCTGAACTTACCCTTCATGCCGCCGGAGAAGCCTCTCCAGTTGGCGAAGATCATGAGGGGCAGGTGCTCCTGGTTGAAGTCCTTGATGACCTGGGCGGTCTTGTAGGCGGAGTCCGGGAACCACACCTGGCCCGCCTGCTGGATGATCTGTGACACAGAGTCACTTAGGTCAGTGACATAGGGACAATAGGGCCGGCGACCACAGCCTGGTCCCCACCGTTCTGTGTCAACTTGACACACGCTAGAGTCCCTGGAGAAAAGGGAGCCTCCATTGAGAAAATGCCTCCGTAAGATCCAGCTGTAAGGCATTTACTTAATTAGTGACTGATGGGGGAGGGCCCAGCCCATGGTGGGTGGGGCCACCCCTGGGCTGGTGGTCCTGGGTTCTATAAGAAAGCAGGCTGAGCAAGCCATAGGGAGCAAGCCAGTAAGCAGCACCCCTCCATGGCCTCTGCATCAGCTCCTGCCTCCAGGTTCCTGCCCTGCATGAGTTCCTGTCCTGACTTCCTTTGATGATGAACAGTAGCATGGATGTGTAAACAAATAAACCCTTTCCTCCCCAGGTTTCTTTGGTCTTGGTGTTTTATCACACTAGTAACCCTTACTAGGATGTGTTCCCATATACATGTTCCAGAGCCAGGGCTCCCCAGGAACAAAAGTCCATATCCTTAGGCCCTCAACAGGTCCCCCATTCTCTTGCACAGCCTGGCACCACACTAGCTGAGGCCTCACTGCAGCTCCCAGCAGCAGGGGCAGAGTGGAAGCGGGGGTGGGGTCCACATAGGACCTTTACCATCCCAGGCAAGAAGCCCAGAATGGAATATTATGTGTCCCATGAAGATGTGGTGGGTGACAGGCCGAGCTCCCAGGCCGATCCCTGCTTGAGGCTTCTGCTCCCTGGCTTTCTGGAACACGGAAGCTTCTCTGGCCTGGATCCAGCAGTGGTCACAGTGGTCATGGCTCCTGGCCCCTCACCTTGGCCTCAGAATCCAGGTTGGCAGGGTCAGCAGGGACAGCCACCTCCATGGTCCGAGTCTCCACAGCAATCACCCCCACGGGGATGCCCCCCAACCTGTAAGGTGAGTGCACAGGAGCTCAGCACTGGGATGCCCCATAAGCAGATCTCAGGGCCCCAGCATCTACCCAGTCTGCTGTGGGCATTTCCAGGTGCACAGGTGCCCTGCTAGGTTGAGAACAGTCAGGGCGGGATGGGAGCTGTTTGTGCCTCGGGCTATGCAGCTAAGAAGTCTAAGATGTGGACTGTGACACAGTTCCCAGCATCTTCCCCTCACTTCAGCTTCGTATTTATCCTCTGAGAGACTAGGATGGAACTCGGGACACAGCATATGCCAGGCAGGTGCTCTGCAACCTAATCACATCCCAGTGCTAAATTATGACTTAAATCATCACATGTGAGCAGGGCGGTGGTGGCACACACCTTTAATCACAGCACTCGGGAGGCAGAGCCAGGCAGATCTCTGTGAGTTCGAGGCCAACCTGATCTACAGAGCAAGATCCAGGACAGGCACCAAAACAACACAGAGAAACCCTGTCTCGAAAAACAAAACAAAACAAAAAAGCAAACAAAAAAGTCATCACATGCGGCCAGCAGCTACACACCAGGGTAGCTTGGGTGCTGAACTAAGACACTCAGGGAAAAGGCTGAAACAAGTCAGGATTACTGGCATAGGCCTATAACCCAGCTACCTAGGAAGCCAAGGCAGAAAGTTCAAGAGTTCAAGACCAGCCTGGGCTACACAACAAGATACTGACTTGAAATAAAAAGCAAAGAGCTGGGATGTAGCTCGTGGTACATCTTTTGTCTGGCATGCAGGGCGCCCTAGGTTCCATCCCCAGGACTCACAACCGGGGAGCAACATCAAGTGCCTTAGAGCCTGGCTCAGACAAGACCATGACATCGCTGCCTGTCATTCTGATCTATCAACAACCAAAGCCACCACCACACCGCTGTCCTTTATCCCTGCAATCACTCTACCAGAGGAGTGGGGTGGGGCCGTCTCCACAGGGAGAGCTCCGTGGTGGGGGGTTCATTCCAGGATTCTATAAAAAGGGTTTGGAAAATAAATAGGAGGAATATAACTAAAGGCCAATGACACACAATTTTGTTTTTGTTTTTGGTTTTCCGAGACAGGGTTTCTCTGTGTAGCTTTGTGCCTTTCCTGGAACTCACTCTGTAGCCCAGGCTGGCCTCGAACTCACAGAGATCCGCCTGGCTCTGCCTCCCGAGTGCTGGGATTAAAGGCGTGCGCCACCACACACACAATTTTTAAAGGTTTAATTCTATCTCTATCTCTGTGCGTGCGTGCATGCGTGCGTGCGTGCGTGTGTGTGTGTGTGTGTGTGTGTGTGTGTGTGTGTGTACCTGCATGTAGAGTTCACCGTCAGGTTACCTCCTCAATCATTCTCCACCTCAGTTTCTGATTCAAGGTCTGTCATAACCTGGAGTTCACCAGCGAGCTGCCGGGCTGACTCTGTACCCCAAGGGCTGGGATTCCCTGCACTAATGCACCCGGCTTTTCACGTGGGTTGCTAAGGATCTGAACTCGGGACCTCATGCTTACACCGCAAGCCTCCCTAGCCATCTCCCTGCTCCCTAAATTCGCCTTTTGCATTCAGAAAAATCTAGGAACCAAGGAGAAAAGGCCCTGGCAGCCCCAGCCTAGTGCTGGGGAGTCCCGTGTCTAGTGGGCAGGTGTGTGCGGGTGTGTGCAGGTGTGGGCAGGTGTGTGAAGGTGTGTGCAGCCCACCTTCACCCCCCACTTGGCATTACCTTGCTCGTCCAGTCACCACGGTCTGAGCCCAGGGTGCCATGATTTCCATGAAACTGCCGTGGTCGAAGAAGCCGCTCTGCCAGGAGCCCTTCAGAGCTGTGGACAGACGGGTAGAAGTCCTGGCTGAGGGCTGGGGAGGCCCAGGGTCTGCCTGGTGAGGCACACTGCTGCGGCCAGCTTTGACCTTACGGTCCTATACCCTTTCTACTGAAGAACCTTATTCTGGCCCACTGGCTACCGCTCAGTATCCCTGAGAGGAAACAGGCCACCCATGTCCCAGAGAGACACACCGTGACCGTGGCACTGTAGCCACTGATGGGGGGGGGAGAACTGGAGGGGGGCAGTGCAAATGACTGCCACTCTGACAGGAGGGGAAAGGCCTGGCAGCAGGTGACTCAAAGAACGCAGACAGAGGCCAGATGCCAGGGAATAAAACCCTCCTACTTCAGCCCCTGCCTGGGGGCTCAGGGCTGGCTCTGCAGGAGAGAGCACACAGTGGGCGAGAAACGGACCGCCTTCTTCCAATGGAGCTACAGCTGGAGGGCAAGGCCTCTAAAACGAAGACGCCACTGGGAGGGATCCTCCTGCTGCTGAGAGGCCCTCGCCTCCTGCACTGCACCGCTGAAGCCAACTGCACAGGAAAGTCTAGCCGTGGGCCAGGGTGATGGGCCAGCTTAGCCAGCGTTCCCATGTGGGCGGTTCTCAGAACAAAGTACACATACCTCCAGGAGACAAAGGCGTTCCTCAGAGAAGGAGAAAACAACATGTGTGCGTGCGTGTGCATGTGAGTGTGTGCGTGTGAGTGTGTGTGTGTGTGTGTGTGTGTGTGTGTGTGAGAGAGAGAGAGAGAGAGAGAGAGAGAGAGAGAGAGCGAGAGCGAGAGCGAGAGCGAGAGCGAGAGAGCGAGAGAGAGAGAGAAGAGAGAGAGAGAGAAGCCAGCCTCTTTTGTGATGGTCTAGCCAGAGGGAAAGAGGCGGGAGGAAGGCCCTGGCCTGTGCTGAACCCTAACCCTTGGCTCCAGAAACCAGAGCTGTTTCCAACCCTTGTTGTTCTGCAGCTCAGGAAAAGCAAAGCCCAGTCTCCATCTCCCCTTTTGAGTTCACATGCACCCTCCCTGGGAAACGGGGACAGAAGCTTCCACCAAAGCGGCCCTCTTCAGTAGACCCAGAAAAGAACCCCAAATCTTGGGTCCCCTCCCCCCAAAAAAAACATTTTAGGACTTACTTGGATGAGGCCTCCCTGCAAGCAGCCACCTGGGGTCATAGGGAACTTTGGATGGGACGAATTCAATTTCCCTGTCGATGGGGTCAGTAGGAGTGATGATGGGAACTGGGCTGCGATTGTCCTAGAAAAGAAGGCCAGAGCCGTCCCACTCAGTCCCTGGGGCGCGTCAGCGAGGACTCCCACACCTCCGAGGGCTTTCCCCTCTGACTGTGCACACGTCTAGCTGTGCAGCGATGCCCTCGCCGGGGCTTCCAAGCCACTACGCCAGCTGTAAAATGACAGGCATCTCCTGTCTACATGCTTCTGAGACCTTTTAAGAGACCTGAGTGCCTTTGGAGCTCAAATAGACTCTGGGAGCCACACAGGACCAGCATTCTCCAGCTAGGCGATGAAGGAACTGAGGCGCAAACATCTGCCTAGTCAAGATCTGGTTAGAGCAGTCCCATGAGGACTACTGACAGCTAAGCAGTCCAGTCCAGGGTAGCCTTGGGGAGGATCTGCAGAGGGCTCAGTCCCCCTCATTAACAACTTCACACAGGAGGAAATGAAGGCTCAGAAGGACTGGGAGGCTGGCCCAGGATGACGGGGCTACTGAAGAAAAAGTCAGGAATGGATCCAGGTTGACCATGAGGTATGAGGCCCACTGTGATCCAACGTCACCCTTTTCTAAAGGATCGCAGATAGTGTCCCTACATCCTTAGGACACCTCAGAGCCTCCCTCCCCAAAAGCAAAGGACAGGGCTGGGTATCAGGGAGAGAGATGGGACTCTGTGGTACTTCCTCTTCCCCACCCTCCCTGCCACCATGAACGGAACCCCACAGGCTCCCAGGCTGCAGGCTGCCTGCCAGGGAATAGCGCACCTTCGGTATATACGACAGCCATTCCAGAATGGTACAGACCCCCTCGAAGTCGTCCGGCACAGTGACGTGGGAGACCCCATTAGTGTGCATAATCTGCACACCCCCCAGCTGGTTGTTGGACGTGTAGACCTCTCTTCCCAGGACCTGAGGTGACACAGCACAGTTAGCAAGGCCACTCCGTCTTGCTGGGTCCTCTGCTCTGGCTGCCTGTCAGAATGACCTGGGAGCTTCCAAAACACCTGCCACCCAGGGGCTCTGCCCAAACCAATCCCTTCAGGGTCTTCAGGGGGAGCACCGGGCACTGGTGCTCCCTGTGTCCTTAAGATTTCTAGGAAATGTCATATGCAACCCAATTTGGGAACCACCAATGTCCCTGGGAACTGGACATCTAATGGGTTCCTGCTTCAGCAGGTCTGCAGTGTGGCCTGGGGGCCACCCAGGTGCTGTTGGTGCAAGAGCCACACGTGGAACTCCTCAGTGGGCTCTGAGTGGACATTAAACACGGAGACTCCAGAGCTGTGTGAGAAATCCTGCAGTAAACTAAAATAAGCAGGCTATTTGTTTTCATGCTCATGGGGACTTAACTACAGGCAAATTAAAATGCAAAAGTTCCCCCAAATCATAGAAGTTGCAAAATCATGAGTGGGGCCTTTCTCAGTTTCCTGCAAAATATGGCGCCTCTTTTTTATTTTTAATGTAAGCTGGAGAGTTAGTTCCGGTGCGGGGTGGCGCTCAGAAGGGGATGGGAAAACTTCAAACTAAAAACCAAAGGACTTGCTTCAGGGAGGAAACTGGTTTACCCTGGGAATCCACAATAGCTGGTGCAGGGAATTTTCATTCATGTGGAATGAAAATGCCCCCCATAGACTCAGAGGGAGTGGCATTAGGAGAAGTGACCTTGTTGGAGTAGGTATAGCCTTGTTGGAGGAAGTGTGTCACTGTGGGGGGGGGGGGGTGTTGGAGGGGATGCTTTGAAGTTTCAAATGCTTAAGCCAGGCCCAGTGTCTCTCTCCCTGCTGCCTGCTGATCCAGGTGTAGAACTCTCAGCTCCCTCTCCAGCACCTGCCATATTTGCCTGCATGCCACCATGAGGATAATGGACTAAACATCTGAACTGTAAGCCAGCCCCCAATTAAACGTTTTCTCTCATAAGAGTTGCCATGGTCATGTTGTCTCTTCACAGCAACAGAATACTGTCATGGCTAAGACAGCAGGGCCATGAGATGTCTGACCTGGTCCCCACACCACCCCTCCCCAGGTCCTGTCTACAGCACCTTGTTGAGGGCGCTGGCTCCAGTGAGGATGATGTGGGAGTTTTCCACTTGGATCACCCGCTGCCCAAGCCTCACCAAGTAGGCCCCGATTCCTAGGGCACGGCAGGTCACCTGTGGAGACAAGACCCGTCTGAACTCCAGACGCTGGTGGGCTCACCCCCCCACACACACATACACACACAGAAGGGTGTCTCACTGTATAGCCACGGCCAGCCTAGAACTCTCAAAAGATGATCCTCCTGCCTCTGCCTCCCAGCTATTGGGATTACAGGTGTGCACCACAGCTGGCTGAGCCTAGTTTCTCCCAGCACCTGCTCGAGCTTGGCTTCTGCTATTATCTGCACCTTAAACCTCCTCAGGGGCCCAATCAAAGGTGTTGGAAACGCTAAGAGGTGGGCCCTGTGGGGGTGCCTAGGAGAGTGGAGGCCTGTCACTTGCCATGAGGAGAACCATGAGACCCTGGCTGCTCCCTCTGTCCCTGGCTGCCTGGCCCTAGCCCAGCAACCATGCTCTGCCACACATTCCCACAAGAGGCTCAAAGCACCAAGGCCAAGAGATCAAGCGGTCCCTCGGAAACCCTGAGTCCAAATTAACCCTTTCTCTTCATGCGCTGAGTATCCCAAAGTAAACAGTGTGATTTTTATCTGACAGGAAGGGAGTCAGTCAAGGAGAGCATCGGGAAGGCCAATGGCACACATTTTGGCCACTGCTAGTGCCGAGCTCCTGTGCCGTGGCCTCGGGGATGTGTAAGAACTGGTGACCCCTGAGGAAAATCTGTGCAGAGTCAACACCACTGGGCCTGGGCAGACGGCTCAGTCAGGAAAGTGCTTGCCAAACTACCCCAAGGACTTGAGTCCAGATGCCTCGCACCCGTGAAAACTCGGGCGTGGCAGTGTGCGCCCGCAATCTCAGTGCTGGGAGAGCAGAAACAAGAGGATCCCTGGTGCGGCTTGCTGGCCAGCCATAGCCAGATTGGCAAGCTCCAGACTCAAAGAGACTCGCTGTCCCCCCAAAATGTGAAAGCAACTGAAGATGCCTGATGTTGACCCCTGGACTCTACATGGATGTGCACTCACCACACACACACACACACACACACACAGAAGCACACACACACGTGCACAAGCACACACACAGAAGCACACATGCACATACACATGCACACACACACACAGAAGCACACATGCACACATACACATGCACACACACACACACACACACACACACACACACACACACACAGAGGAACACACAAAAAGCAAGGAAAGGAAGAGACCAGGAGGGAACGCACCATGCTGATGGTGACAATTTTTTCATAAGCCAGGGAGGCCTCTCCTGCGATCATGCCCGAGCCCCTCAGGTTCTCCACGCCCAGGCTGTCACTGTTCCCTATGACATCCAAGATGACGTATCTGTAAGGACCAAACACGACTGAAGTCAAGGCTCCTCTCCAAAAACAAAGACAGGAGGACATGTTTCCCACAGGTCTGGGGCAGGAGGGATGAGCAAGGATGAACACTGGGACGCAGATCAGTCAGAGTGAAGACAGGGTTTAGGACCCAGGGGCACTAAGCTTCTAAAAGATCAAGGTTGCCGTAGATAACAGCTGTCCCTCCCTCAAACAGAGGCTCTTAGTGGGGTGCCACCTTACCCCACATCCCACAGAAAACTAGCTTAGCCTTTGGTCTGTGGGGACACCAGGGACCATGAGGGAAAGACACTTAATTCACGACCAATCAGCCATGACTCATGACCCCCAAAGCATGAGACACGCTGGTCAGATCTTGATAGAAACTGACCAGTGTTAATGTGTTAGGGGGGTCTCCGCAGGCCTGTAGGAAGATGTCCTGATGCGCACATTTAACTGAATATTTCCCAAACTTATTTCACTATGGAATTAAAAAGAAATGTTTCTCATATCATTCACACCCCAGAAAGTCACCTAGAGTCTGCTGGCTTGTTTTATTCCACTTGTTTAACTGCCCTGGGAAAGACAAACCTCTGGCATTCTCAAAGAACAGACCCCCAGACGACGGAACGTTTTTGGATAACTGGGTCATAAAATGTGAACTTGTGTCCCCTGAGACATCATGAAAACTTACGTCTACTTTTCCCTGCATGAGCTGCTGTTCTGAGAAAAGGGTGAAGCATTCAAGGCATGACTCAATGGTAGAGCACCTGCCTACGATGTACAAGGCTCAGCAGAGAAAAAGGGAAGGGGGGAGGGGGGAGGGGAGGGGAGGGAGAGAGGGACAGAGGCAGGGAGGGGTGAATCATTTGGGGATGACCAGGATGAGTTACCTAGAGGTTGTCCCAAATGGTTAAGTCATTAGCACCCACATGGAAGCTCGGGGTCCACCACCCACGAGCCTAGAGAAGGGTCCTCACAGGCAGCCGGGATGAGTTGCGGTTACACTAGGTCTTGGCGGTCAGTGTTGCATTTACCTGGATTCACCTCCATCCTCAATATGCTTGCAGTGCACGGAGTTCTGGGCGCTGATCTGGGTGTAGTCTTGGGGCGTCAGGTACAGGTACCTAAATCCCTTAAAAACACACTCCAGTGAGTCTGTGAATCCAGTTCCGTGGACTCGCCAGCCACCAGATGTTTCAAGGTGTCAATACCATCCAGGGTGGCTGGCCGTTGATATCACTGCACAGCTGCACACCTCAGGCTCAACACCTGCAAACCACGGGGCTACTTTGAGCTCCTGGCTCTTCCTCACGCACACACAGCCTCATGCCCTGCCTGGTTATGTAGGAAATGTGTGTACTGCTGTGGGATGTTCTGTATGGCAAATGTGTTGCTCTGATTGGTCAATAAATAAATCACTGATTGGCCAGTGGCCAGGCAGGAAGTGTAGGCGGGACAAGGAGGAGAATAGAGCTGGGAAGTGGAAGGCTGAGTCAGAGAGACACTGCCAGCTGCCATGATGACAAGCCGCATGTGAAGATGCCGGTAAGCCACGAGCCATGTGGCAAGGTATAGATTAATGGAAATGGATTAATTTAAGCTATAAGAACAGTTAGCAAGAAGCCTGCCACGGCCATACAGTTTGTAACCAATATAAGTCTCTGTGTTTACTTGGTTGGGTCTGAGCGGCTGTGGGACTGGCGGGTGAGAGAGATTTGTCCTGACTGTGGGCCAGGCAGGAAAACTCTAGCTACAGTGCACACTCGTGTGTGCCCATGTGTGTCCAAGTGTACAGGTTGAACAGTCCAAATGGCAGGGACCCGAAAGTGCTTCAGATGTAAAAATACGTCTGAGCTTTGGAATATCTGCTTCTACCTAATGCGACATCTTAGGGGTGGGACCCATGTTCTGTAGGCACCTATGGGCTAAGGGTAACCCTGTAACATACTGTCAGGATTTGGTGTGTTTTCGCTGTGACCCATCCCATGAGCTGAGGTATGGAGAGAATTTGCTACTTTAGCAATGAGGTTAGTGACTGAAAAGGTCTCAGATTACAGAGCGTTTTGAATTTTAGATGTTTGGGCTAAAGATGTAGTAAAAAGGAATAGAAAAATAATTTCTGGGCCGGGCGGTGGTGGCGCACGCCTTTAATCCCAGCACTCGGGAGGCAGAGCCAGGTGGATCTCTGTGAGTTCGAGGCCAGCCTGGGCTACCAAGCGAGTCCCAGGAAAGGCGCAAAGCTACACAGAGAAACCCTGTCTCGAAAAACGAAAAAAAAAAAAAATTTCTGACTCCCAGAGTGGTTTTCGTCTCCTTTAGGGAGACAGTGTCACTGTCTGGGGAACATGTTCCGTTAGTGGTGTGTGTCTACAGCTCCAGCAACGGGAGACGGGCGGTGTGGACCGGCAGTTCCCTGGAAGCTCACTTGCCAGCTCGCCCAGAAGACTTGGCAGATTGCAAGCCAATGAGAGAACCTGTCTCTAAAAGAAGGTAAGATTGTCCTGTGACCTGAGATTGTCCTGTGACCTCTACATGCATGTACACACACACACACACACACACACACACACGCATGCGGGGCATTATTCACTTGGCATTCTGGGTACACATGGATTTAGAACCCGGCACATGTCACCTACATGTCTACAAGTTTCTCATTATCGTGCCTCTAGGGGGTGCTTTTGGCCATTTCTGATAATCACTACGCCCCAAAGCATTTATTTAGGTTCTTTTTCCTTTCTTGAGACAAGGTCTCACCACAGAGGCCAGGCTGATCCTGAATTCTCTCTCTCTCCTTCTGCCTGAGCCTCCTGAGTGCCAGGAGGACAGGTCAGTACATGGGAACGGCACAACACGTGGTGGGCTACTAATGTCACTGTGCATCTGTGCATTGCACACAGAGATCCCTTCCCACAGTCTTTGCAGGAGCCACGCGATACAAGGCAGGAAGTGTCTCTCACCTGAAATGCATGGGGCCAGAAGCAGTTCAGAGTTTGAAATTTTTTTCAGACTGGCATTATTTGCATATCATAATGAGATGTCCTGGGCGTGGGCACCAGGTCTGAACACAACATTCATCCATGTTGCACAGACACCTCACACCCAGCATCTTCAGGCCTGTGCTTTCTGACTGAAACTCAGTGAATGAGGTCAGGTGGGACTTTCCAGTTGGGGCATCATGCTGATACTTAAGCTTTGGGTCGGGAAGCATTTCAGAGGTGGGGCTTTTGGACTGGGGTGCTCCGTCCAAAACGCCATCACGCTACCACCCTCACTTCATGACGTACTTTGTGGGGATCTTCCGGGTCCACCCAAGCCACTTGGAATAGCTGTTTGATCTCCTCAGCCAGGCCCATACGGGCCCCACTGTTAGCTGCCAGGAAGATTTGGGGAATGCCCTCTGCCCGGGCCATCTCGGATGCCCGCAGATACAGGAAGTCCTCCTGTATGCCGAAAGAGCCGATTTGGAAGGTGATGTCATTGCTGATGACGACGACGTCCCGCCCTTCTGGATACTCCGGGGTCTTAAACCTCATTTTGAAGGCCACCATGCCCACCTGGGGAAGAGACGGGTGCTGAGGAAAGTGACTTTGTTTCTTCCAGGTAGGGTGACAGCCAAAGCAAGCTGACCCACCTCACACCCACCTCCTCCTCACACCCACCTCCTCCTCACACCCACCTCCCACCTCCCACCTCCCGCCCACCTCCTCCTCACACCCACCTCCTCCTCACACCCACCTCCCATCTCACACCCACCTCCTCCTCACACCCACCTCTTACCTCATTCCCACCAGGAAGCCTGTTCATCTCCACCAGCTGGTCCTGGGAGTCCAGCACCAGCTCTGTGTATGTCAGAATATCTTTGGGGTACTTGTCTGGGGAGCCCCACAGTTTAAAGAGAGCCTGGGGTAAGGAAAAGCTTGGAGTCATGGGGAAGGAAGCGCTGCCCTCCCCAGCTGGAGATGACATGTGAGAAAACTGGGTAAACTGTCCTGTTCTCACCCTGTCTTTAAATCGTGAACTATTTAAAGAACACACACATATTCACACACACTCACACACATACACAAGCATACTCCACACAATAATAATAATAATAAATAATAATAATAATAATAATAATGAGGGATAAGATATTCTTTTTTTTTTTTTTTTTTTTTTTTTTTGGTTTTTCGAGACAGGGTTTCTCTGTGTAGCTTTGCGCCTGTCCTGGGACTCGCTTGGTAGTCCAGGCTGGCCTCGAACTCACAGAGATCCGCCTGGCTCTGCCTCCCGAGTGCTGGGATTAAAGGCGTGCGCCACCACCGCCCGGCCTCGACCTCTTCTTTTGAGACAGTGTCTCTCACTGAACCCAGGGCTCACTGACTGTCTAGACTGACTGCCAGGAAGTCCCAGGGATTCCCCTGCCTCTGCCTCCAAGTGCTCGGGATTACATGTATCCAGCACCATGCCTGGTTTTTTGAAGTAGGTGCTGGGGTCTGAGCTCGGGTCCTCAGGCCTGCATGACAAGAACCACTGAGCCTTGCCCAGCCAGGTCATATTTTTCAAAGTATTGATTCAACTTGGTACTGGATAGATAGCTCAGTGGTTTTTTTGTTTTGTTTTGTTTTGTTTTGTTTTTTTTCCCCGGAGCTGAGGACCAAACCCAGGGCCTTGCACTTGCTAGGCAAGCACTCTACCACTGATCTAAATCCCCAACCCCAGATAGCTCAGTGGTAAAGAGGGCTTTACTGCTCCTCCAGAGGACCCCGGACCCACATTAGGCAGCTCACAACTACCCATAATTCCAGTTTCAGGGGGATCCAACACCCTCTGGCTTCAGTGGGCCCCTTAACACAGGTAACACGGTACAAATAAACTCAGGATGTATACTTGCACATAAATAATGAATAAAGAACTCCTGTTTTTTTTCCAATTATGTGCCTATGTGTGCCAGAGGAGCTGACCCCTGGAGCTGGCTAGAGAATCGCAGATATTATATTGCCCTTATCCCTCAGGAAAACCTAACCAAACATTATTTCCCTCCCTTCCTTCCAAGACAGAGAGTCACTATGATATCCAGGCCCACCTTCACCTCCCACGCTCAAGTGATGCCCCTGCCTCAGCCTCCCACATAGCTGAGAACACAGGCAGGGGCCATTGCACCCGGCTCCCCAGCCTGTCAGAGAATAGGGTAACGAGTCCTCGAAGCCAGTGTCGACTGCACCAGGATCAATCTCCTGTCTTGGTAACACGTGACCAACCAGAAGGCATCACTGGGGCCCCGAGCACAGGAACGCTGTTGTCACTGGGGAAATGCCTCATGGGAATGTTGAGTTCAGTGTTTTTTGTTGGGTTTTTTTTTTTTTTTTGGTACTATTTTTATGACTTCTTGACTACTGTGAAACCATTACTTTAAAACAAAATGTACAGCCGGGCAGTGGTGGCGCACGCCTTTAATCCCAGCACTCAGGAGGCAGAGCCAGGAGGATCTCTGTGAGTTCGAGGCCAGCCTGGGCTACAGAGTGAGTTCCAGGAAAGGCGCAAAGCTACACAGAGAAACCCTGTCTTGAAAAACCAAAAAAAAAAAAAAAAAAAATGTACATTATATATGTATATGCACATATGCACCCATACACTTGCCCCTCCTCCTCTCCACGGTCTGCCTAGCCTCAGAAGGGGGCCTGGCAGGCAGCAGCTAACTTATAAATGAGCAAACAGATCAGAAGCAGGGCCAGGAGGTGCCGGCTTAGTCAGTAAAGCGGGGTCCTCACAAGCGCGAGGACCAGGGATCAACCCCCGGCCACGTAAAAAACCTGCTGGGGAGATGCAGAGAGGAGGGACCTGGGGCCTCGCTGGCCAGATCGGCAACCTCCAGGTTCACTGAGAGACCCTGCCTCAAAATATGGGGATGAGAACAAATAAAGAAGATGCCAGACGTTGACCTCGGGCCCCTACACACACACACACACACACACACACACACACACACACACACACACACACACACGCATGTGCACCCACACCAACACATACACACACACATGCGAACAACATAAACCAGAAGCAAACATTAAAATGTTGAGCACTGTGTCACAGGTCATAGACTATGAGTTACCTTTCTCTCTTTTCTTCCCTCCCAGTTCCCTTTGTTTCCTCAAGCTCTGCAGTGCGTCACTTATCAACAGGATAAAATTAGGTTTATTTCGGGGGAAAGGACCATGAAGTCATTCCTGCAGTAAAATCCACGTTTCTCCAGGAAGACCCCACCCAGAGGGAATGACTTAGGACAAGGGACCGCTTCTGGTGAAGCGGGGACAGGGCCCCTCGAGGGGGGTGCACACCTGAGCCCCAGGACTTGCCTGCCTGAACATCTCCGGGAAGTCGTACACGTAGGTGGTCCCCAGGGACTGCGCCTGGAACCGCTTGGCCTGGAGCAGGTCCTTGGTGACGTACGGCGTGTTGATCAGCATCCCGTGCAGGCTTCCTTGTTTGTTGCCGAAGGAGTGAAACATGATCTGGACGGAAAGAAAGAAAAAGCAGAGGGGCTGGAGAGGCGGCTTGGAGGTTAAGAGCACTGGCTGTTCTCCCAGAGGTCCTGGGTTTGAGTCCCACCCCAACCTGAGCCCTCAGCAAAAGCTCAATAGAGAGGCAGATCCGCGGTGCAGAGCTTACGCCCTTTGCCATGTGGCAACCAGAGCAGGACCCGTGGGAGACAGGGGACAGAGCTCCAGTATGAAGATGGCAGCAAGTCCCACCCCCAAGGTATATACAGAGAAGAGCCATGGGAAATCACACTATTAGGGTTACACCTGTGTCACGGTATAGTCTGGGTAGCGTACTATAGTCAACTGAAATGTGTTTTTGAGAGAATCTGAGTGAGGGGTACACCCCGTCCAAGACTTTGTTCTGTCCTATTTTTGCAACTTGAGAGTTTTGAGTCTCATCATTTCAAAATAAAAAGTGTGCACATGTAAAATAGTTTTGGGTTGATTTACAAAACTCTTTTTCTGTAAGGTGGTTGGGGGAAACATGTCTCTCCCAGTGGACCAGCGTGAGTTCTGCATGGTAACTGCCACACACTCCACTTCCCACCTGCAGCATGGCCACGGGATGGACTCTGCCGTGGGGCTGCATGGCCCTGCATGGCCCTGCCTGGGAGGGTAAAGAGACAGGGAATGACCATGCCTATCACACCCTGAAGCTATTTATTAGAGGCTGCCATGACCCGAGACAAGGCGAGGCAAGGGCCACCACGGTGGCTTCAACCCACGTCTTGACGTCCAGGCAGCAGCACCTACTGAGACTCGAGACACTGTGGCGGCCCACCCTTACATTTCCGGATCTGGAGTCGGTCACTTCTTTGTAGACGCTGATGTCCAGGTAGTAGCCGGACTCGTTGGTGATGAACAGGCGGATGGGGATAGCGCTGCCCGTGGTCGTCTGGCGGATGTTGATCTTGACCTCCGCCTGCAGCACGCGGAGCTTCCACAGCCGGCTGCCGTAGCGCATGACCATGTCCCGCACCGACTCCTCAATCTGCCGAGAAACGCAGCGCCGTCAGAGCCTACCCCGCACGCCAAGGCAGTGGAGCCTGGCCCCCAACTATTAACTGCTAACAACCGATGAGGCTGGAATCCAGGGCCTGGTGTATTCCAGGCAGATGCTCTACCACTGAGCTACATGCCCCGGTGATGGGGTGACGATTAATGAAACTCATCTTCATGTGTCACCCCATCTTTATGTGTCTCTCAGGCCCATGCACAAGCTTTCTTCTGGACTGTGTGAACTCGTCAGGCCAGGGCGTCAGCATGGGTCCTCACGGGTTCTGTGAGCCCTATAGATACTGAAGTCTTCTCTGGTCCCTGAATCAGCACCGCCAAGGTCTACCTACTGCAGAACCGGCCTGCACACGATGCCCCAGCCTCAGACCTCAGGCTCTCATCCTGCCCGGCGGAGCCTGGAGAGGACATAAGCTATGCCAGGCCTTCCAGCTGAACATGTCCGATCCTATCTGGGCTGACGGGCGGTTTATTCTCTTCATCCAGAACCTCAGGGCTGGAGGGCCAGGAGACACAACCCCAAAGCAGTGTGGCATGCAGAACCATGGGAAAATGCACCTAGAGCCCGGGAGAGCCCCAGCGTACCAACCTTGAGCGGGTCCATGATGACAGTAGGCACGAAGTTGAGGAAGATGTGGTTGCAGTCGGTGCGCACGCTGGTGTTGTTGAACGCCACCTCCAGCTCATCCATGGCTTCCAGGAGTAGTCGCTCACCCTCGTTCTGCAGGTACTCGAAGGAGGCTTCCTGCCAAAGGAGTGAGGCCAGCCTCAGGCACGGGGCCTGCGCCTGGCTGGTAGGAAGCCCACGTTCCCCACCTGCTGGTGCGTCTGGGCGGATGCAGAGGGCAAGAAGAAACTGAGGCTGCGTGTCCTAGTCAGCCTGTTGTCTTCTGCTCCCTGATGCTCTGACATCCGGGGCTGTGGCATCAGGGAATGCTTGGGAGACAGCTCAGCAGACAAAGGTGCTTGCCGCCGAGCCCTGATGACCTGGGTCTGATCTCTAGAACCCACACAGTAGAAGGAGAGAACTGACTCCCTCAAGCTGTCCTCTGACCTCCACACACGTGCCGCGATACTCCCGCCCCCAATAAATATATGTGTAAATATAATTTTTAAAATTGTTTTTTAAAATCCATCAGTGGCAGATTTGATTTTTTAAAATCACCCACACACACACACACACCTGCACAGTGTGTCCATGGGCGTGTAAAGAAATGGAAGGCATCATGAACGGGTCTTTGTTCACATAGAGCATGGTCCACAAGTAAAACACCCTGAAACATCAGAGCTCTGGGCTCTGAACCCCGTTCCCCAGGCTGCCATGGCGAGTGCTTTATCTATTGAACCATCCATCTCCCCTCCCCTTCACCTGACTTTAAAATGATTTGTAACGGTATTTGAATTTTCACAATGTGATCACCCGTGGTCAATCTGCAAACAAGAAATTCCCTGAACACACCGGTATCTTCCCATCCCTTCAGCTCTCTTCTCACACAGAAAACATCACAAAACACAAGAATCTGACTGAAGTGCCCCTGGCTGGGGTGTCTCTGATGGCAGGGCCTATGTGCTGAGAACACTTTCTGATCCCCAGCAAGCAGGGCCCTAGAAGCTGAGCACACCTCCCAATCCCCAGCAAGCAGGGCCTATGTGCTGAGCACACCTCCTGATCCCCAGCAAGCAGGGCCCTAGAAGCTGAGCACACCTCCCGATCCCCAGCAAGCAGCCCAGGTGCGGACTTGGGGAAGAGGAGGCCAGAGCACGAGGAAGGAGCTCAGAGCCGGGTGGAGCCACCCCATGCCACCTTACCTTGGTGATCAGGTCCGAGTGCCGGATGATGGCGCGGATGAAGAACCTGTGGTCGGTCACCTCCAGACCTTCCCTCACTTTGGCGGCACCCAGGTAAAGGTGCATCTTGTGGTTGGCACAGGGCACAGCGGTCAAGTCAAAGTTCCGCATCCGGCTCAGCTCCAGCTGGAAAGCCAGGGCGGGCTCCAAGTGGCGATAAATCCGGTCCTCTGCAAACTGTAGGCCGGCCAGAGAGAGGACAGTTCATTTGACTCTGCGAGGACACGCCTGAACAGGCTCCATGCTGCCCACCCCTGGTACTCAGAAATGACCCATTCACTGTAAAACCTCATCATGAGCAACCTCCGAGGCTCAAAAGATTTAGAGGTCACAAGCATTCTAAGACCGACTCCTGGGTGCACCCTGCTTGTCCCCAGGACATTCCAGAGCCTGGCTGCTATCTGTCTTCAACTTCTGAACACGGGCCGGGCGGTGGTGGTGCACGCCTTTAGTCCCAGCACTCGGGAGGCAGAGGCAGGCAGATCTCTGTGAGTTCGAGGCCAGCCTGGGCTACAAAGCGAGTGCCAGGAAAGGCACAAAGCTACACAGAGAAACCCTGTCTTGAAAAACCAAACAAAGGGGGCTGGAGAGATGGCTCAGAGGTTAAGAGCACTGCTTGCTCTTCCAAAGGTCCTGAGTTCAATTCCCAGCAACCATATGGTGGCTCACAAACATCTGTAATGAGATCTGGAACCCTCTTCTGACCTGCAGGGATATGTGCACTCTATAAATAAATAAAAAAATTAAAAAAAAAAAGAAAGAAAGAAAGAAACTTCTGAACACAGACTTCTTTATAGAAATAAGTCTCCCAAAAAAATCAACTGGCAGTTTTGGAAACTGAACTAGAGAGAAACTGAGAAGTCTCCCCTCCTGTGGGATGGTCTGTATGTCAAGTGTGTTGCTGATTGGTCAATAAATAAATCACTGATTGGCCAGTGGCCAGGCAGGAAGAATAGGCAGGACAAGGAGGAGAATGAAGCTGGGAAGTGGAACGCTGAGTCAGAGAGACACTGCTAGCCGCCACGATGAGAAACAGCATGTGAAGATGCCGGTAAGCCACGAGCCATGTGGCAAGGTATAGATTAATGGAAATGGATTAATTTAAGCTGTAAGAACAGTTAGCAAGAAGCCTGGTACGGCCATACAGTTTGTAACCAATATAAGTCTCTGTGTTTACTTGGTCGGGTTTGAGCGGCTGTGGGACTGGCAGGTGAGAGAGATTTGCCCTGACCGTGGGCCAGGCAGGAAAACTTTAGCTACACTCCCCTACATCCCCCACAAAAGGATGCTGTTTAACTGAGTGAAGCAGAGCCTGAATCAATCAAAACGCAAAATGCTGAGTTTTGCTGGGCTCTTGAATCTGTGCCGGGAGTGACACCACCTGCTCTAGATAGGACTCCAAAAGGCCCGGGTACCACATGTCTTAGGGTGATGAACCGTAACAGACTTGGTGACAGTGTGACAACCACGGGTGATATCTAATCAAACGGTTGTAGCTGTGCTCCAATATTTATATATAAAGCAGGCAGCTGGGAACAGCACCAAACTCAAATCTTGTCAAGTGAGTGGGAGTCCTGTGTCAGAGCTCACTGCAGGAGACGCAGCTCCTGCTGGCGGTGTAGATCCAGGGAAATGTGAGGGTCCACACCTCAGGCTCTGAGCATGCCTGCAGGGCTGGGGTGTGAAGGATGCCCATGGGGGACAGTGTCAACATTTCACTCATACCTCGTCTCTCGCTCTGAATGTGAAGAACTTGGGGAATTCTCTCTGCAAAAAGAAATCCGTGTAAGAGGCGGTTAAGTCAAGCAAGACTCTGAACCCCTCCTCTGCCTATTTTGTGATTATTAAAGACGATTCAGTCTACTTCCAGAATGAGTCATCCGGAAAGATTTTTCTAGAAACTAATTGCTTCTACCCTCACCCTAGAGATTAAATATCAAATACCTGGATTTGGAAAACAGAGAAGACAATGAACTGAGGTTTGGGACTAACCTCTTGGGCAATAAGGAATGTGATTCTTCGGAGTCCATAATCCACAAGGATGTGTTTCTGCATTAAAAAAAATCACAGATACAGTGGAATATTATTTGGTCAGTAAAGGCCTGGAGTCCTGATGCATGCTGCTATGTGGATGAACCCCACAAGCATACTAAATGCAAAGAGCCAGTCAAAAGACCGCCTAGCAGGGAACACTCAGAATGAGCAAGTCTACAGCAATGGTCAGCCTGGACTGGGAAGAAGGCTCTGAGAGGGCTTTGGGTTCTGATTTTCAGAGAGGCTGTCCTCTAAAGCTGACAGTAGTACCAAGGCCATGCAACTCGGTGAGCATTCTTAAAAACCATCAAATTGTACATTTTGTGATTTTTTTTTCTTTTTTGTAGTAATGGGATTTGAACCTAGCACCTGTAGTTTGCCAGACAAGAGCTCTACCATTGAGCTACATCCTCAGTCTGAATTATACACTTTCAAAGGTTGTGTTATACACTAGGTGACCTATAGCTTAACGAAGCAAAATGCTGTATGCACTACAAGTTAGGAGATGTGTGCAAGAATGTGGACTGCGACCTATGTACGGAAAATCCAAGAGCAGATGGAACTCCGTCAGGACACAGCCACACTGTCTTCTGGGAAACCAGGAGCATCCACTTCTGCTCTGATTGCTGACCAGCAGAGCGAAAATTCTTCAAGCTATATCTACACACGATATATAGTTCTTTAGATCTAATTAAACAAACATTATATAAAATAATTATATAATAATTATATAAATAAATAAACATTATATAAAAGAAGTACAGAATTGCTCCCAGCTGCTCCCCAAATGGAGCAAGTAAGACAATATACAGGCTGGGCAGCGGGGGCACATGCCTTTAATCCCAGGACTCTTGGCAGCTAAGAGCACTGGCTGCTCTTCCAGAGGACCCAGGTTCAATTTCCAGCACCCACAGGGCCACCCACAACCACCTTTAACTACAGTTCTAGGGGATCTAACTCCCTCTGAATGCACGTGGATGTGAGAGCACATGAGTGAATGCACGTGGATGTGGGAGCATGAGTTGAAATGAATATATGAGAATGTGTACAGACATGCTTAATGCAAAAAGTCTCAATAATAAAAATGTACACACGCCCACCTCGCTAGGCACAGACCCTTCTAGCCTGTATCTCTCCAGTGCATCAAACCTAACACATAATCGCTCTGCTATCATGCCAAGCCCCCTGGAGTGGCTCCTCTCCATACTGAACCCATGATACACTGTGGGATTCCTTACTGCCCATCCTTGCAGAGATGAGCCTCCCACCTCTCCTTACCACCCTCCCTAGATAAGAACCCCAAGAACTGCTGAGCTGCATTTGATGTGGCCAGGGGTCAGGCAAAGTAGCCCCCAGTTCAGAGGTCCCTTCACATAGTGGGGCATCAGCTGAAAGCCCAGGAGCACTGTCACCTGGGTCAGGAAGAGATTAGTGGAGGAGTGGAGATAAGATCCTCTCACCCTGCCTGGTGGAGGGGGCTGTGGGTTTGTTTTAAACCTGCTTTCGGAGCTCAGCAGGTAAAGGCACTTGCATCCAAACCTGACAATGTAGGTTTGATCCCCAGGGCTCACATGGTGGAAGAAGAGAAACAACTCACACACGTTGTCCTCTGACCTCCACAAACACATAAATAATGGCAAATAAATAAATAAACCTGCTCAGATGTGTCTGCATTTGAAATGTTTCCTTCAGTGAACAACCTTAACAGCTGATGAAAGAGATAAAGGCTAAACACGTCCACAAAAACAACGTCCCCGGTTAACGGAACTCAGCACCTGGCATTCTTTCTCTGAAAGCACCAAGAAGCGTCCCCTGAAGGGCGCCTAGCCCAGTGGAGGGGAGAGGTCCTTCCTACAGGGACAGTGTAGTAAGGACACATGTATACGGACAGACAGATGGAAGGTCAACAGCTGGAACTCCTGACATGAGGTTAGACCAAGTCAGGAGGGTCGAGGACTGATGTTCAGACAGTCTGGCTGGCGGAATCTCGGCATCTCATTTCACAGATAAAGAAACCGAGGCTCAGAGGGGAGTAACCGGCCTGAGGTCACACAGTGATGAACTCCCGCCCGCCTGGCAGTGCCCTACCCACCACTCTGCTCACCCCTGTCTGTAGCTCTAAGTCTTGAGCAGACACAGCGGCCGGCCCTGCCTGAGGACATCTGCAAGGGATAGCCGCCACAGGCTTGCACATACCTGTGACCACACCAAAAGTTCCCATTTCCCTCAAACGATTTCTTATCTCTGCTTCTAACTAGGCAAGTGTGTGTAACCTTGGTCACTTAATCACTAAATCATCCTGGGAGAGAGAGAGAGAGGCTCTCTTCCTGCATCACCGCTGAAGACGCTGAGGTCCATACATTCAGCTACCTCTGCACAGGGCACTGGTTACAAGGACTAGCAGAGTTAGAGCGGTCTGTGCCTCCGAAACTCCCCCAGCCCACCTCGGGGGCTCAGCACCCCCCCACCATGCCCAGCCCTCCTCCTGAAGGAACCTGTCACCTCCATGGTTACCGTGGAAACCTGTTCCTCTGGTATCACGGACACTGACAGGCTTAGTCCCTTGCAGTGTGAAAGGCATGAGGAGGTGTCGCCTCTAAGTGATGTCACTGGGTCCTGGAGACAACACCCTTGGAGGGGGTCAATGGTCTCACAGGAAGGGTCAGTTCAGTGAGGGGGTGGTTATACCAAGAGCAAGTGCCGCCCCCTCCTGCTCTTGCATGTGAGGCAGCGGGGCTGTGGTGAGAACCAGACACAGTTGCTGGTATAGCCTCCAGAACTGTGGGTTACACAAGCTTTAAAGAAAAAAAAAAGGATTTGATTTATTTCACGTACATGAGTGTTATGCTCCTGTGTATATCTGTGTACCACAGGGCTATGGACGGTTGTGAGCTGTCATGTGGGTGCGGGGAATCGAACCTGAGTCCTCTGTAAGAATAAGAGCTCTTAACTGCTGAGCCTTCTCTCTCGCCCCCCCATAACCTTTTTACTTTCTTCCCAGCCTCAGGTATTTTGTGATAGCAACACAGAGCAGGGGACGACAGCCTGTCCTCTGGGAATACCTTGGACTGCACAAAGGTACGGAAAATCGGCACCAGCGCCTCGTCCTCCAGGTGGTCGGCACACTGGATGGCCACATTCAGGATGTGGATGGGCTCCTCTCGAAGGCTCTGTAAGAGAAAAACCGAGGGCTGGGGGCCAGAGGGCGGGGCCACAGCCCGCCCCTCCCCACTGCCGCACACTATCCACTGGGCTTACCTTGCCATCGTCCTCAGAGTACAGGGAGGTGCGGGCCTTACTGAAGAGGGGGGTGTCTGTCGGCACGTTGGCAAAGCAGGAGATAACTTCATCAAAGTTCCTGGGGGTGTGGGACAGAGGAGAGCTGAGGGACTCCTGCCTCAGAAGGATGTGGTCGGTCCTTGCGGTACAGCTGCATGCCAGAACTTGGGCTCCTATCTTGCCACGCCCCTTAGGACCACAGACCAATCTTTCCCATCACTCCCTAAGGGGTCTGTAATTCTTAACTGCTGTGCCTGGGTCTCTGGGAGCCCCAAGTGTTCATGAATGAATGGCTGGGGGTCAGGGAAGGCCATGCAGCTCCTCCACCATACCTGGTGAACTCTTCAAATCTCCTGAAGGCGACCATGGCCCCCATGCGCTGGCACAGTGGGGAGAAGCCACTGTCCATGAAGAGTTCTGTACTGTGCCTGAGCAGGTCGGGGTTGGAGATGCTGATGGGCATGGCCATCCTGCAGGGTGACAAGAGACAGAGGCTGAGGCAGCTGCCGCCGCCGGCTCGGGCCCAGAGCTCTTCTTGTGTGGGACGCTTTGGGAAGCCGGAGCAGGATAAGAGCCTTCCCTAGGTGGGGTCTGAAATGGGGACTACAAGGGGAGACTGCAGTCAGGGGCAGGTGCTGAGGGGTCGCATCAGACTCCTGGGGATAAGGAGTAGACGAGGAGAAACCACTCCATACCGGTTGGGGTGGGAGGATGGCAGCATGAACTGGAACTCCACCACGCAGGTGCCATCTGGGAGCTCCCGGTGCTGTAGGCTGTTCAACTCGTAGGCGATGTAGCCTCTCCGCACATACACCTGCCAGGGCAGAAGGACAGTGGGCATTCACAGAGACCAGCGGGTTCTGAGCGGGGAAGGGCTGTGTGCACAGGACCTCTGCGGGCTCTCTAAGCTGCATGATGGGGGATTTCTCAAGAGACTAACAGCAAACGTTTCAGCCTTTGGGAGACATCGTTTCTGCCGCAGTCCTAGATTCTGCTGTTGTGGCATGGAAGCCGTCATGAAAAAGTGAGTGTCTGTCTGTGTTCTAATAAAACTTTATTTAAAGAAGTAAGTAGTGGCATAGTCGGCCCATGGGCTACAGCCTGTCAACACCTCTCTAACAACAGAAATGTAATACGAGCCACATAATTTTAAATTCCTAGTAGCCACTTAGGAAAAAAAAATCTTTATTTTCTTTCCCCAGACACCCCCGAAATTTTCATATCAACATGCAATCAATGTAATAAAGTATTGGGGTGTCTTACATCCTTTCTTGCACACTAAGTCTCTGGAGTGGTGTGTAATTTATACAGCACACAGGCTCAACGCGGACAAGCCACACTTCAAGCGCTCACTAACACAACTGAGTGGCGGCCATACTGGCCCACGCAGTCCTAGACCTTTGCAACCTAATGGTGGGAATCAGAGAGCCGTGGGTAGCATGGCGGCGGGCCTCCGTGCTGTCCGTGGGAGGCTGCTGCGGGAGCTCGGATTTAGGGCAGATTCCCACTTTTCTTCAATAAAGTTCCTGGGGCCTAAACACCTTGATGCTCCATAACGGACACGTGCTTTTAGCCTCACAGTTCTGACGTTACCACACACCAGGCAGAGGGTGACGGAGCCCAGTCCCCATTAAAAAACCCGGATGCTAAAACCACCTGGTGTCTCGTGAGCCTCCCAGGTGTATTACACTGCACACAAGTCATCACTCTCTGTGATCCCCCTCCGAGGAGACCTCGGGAGACCCGCCCTGGTCCCATCAGCATCGCCCTTCCTGTCTGCCTTCCATTCTGTGTGCCACACGATACTTGTGACCATGATAGCCTGAGTCCCTGTGTGCCCTTGTAAATCACTGAACTGGAGTGTGCTTGGGGAACCCCAACCCATTTAGGGATTAAAAACAAAACAACTCTGTCCTGTCAAGAGACGGAACCTAGACTGTACATTCCCAGTGCTCCTGAGTCACGAGGGAAAAGCTGAATCACGTTCAGTCAACGTGCCTGGTACAGAACCGGAACATATGGAAGTACATCCTGGAGCCACAGAGGCAGCTCACTGGGTAAAAACAAATGCCGTGCAGGCCCGACCCCTTGAATTTGACTTCCAGACACCGTGTAAAAAGCCAGACGTGGTGGCCCACATCTGTCACCCCAGCATCCCTACAGTGAGAAAGGAGGCAGAGACAGGAGACCCAGCCAGAAGAAGCTCAGAGTCTAGTACACAGCCTGGCGGCAGAAGTGAGAGACCCTGCCTCAAAAAGACAAGGCGGGGGCTGGAGAAATGGCTCAGAGGTTAAGAGCACTGGCTTTTCTTCCAGAGGACCTGAGTTCAATTCCCAGTACCCACATGGTGGCTCACAACCATCTGTAATGAGATCTGGTGCCCTCTTCTGGCCTGCAGGCATGCATGCAGGCAGACCACTGTATACATAGTGAATAAATAAATTTTTAAAAAATCTACTTTAGCCGGGTGGTGGTGGCGCACGTCTTTAATCCCAGCACTCGGGAGGCAGAGCCAGGTGGATCTCTGTGAGTTCGAGGCCAGCCTGGGCTACCAAGTGAGTTCCAGGAAAGGCGCAAAGCTACACAGAGAAACCCTGTCTCGAAAAAAAAAAAAAAAAAAAATCTACTTAAAAAAAGACAAGGTGGAAAGGGAGAACCACACCTGAGCAGGTGACCTTTAACCTCCATGAGTGTCCCCATGGTACCTGCACACTCTTAAACTCTCTCTCACACACGCACACACAATTTTAATTTAACTAAGTAAAAGTTTTTAAATGGTATATCCTAGAAAAAGCCCTCACAGACACAAGTAGGAATTAACACTTGTCAGAATCATGTCTGATGGGGTGTGCTGGCCTTGAGAGTGGGGCCTCAGAAGAACTCCTTATAAAGTGACAACTGCCAGCCCAGGGTCCCCTGCGGCTGCCACGTGCTCAAAGGCACAAATCAGTCTCCATGGCAGACCTGGCATGGGGTGTGTGTGTGTGTGTGTGTGTGTGTGTGTGTGTGTGTATGTGTGTATGTGTATGTGTGTGTGTGTGTGTGTGCAGGGGTGTGATCCATGGAATCTAAAAGATGCAGGAAAAGGTAGGGGGCTCATGGGGAGCGGAGACTTCAAGTTTGAGGGTCAAGAGTGAGATAAAACTATCAGTCACCGGACTCAGTCCAGCGTTAAGGAAGGGTCTGAGGACAGGAGTCGAGCCTCCTATTTGCAGAGGTAGAAGCAAGCGGCATTCCTGGGAGGACCTGAACACCTCTGGTCAGGGAGCCCAGCGGATGCTCCACCACCAGAGAAGCCCTTCCCTGCCCCAGGCAGCAAAGTCTTTCCGAGATGCCGAATACTCATGAGTAAGAAGTCTGGACAAGGTGCCTCTGGCTTGGCACTGGGGTGTGGCATCGAGCTGTGCCCTGTCTGGAGGAGCCTGGGATGCCACAGGGCACGGCAGTATTCCTGGCATGGACTTTGCAAGCAGACAGATAAAGTGTGAATCCTGACGCTGTCTCTGGCTATGTGGCCTTGAGAAAGTCACCTCACTGCTCTGAGCTCAGTTTATTTCTCTGTGAGAGGAGAATAGTAACCCCCTTCCCTGGAGAGAAAAAGTCACGTTTGCAAGGTGTGCCGCTCAGGGTCGGGCCACAGCTCAGGGTCGGGCCACAGCTCAGGGTCGGGCCGTGCAGGCGGGCGGGCAGCAAACACTCTGGACGGCCTGCTCCTGCGTACCTCCAGCGACGCCATACAGACGACCTTGTTATCGTGGTAGAAGAAGGTTGGCAGGACGTCGAATATAGTTGTTTCCGAAAGTATTAATTTCTACGGGAAACAGAAGGGGCCAAAAAGCAAACAGAACATGAGCGGGTCTGACCCAGGAGCTGGGCGAGGGCAGGAGGCACAAGTGGGCTGTGTCTCAATCACTACTGCAGTCAGTGTCTTCCAACGCAGGGGACTGACTCCTTTGCACACAGCCTTGGGAGATGGGACAGTGCAAGGGTGGGGGGTGACTGTGCCCAGGGCAAATGCCGATGGGTGCCTAGAAGTTTACAGTAAGCCAGGGCCCAGGCAAGAGCCTGGGAAGAGGAGGCCAAGTGTCTCACCCCGACCCCCACGCAAAGGGCCCATGCCTCCTGGAATGTTCTAGAACACCTTAATTCAAACCCTGTACTGGTCAGGAACGCCTCAAGCCTGTTGCCCCGTGCAGCCCGTGAACAGGTTTCCACGCCTGCAACTCCCAGAGCGTGCAGATGTCCCCTGGGACCATCCTAGCCACCCTGAACTTTATGTCACTGAACGGGGGGGGGGGGGTCCTTGAGGGTAAGGAAAACCCACGGTCCCAGAGACTCACCTTGAGGTTTTCTGGGCAGAACTGGTGGCCGTACATGTCGATGGCAGACAGGAAGATGGATTCCACCTGGTTGTGCCGCAGCTCATAGGAGGGGAGGTGGGAGGCGATCAGGACCTGTAAGGAAGAGAGAGGAGAGAGGACGGAGAGGAGAGAAGCTGGGAGGTGAGAGGGACGGACACACACACACACACACACACACACACACACACACACACACACACGGCAACACGCTTTGAGACCCACCTGCCTGGCTCTGAGGGCCACTTTGCAGTGCTCGGCCCTGCTCAGCTGCGTCAGCTCGTTGAGGATGGAGGTCAGCTCGTCTGACAGGGCAGGGTCTGGGCCGCAGAGCTCGTCCTTCAGGGACAACGACAGAACCCAGGTTGGCTTTGCTTTACCCAAGGGGATCCGGCCAGCACTTGGCCGGTCGCGGGTGGGGGTCTAACCTCAACTCTCTGGATACATCCAGCCAGCTTTGAACACGGGTATACGTCACTCATTCACTCACACGTTCGTTCGCTGACTCATGTACCCTCACATCTGATGGGAAAGGCAACACAGCAGAACCCTTTACCATGTGGGGGGGGGGGGCAGGAGGGTGGTAAGTGTGTGTTGGTGAGCACGCACATGTGCACACACGTATGTGGGAAGAAGACCAGACCACCTCATATGTCTCCTTCCACTACTCTCCACTGTATTTTCTGAGTCAGGGTCTCTCCTGAACTTGGAATTCAGAACTCACTGATTGGCTGGTCCCCTAGGAAGCTTGCCTTTGGGATCCCTTATCTCTGTCTCCACTGGGATCACAAGTGGGCCACCACATCTGCTGGCTTTTTCTGTGGCTGCTGGGAGTCCAAACTCTGGTCCTCACACATGTACAACAAGGTTTATCCACTGAACCACCTCCCTGGCCAGGCGCGCATCCCTTCTGCCAAGCGAGGAGCTAGTCTGCGGCAGGCTGTGCTGTGTGCACATGGCCCCCCGTGTTCCCCCTTGTGTCTTCACTCTGAGAGGGGCTTGGAGGACAGCTCAGAGGAGGGGCTCCCTACACAGCCACTGGAGACAGAGCTGGGGTGGGAGGAAGCAGGTTTGCTGAGCCACTGGCCTCCACCACCCGCATCAGCCCACACTGTCCTCTAAGACACCTTGCTACCTACAGAGTGGGCTGAGTCACCTCTCACCTATATGCATGCCTTGTCCCGGTCAAAACAAGCGCTCGCTGCTCTTGTAACCCCAAGAACAGCCTGTCACTGTCTCCCTCTCAAGTCCTAATAGGATCAGACAGCTGTCCCCTTCCTGCAAGGAGAGCACAGAGCTCGGACGCTGTCCAGCAGCTAGGCTTTCTAAGAGGTCCAGCATTCAAAGAGTACTTTGTACGGGCTGGAGAGCTGGCTCAGTGGTAAAGGTCGTTCAATGTTCTTGCAGAGGACCTGAGTTGCGTTCCTGGCATCCACATCAATAAGCTGTAACTCCAGTTCCAAGGGATCTGATGCCCCTCTTCCGGCCTCTCTTCCTGCCTTCAAGCATGCATGCGCACATGTGAGCACTGAAACACCAGGTCACAGCCTTCCACACACAACAGCTCAAAACACCCTTTCCTTTCTTGTTCACGTCTAAGAAGCAACCGGGACCCTACAATTTTGATGACAGCACTCTGTTCTGTTTTCCTCGTCACTAACATCCTATGACCGCTGAACAACACTGAGAACCAAGACCAGGAACGGAAGTTCATTCGGGGGGAGGGGGGTCATCGCTCCATCGGGAAGTCCCCGATGCAAGTGACGGCGACACTTAAGTTGATCTATATTGCCATCCTGACAGGATCTAGACTCCACTAGGAGACAAAGCTCTGAGCCCGTGTGTGAAGAAGTATCTACATGAGGTTAACTGGGGGGGGAACCCCATCCTGAATGTGGGCAGCACCATTTCCTGCTGCAGCCTTGGACTGAACGTAAAGAAGAAAGTGAGCTGAGCGCCGACATTCATTTGTGTCTGCCAAGACTTCTCGTCATGATGTGCTGTATGCTCAGGAGAGCCACAGTGACCCTTTCCTTCTTAAGTGGCCTCTGTCGGCCAAGTCACTAATCCAGCTCCCTGAGCACCAAACTGCATTAGGTCTGAAAAGTCTTTATTTTCTAACGAAAAGAATCAAAAGCTGGAAGGAACCGTGGATCTCATTGTGCCGTCACTGTAACATGGAGGGGCCATCCCACTGGTCTCTCCAGGCTGGATTCTGAGGCACGTAGGGAACTCATGCCCAGGAGAGTCAACATGCATACAGGAGCCAGCAGCATCAGGATAACCCACAGACCAGACCTGTCTGCCTGCCCGCCTGCCTGCCTATCTGTCTGTCTATCTATCTATCTATCATCTATCTATCATCTATCTATCCATCATCTATCTGTCTGTCTATCTATCTATCTATCTATCTATCTATCTATCTATCTATCCATCCATCATCTATCTATATCTATCTATATCTATCATCTATCTATCTATCTATCTATCTATCTATCTATCTATCTATCTATCTATCTAGACACAGTTCTCACTCACCAAATAGCCCTGGCTGGCCTAGATCTCACTATGTAGACCAGGCTGGCCTCAAACTCACAGGGAGTTTAATTCAGAGTGCCCACCACCACACCCAGCTCTGACCTGAGCCCACAGATCAAACGGAATCTCTTTGGGCATAAGTTTCCAGTCCTAGCTACATATTACAGTCCTTTGAGGAACCCCCGACCCCAAAATGAATTATGAAAAACTTCAAAACTGTACAAGTAATGAGACCCTGTGCTGAAGGCTCTTGTGTCAACCTTGAGCCCCTCACTGCTGGACTTTATCATATTTGTTTGTTTGTTTGTTTGTTTGTTTGTTTGTTTTTGGTTTTTCCAAGACAGGATTTCTCTGCGTAGCTTTGTGCCTTTCCTGGAACTCAGGCTGTATCCCAGGCTGGCCTCGAACTCACAAAGATTCGCCTGCCTCTGCCTCCCAAGTGCTGGGATTAAAGGTGTGCACCACCACCGCCAGGCCTGGACTTTACCATATTGGTATGGTTGCTTTTCCTTTAAAAAGCAAATTATCACAGGGAAAGTCTTCAGTTGTGAAAGACTGCTAATTACCTCTCTGCGGTCTGCCAAAGGACGGTGACAACAATCCACATCCCTTGGCGTTGGAGAGAACTTAGTCATAATGGCATATGGTGATGCACTTCTCTAGTCCCAACTGCTTGGGAATGTTAAGTAGAAGAATCTCTTTAGCCAGGAGTTCAAGACCAGCCTGAGCCACATAGGGAGCCCTAACGTCAAAATTAACAACAACAATAATAACCAAATGAATTTAGCATATGATCTTTAAAACTAATTAATATTTGTTCAAAGCCACCAAGAGGGTCTGGTACAGAGCAGGTGCTCTGTGTCACTGCCTGTTGTTACAAATAAAGTCACACCATAAACAGTGGCAACGTCAATCAGTTAGGTCAGAGACTAAACCACCTGCCAGTCTACGCTTTTGCTTCCGGCCCTTTCTAGAAAATAGTTGGGGACTGTTCTAGGGATGTGGCTTCGTGGCAGAGCACTTTACCTAGCAGGACTAGGACCCGGGTTCCATGCCAGAACTGAGAACAGGGGAAAGAAGAGGAGAGAGAGGAGGAGGGAGAGAAGGAGGAGGAAGAGGAGGAAGAGGAGGAAGAGAAGGAGGGAGAGGGAGAAAACACCGCCCCCGTCCCGCCCCGTCCCGCCCCGCCCCGCCCCCGCCTGGGGCGCTGGTCCTCATCTTACTATCAGCATGATCACCAGCTGGTTCTTCTTGGCCACCTGTGCATGTGAGAAGATGCAGTCCAGCACCTGGCTCATGTCCGGCTTGAACTGCTCCCTCAAGTTGATCACACACTTGTCATAGTGGGCTGTGGGGGAGACGAGAGACCCAGGAGGGTGAGGCTGGCACTCCCCCCTTGCCCTGCCCAGAACCTGTGGCTGGCCCCAGGGGTGGGTGGCATCTCTTGCCTTGCTGAAAATGATGCTCCACGCTCAGATACCGCCGCAGGAGGTCCAGCACCACAGCCTTCATGTAGCCGCGGGTCCCGCTGCGGTACCTGGGGGGAACCGAAAGCAGCCACGGTCACCGTGCCCACCACCTCCTGGACACCTAGATGTCTCAGCTAGAGCTATTATGGCTTTCAGAAGGGGAGCACGGGTACGGTGGCCCATGCCTGCAAGAGCACCTTCCTACAAGGACTTCTAGTTTGAGGGTGGCACTATACAGAGAGACCCCGTCTCGGAAAACCAAGAGCTGGGATGTAGCTCAGGGGCAGAGTGCTTCCCCAGCCATGTGTGCAAAGCCCTGGCACAATCAGCATTGCAAGAGGAGGAGGGGGAAAGGAGGGAGGAGGGGGAGTGGGGAGGAGGGGGGGCACACTCCAACTCCCCAGGCCTAGCAGAACATAGAGTGGGTTCTTAGTGCCAGCTGTGCAGGTCAGTGGAGCTATCTATGACTTGTTCATCAAACCGGAGTCCAGACTGGGCCGGCCCCCAGGACTAAGCCTCTAGACAAGCCCAGAAAGAAGGGAAACCTTAAAGAGTTGAGCTACTAAAAGAGGAAAGCCGATTTCAGCAGATTTTAAACACAAAACAAAAATTTCCAATGACCCATGTAACACATAAAGATGTTTTCAAAAGTTGAACTTGAAGATGTTTGCCGAAATACTTATTGTAAATTTCCCTTCCTTTTTGAAACACCATTCAATGCGGTATCCCTCTACATTTTGACTCTCCTATAATATTTCTAAACATGGGGGATGGATTTCCTTTTCACCCCTCCCTCCCTATGCTGGGAGTGGAAGCCAGGGCTCCACACATCTGCTCACGACCCTGGAGGGCCCAGGAATCACTTGCCTCTGGACCAGCTGCACGATACTTTGCGTGTTCATGAAGAAGACCTCACGGTCCGCCTTACGCTGCAAGGTGGCGGCATGGCAGTCCAGGATGGTGGCTATCTAGATAAGAACACAGCACAGGTCAGGACACTGCCAGCCACGTGATCATGAGGGACCCACCACAGGCTCCCAGGGAGGCCCCAGACTGCTTGTACTCAAAGACCCAAGCCACCTGGCCTCTTCATAACAGCCCTGTTCACCCCTTCAGTGTCTCTCTGGGGACCCAGGAGCTCAGAATGACGACAATCACACAAAGATATGAGTGGACAAAATGTTGCCTCCCTCCCCCTCTGACAGGACTCAGAGGAGGAAGGAATGTCCAGCAAAAGTGTGGGCGCAGGAACAGGAAGGGTTCCATCTTCATATTAAAGTTCATGTGATTGGCATGTTTCCTTTTAAAATTACTGTGGTGTGTGTATACGATGTATGTGGGGGATGTATGCACCATGGTGCATGCGGAGGTCAGGGGATAACTGTGAAACTGGTTGTCTCCTTCTACCCTTATGTGTGTTCTGAGGATCCCACTGAGATCTCTGTGCTTACTTGGCAAGAGTCTCTACCTGCTGAGCCATCTCACAGGCCCCCCAATAAAGGGATTTTTAATGAAAACTAAAACTAAAGCTTGCATTAACGAGAAAATTCGGGGGAAAGTCCCAAATGCATCCTTCTCTCCGTGAGGCCTCATTAGTTCTAGTGGGGGATGTGGGGGGGGGAATTCCTGCAGAGGCAGGTGGTCTGATTCCAGGAGTGTTAGCACCTAGCTTTAATCTGCCTTTTGTGATTGATATTTTTGTATCAATCCTCCTCCAGCTGTGAGGTATGCGCTCAGCGGGAAGCCAGTCACTCAAGGTGCCGCTATACTTTCCTCCCCTCCCCCCAACCCTCCCCTGGCAGCCACTAATCGACTTCCTTTCTACACTGATCGCCTGTTGCGGACACTGTGGTCTTTTGACCCGGCTCCTTTCCCTTAGCATAAGGCTTATCCGTGTGGGAGCATGAATCCCAACGCCACTCCTGACATGGCTGAACAACATTCCAACCTTCAGGAGCTCGGGATGTAGCTCAGTGGTGGAGTGCTTGCCCAGCATGCCTGAGGCCCAGCACTGCAAGAAACAAAACACACAGTTTCAACCTTTAGCGTTTGTTGACCTCTGGGAAGGGCCTGACTTAGCTTCTCAATCCACAAAGGTGTGTGGGGGATGATGGGTAAGGGCAGCCGGGAGGAATGGTGAAGGCTGACGGGAAAACGACCTTCCCAAACTCCACAGTGGAAAAGCAAGCTATGCAGGCCAGAGAGAATGAACACTTTTTTTTTCTTTTTTTTTTTTTTTTTTTGGTTTTTCGAGACAGGGTTTCTCTGTGTAGTGCTGCGCCTTTCCTGGAACTCACTCTGTAGTCCAGGCTGGCCTCGAACTCAGAGATCCGCCTGCCTCTGCCTCCCGAGTGCTGGGATTAAAGGCGTGCACCACCACCGCCCGGCCTAGAATGAACACTTTTATACCAATGGGACATATATATATACTGATGGTTTCCATTCCCAAGACACATGAGGCCCACAGCTAAAACCTGTGACCCAGGAACAAGGTTCTATAGCTAATGATTTGAGCCAGCCTGGGCTAAGGCAGTTAGTTCTGTTTGCACTTGTGACTTTCCCCCTGAACCTGAGCTGTTGGAGTGAGGCCTGGGGACTGGGGTGTACATCAAAATGCCTGACCCTTGGGAAGAAATGCTGGAGTTCTACAGTAAAAGCTAGAAGGAACCACGGGCCAACAACACTTGGTGCTGGCCCAGCTTAGGAGAGGTCGGATAAGGGAGTGAGCATAGGTGTGGCTGGCCGGAGCCGGCTGGGGCACACACCTGTTGGCTGGGGAACTGGCACAACACGGAAGTGATGTTGCTGGCATACTGGGCCATCACCCTGCGGACCGCCTTCTCCACAGGGGCCGGGATGCGGCCTGCCACACTGGTCATGATCTCCTGCAGCTCCAGGAGAGGTAGGGTTGGGTGCCGGAGCGTCATCATGAGCTTCTGGACCCACTCCTTCAGCTGCAGAGGGACAAGGACATCAGCCACCACGTCACATATGTGTGGGCATCTCTATCCGCCACGGGCGCCCTCCCAACTCAACCCACTCAGGCTACACCTTCCAGTGCAGAAGATCTAGGCCCAGCAGCCTCTGGGGCAGCCTGGAGTGGAGCTGCTCAAGTCATAGAGAGGCCCCTATGTCCCTCTCTGGGTAACAGACCACCAGCATGGCGTGGGAAAACAAAGAAGATCACGTGACAAGCTAATGTCTGTGGGGCGCTTGATTAGCGCCACGTAGAGTCCAAGGATCTTTCCTTACGCATATTCTTTTTCAGTTTATTTTTATTACTTTAAAATTATGTGACTGTGTTTGAGTCTGCGTGTGGAGTGTGGAAGTGAACACTAGTACCCTAAGAGGTCAGAAGAGGGCATTTGATCCCCTGGAGCTGCCCCACGTGGGTGCTGGGAACCCACCGGACTTGGGTCCTCTGGAAGAGCAGCACATGCTCTCAATCCCTGGGCCACTGAGCAATCTCTTCTCCCTCTTTATCTTTTTTTTTTTTTTTTTTTTTTTTTCCAGAGACAGCCACAGCAAGCTGGTAGAATGGTTATTCCCCCACTCACAATTGAAATGAAAACAGAGAGGTCATTTAAGTCACCCAAAGCTACTCAGCGGGTAAGAAACCCTCCTGGCTTGGCAAAGACCCTGTGCATACCAGGGTCTTACAGGCTTTTATTATTTTTTTCTTTTTGGTTTTTCAAGACAGGGTTTCTCTGTGTTGTTTTGGTGCCTATCCTGGATCTCGCTCTGTAGACCAGGCTGGCCTCCCTGAGATCTGCCTGGCTCTGCCTCCCGAGTGCTGGGATTAAAGGCATGCGCCATCACCACCCAGCTCTTACAGGCTCTCTTACCTTTACGCTGAAGATCGGCTCAGGCAGGCAGTAGCCACTCATGACATTGGTCAGATTTTCTAAGACACTGTGGAACACCTGGTGCAGCTTCTCCCCGAGGATGGGCAGGGTCTGCTGGGCAGGGAGCTCTCCTGTGAATGGCTGTGCCTGGAGAGACAGGAGGACCGGTCACAGACAGAACAGGGAGTTTGTGAGACATGAGGACACGGACAGACCAGGGAACCTGTGAGACACGAGGACTGGTCACAGACAGAACATGGAGTCTCTGAGAAACAGGACCGGTCACAGACAGACCAGGGCAGAAGACTGACCCCAAAGCCCACTAACCTACTCTGCTGAAGCCTGAGAAAAAACAAGAAATGTGCCATCCTCGGAATCCAACATTACTAACTTCAAGCCTGGGCCCAGGCTTTTCAAATCATCCCCTTTGCAAATGCCACAAATTTGGCAACTTACACTCCGAACAATTTTAGAGGCGGCTCTACTTTTATTCTGATTTTCCTTTTGATAAAGATTACCCCCCTATTCTCTTTTTTGGTTTTCTATGTAGGTCCCTGCCCTGCTCTGTCTTGAGGCAGGGTCTCATTACACAGCACCGACCAGCCTCCAACTCACATTTCTCATGCCTCAGCCTCCTGAGTGCTGGGATTGCAGGTCTGAGCCACCATGCCTGACTTAATTGATGCGATTCACCAATTTTTTAAAATTTATTTTGAATATAAGATTTATTTTAGTTGTGTCTATTTGGGGAGTTGGGGGGATTGTGGACATGCATGCAGGTGCCCATGGAGGCCAGAGGCATTAGTTGTGAGCTGCCCAACATGGGTGCTGGGAATCAAAACCCAGGTCCTCTGCAAGAGCAGCAAATGTTATTAATCACTGAGTGATCTCTCCAGCCCCAATATTTTATAATTTATTTACTCATTTACTTATTTGTTTGTTTGTTTGTTTGTTTCTGTGGCCCTGGGACTTGAACCTAGGGCCTTGGACATGTTACGCACACACTCTACCACTGAGCTATATGCTAAATGAAATCAGCTATCAACAAACTGGCAAGTACTGTATGATCCCTGCCATCCAAGAAACCCTGGAGCAGTCAGGTCGCAGGGAACAGTGCAGACTAGTGGCTGCCAGGGGCTGGGCGAGGAGGGAGTAGAAAGTTGGCATGTAATGAGCAGGGTTTTAGTTTTGTAAGAAAGTAAGTGTTCTGCGCAGAGGGGATGATTGCTCAACCAATGCTTAACACTCTGGCCAATTTCAAAATGGCAAAGGCAGGACTGGGGCGGGGAGCTGAATGGTAGATGATGCCAGGCATACAAGAAGCCCTGTGTTGTCTCCCCAGCATGTGGGGACACACACACACACACACACACACACACACACACACACACACACACACAGAGGGGGGAGAGAGAGAGAGGAAAAGACAGTAAGTTATATATATTCACACAATCTTAGAATCTGAGTAAAGTATGTATGTTAAACACATCAGTAGTGGTTCATTGTGACTAGCGGATCTTATGATCAGAATAGAAATGACATGAGTAATAATTAGTAATAAATATAGTCAAATTAATAATAGGGGAACTGGGTGCATGGAATATGAAAACCCTTTAGAGGATCTGTAATCCTGCAAATCTAAAGCTGTATGAAAGACAATATCTGGCTTATATAGCACATATTAACTGAACAAAATAATAATAATTTAAAGGTGGTCCCAGATAGTTCACAGAGCCAGGCATGATGGTACACACCTACAACGTGGGATGTGGAGACAGAAGGGCCTTGAATTCAAACCCAGACTGGGTTACATAGTGAGCCAAGGCCAGCCTGGGCTACACAGCTGGACCATATGTGTGTGTGTGTGTGTGTGTGTGTGTGTGTGTGTGTGTGTGTGTGTGTGTGTGTGTGTGTGTGTGGTGAGATAGCTCAGCAGGTAAATACAAGTCCGAACCACAGTAGGAGAAAACCAATTCCCCAAAGTTGTCCTTTGACCTCTACTCACACTCAATGGCACACACACACACAACAACAACTAATAATAATAATAACAGCAATAATTAATAAATTAATTTTTTAAAGCCAAGGGCTGGGGATGCAGCTCAATGCTGAAGTACTTGCCAAGCATGACCAAGACTTTGGGTTCACCCCCAGCACTGAAAGAAAAAAAAAAACAGCCGGGCGGTGGTGGCGCACGCCTTTAATTCCAGCACTCGGGAGGCAGAGCCAGGCGGATCTCTGTGAGTTCCAGGAGAGGCGCAAAGCTACACAGAGAAACCCTGTCTCAAAAAAAAAAAAAAAAAAAAGAAAGAAAGAAAAAAAAAAAACAAGCCAGCTTCATGGGCTGGGGTGAGAAATGAGCACACTCTTGTAAGGGTGAGAGCGAGCTGAGGCAGGTCCTCCCAGCCAGAGGGAACAGGCTCCAGGCAGGAGGCGTGTGTCACTCATGAAGCTGCAGAGAGGGACAGAAGGAAAGCCGTGAAGGTCACCGGGAGCAGCTCTGCCCTTGGGTCCTGGGAAGAACCTGGGCTTTGCTCCAGGCAGGATTGGAGGGCTGTGAAAGGATTGGAGAAGACAGGGGTGGCTGCGGGGGGGAGGGGGGGTTCCATGTTGCACTATCACCAGGGCTGAGTGTGCCTACAGACGACCTGGACAGGCCCAGGAACAGAGAGACTCCCGTCTGCTCCCTCTGAACGGGGTGACACAGAGGGAGCCTCTGGGCCAGCCAGAGCAGCGGGGACCACGTGTTACATACCGCGTGCACTTTGGAAGGGTCATCGAGTTCGAGCCTCGCCACCACGCAGCCGGCCTCCAGCACGGCCCCTGGACGCTTGATGTACCTCACCCGGCCACTCTCCTGCACGGTCAGGGCCATGATCATCTTCATCACCTGTGTGCAGAAAGAAGAACAGGTCCGAGTTCCCTGGTGCTGGCACCCAGAGTCACTCCAAACTAGGGACTGTGGAGCAGGTGACAGCAAATCTCTGGGTATCACTCAAGCACAAGACGAGAAACCTGTCATCTCTTCCAGACTGCGCACCAGGGGCGGGGCTGAGCACCAGCGGCGGGCCTGGGTACCAGGGTCGGGGCTGGGCACCAGGGGCGGGGCTGAGCACCAGGGGCGGGCCTGGGTACCAGGGTCGGGGCTGGGCACCAGGGGCGGGCCTGGGTACCAGGGTCCGGGCTGAGCACCAGGGGCGGGGCTGTGCACCAGGCATGGGTGCCATCCAAGAACCATCTCCATCTACAAGGCCAGCCAGGGAGGCGGGTGTATGTGCCGCCCATTTCACAGACACAGAAACTGCTGCTCCTTTTTTGATTCGTGGTGCTGGGGTGGAACCGAGGGCTTCATGCACGCTGGACAAACACTCTGCCACGGAGCTGCACCTCCAGTCCCCTTCTGACTGTTTTCAAAGGAGGCCCTCTCTACCAGAAACTGTTGAATCCTATTCCTCCAGCGGTGAGTATAAACTCAAGCACATCGCAATGACGCTGGCGGCCAGTGACAGATGATGGCGTGCCACAAGACTCTGAGGACGCTGGCCCAGTGACTGATCACCTAATGACACTACAGTCAGGCCCAAACTGTTTGTGGTGACGCGAGTGTGAATGGGCTGTCCCGCTACCTGTCTGGTAAAGCGCAGCACTCACACAACACTGGGACACCGTTGGTGGCGGCAGCCTCTTGCACCTCACGCTAGAAGTCACATCAACGCCTCAAGTGACTAAATGACACCTTCCAGGTTTGTGCAAAAACACTCTACAATGTCCACGTGGCAAAGAGGTTGTCCGAGGACACATTTCCCAGAACGCATCCCACTGCTGAACAACACGGGGCTCTCGGTTTCCCACCCCCCACCCCCCCACCCCCCCACCCCCGCCAGCTGTCTAAAACAAACATTTAACATCATGCCCAAGGTTGATGGCGCCCTCTGGGGAAGGGGGGAGGGAGCTGTAAAATGAAGCACCCGCTTGAAATCCACCCTGTAACTCACTTGCCTAACCCAGTGTCTGAAGACGCCTAAGACCTGAGATCTGTGGCCACGGCACCCACTGTGACCACGGCACCCACTGTGGCCACGAAATCCACTGAGGGCCACGGAACCCACTGTGGCCACGGCACCCACCGTGGCCACGAAATCCACTGAGGGCCACGGCACCCACTGTGGCCATGGCACCAACTGTGGGCCATGACACCAACTGTAGGCCATGGCACCAACTGTGGGCCACGGCACCACGCTGCTTCCTGCTCAGTGTTTCACCTCCTCCATCATCTCTGTGGATTCCAAAAACCGCCTTCCTGTCTCTGAGCCTTGGTGTCTCCATCTGTAAACTGGGAGCAAGTCCCCTCCCTCACAGAGAGTAACTGAGGTGGAGAGTCCAGCCTGTGCAGGAGGGCGGTTCTCCTGAAGGGCCACCCACTGTTCTCACAGCAGAGAGTGGAGGGCAGGCTTGCAGCTTGGCTCTGTGTGCCCTCAGGCAATAACATCCTTAGCCCTCCTTCCTGAGGCTGATCTGTTCATGCATACCACGGGAATCACATGTGTGCCCACTTCATGAACTTACTGAGGTTATAAAAGTAAAACGCTTGCCTAGTATGCTTTAGGGCTTAGGGTCCAGCCTCGGCACCGTAAAAATAAATAAATACCAAAAGTGAAGGTGCACAGATCAACACCCCTGGACGGGACGTCAGTGCTCAGTCAGTTCTGGCTTGTGGTTTTAATCACTGTCACCACCATTACTAAGCAGTTCTTACTCCTTCCAGGATCATGTGCGATCGGAGTTGTCTTTTAAAACATTCTTTTAATCCCAGCACTCGGGAGGCAGAGGCAGGCGGATCTCTGTGAGTTCGAGGCCAGCCTGGTCTCCAAAGAGAGTTCCAGGAAAGGCGCAAAACTACAGAGAAACCCTGTCTCGAAAAACCAAAAAAAAACAAAAAAACAAAAAACATTCTTTGAATATCCCAGGTTTAGGCTGAACCTCCCAGGCCAAGGGCAGAGGCAAGGCCTGATGGCCGAGGGGCGGGGTTTCGGGGGCCTGATGGCCGAGGGGCGGGGTTTCGGGGCCTGATGGCCGAGGGGCGGGGTTTCGGGGGCCTGATGGCCGAGGGGCGGGGTTTCAGGGCCTGATGGCCAAGGGGTGGGGCTTAGGGGGCCTGATGACTGAGGGGCGGGGTTTCGGGGCCTGATGACTGAGGGGCGGGGTTTAGGGAGCCTGATGGCCAAGGGGCGGAGTTTAGGGGCCTGATGGCCGAGGGGCGGGGTTTTGGGGAACCTGGTGACCGAGGGGCGGGGTTTCGGGGCCTGATGGCTTAGGGGCGGGGTTTAGGGAGCCTGATGGCCGAGAGGTGGGGTTTCGGGGCCTGATGACTGAGGGGCGGGGTTTAGGGGCCTGATGACCGAGGGGCGGGGTTTCTGGGCCACAGCCCCACAGCCCCAGGGCTGTCTCTCCCTCACCTCCATCTCAGCGTAGCTACTCCCAGCTTCCACGTGGTCTCCATCCTCCACCGTGTACTGTGTCAGCTTCCCAGCCGAGGGGGCTCTCAGGACCGTGGGGTCATTCTCCTTCTCAAACACGCACGTCTTATTGCCAATAGTGATCCGGTAACTAGGCGGCCGGGGAGAGTGGGATGTGGGAAACGGATGAGGCCCAGCAAGAGAGCCAGACTTCGGGGTAATTTCCCTTTCCTAGGGCAGGCATTCCATCACCCTCTGCGAGGCATTAGAGCCTTTATTTCTTTTTCTTTCTTTCTTTTTTTTTTAGATTTAGAAAAAAAATTAAGATTTATTTTTATTTTATGTGTACTGATATCTTGCCCGCATGTGTTTCTGTATGAGGGTGTTAGATTCCATGGAACTGGAGTTACATAGACAATTGTGAGCTGCCATGTGGGTGATGGATTGAACCCGGGTCCTCTGGAAGAGCAGCCAGTGCTCTTAACTGCTAAGCCTTCTCTCCAGCACCAGGCCTTTATTTCTTGTGGCTAAAAACTAATTTCTATTACTGACATAATCCCCCCAGAGCCTGGCACAGGGAAATCAATCAATTAATACTATTCAATAACTCTATTTTGTTTGTTTGTTTGTTTGTTTGTTTTGTTTTGTTTTTCGAGACAGGGTTTCTCTGTGTAGTTTTGGTTCTTGTCCTGGATCTCGCTCTGTAGACCAGGCAGGCCTCGAACTCACAGAGATCCGCCTGGCTCTGCCTCCCGAGTGCTGGGATTAAAGGTGTGCGCCACCACCGCCCAGCTCAGTAACTCTTAACTAATTCTAACTCCTTCCTTCAACTGAACTGGGGAAGACAGGTTTTGGGCAGAGCTTACAAGAACCTTGAATACTCTTAGCAGACAGGACACAGTCAGAAGGCAGAGTAAGCGGTGCTGAGGTACGATTCTAAGCTACCTTCTTCTAAAATATTGGGGACTGAGAAAGGAGTCCCCCTTACCCAACTCCCAGGACTGGACTCTAACACATGTTACACACCCCACACTTTGATCTCTTTGGCCAGGGTCTGAGTGGCCTCCCCTGCCACTGTGACCTCAGCATGGTCAGGCACAAGGGAGCTGGAAGTATCTGGACCCCCAGGGCAACGCACCATGCCTGGAGCTTCCAGGACCCTTCAGGACACAAAGCTAGCCACTTCCTGCCACTGTCTGTCCAGTGTGTCATCTTCTGCCACAGGCTAGAAGCCCAGGAGTGATTACATCCTCACCCCCAGCCTAGCACACCACCCACAGTAGCTCAGTGGCCAGCCGTTGGATGGGGTATCTAGCCTGTGCTCATCCTCCAGGGCTGTGGGCCCTGTAGCTCAGACCCAGGGCAGCTGGCACCTCCTCACTTACCCTGCCGACCATGGAGCAGGTTGTCACGTCCTGTTTGGCCCTGCATCCTCTGGTAACTGGAAATGGTAACTGCCTGGGAATCCCTACTCTCAAACACCTGCCAGGTGCATGGAGCTCCAGCCAGGATGGGGACTCTCTCCGAATGCCCCGGAATGAACCCAAACGGGCTTGAGCTAGAACCTCAGGCCTGCAGAGGCCAGCTTTGCCTTTCAGCTCCTACAGAGAAAGCTGCACATCCCCCACGCTGCCCGCGCCCCGGTACTCACGCACCTGTCCACTTCTTCCTTCATGTACGTTGTGTAACTGCTGCCATTGTAGGACAGGAGCAGCCCCCCATCGTTCAGCCGGTGGGCATCAATCTCGATGTGGCAGTCATTCATGATGAGAACGAACACAGTCAGGGACTGCCGGGCCACCTGTGGGGACATCAGAACCCCCATGGCTCCTACGGTGAGCATGAGCTAGCAGTCTACTCCTGCCCTGGCTGTGGACAGATGGCTTCAGGCTGCAGACACAGGCCCTGTGGAGCCATCCCGGGCTGAGCCGGGTTTCCTCGGGATTTCAGTTTCCAAGCGTCACTATGGCCGGTGGGGACTGGGGCTTGTGCTCTGCTGAGGCGACCATGGAGGCTTCGTCAGGGACCTAGTGCCCTAAGTTGTATGTGCCTCCCACATTCCTACGCCAAAACCAAGCCTCAGAGGAGATCTTAGTAGGAAGTGGGGCCTCTGGTTCAAGTACACATGTCACGAGGGCGGAGCCTTCTTAGCACCCTTAGAAAAGGGACCCAGGGCCGGGAGATGACGCAGGTCATGGCAGCTGCCATCAAGCCTGACAAGCTGAGTTTGATCCCTGGGATCCACCTGGTGGGAAGAGAATCAACTCCCGAAAGCTATCTTTGACACACACACACATATGCACATGCACACACACACACATATGCACATGCACACACACACATACACACACATACATATGCACACACATATGCACATACACACACATATGCACATACACACACACTTGTACTCTCATACACACACACACACTGTACATACATACATATGTACACACACATGAATGAACAAACAAATTCAATTTAAAAGTTATTAAAGGAACTCCAAAGAGCCCCCTTGCCCTCTTCCACCACAGGAAGACACACAGCGAAAGAGGATCCCCTCTAGAAACCAGGAAACGGGCCCTCAGAAGATACTGAATTGGCCCGTGCCTTGACCCTGGATGTCCTGGCCTCAGAAATAGGAGTAATGTCTCCTGTGGTTTACGAGCCCGCTGGTCTATGCATTCTGCTATGAAAACCGGAATGGAGAGAGACTCCTGAATATGGTCTATAGCTTAGGAGATCCGGGACACTGGAGGGAGGCGTGTACACTGGGCTCTGGCCCAGGCTCTTCACTTCTATTGCAATGAAATATCAACCCAAATCCGGCCCTTATCCATCATACCTTCACAACATACACACAGGTGTTACGTCACACACAGACAAGTGTGTGATAAAAGATAGTGAGAAATATGTTTCAGCATTCTTTGGGTACCACTCAGCTCTCCTCTCCTAAACTCAGAGTGTTTAGAATTCAAAGTCACGAACCACAGACAGCCCTGAGGGACACGCTGCTCAGACCCCCACATGAAGACTCCACTCCAGGTTCACAGAAGTCAGGCTCAAAATGGTAGGAACTTCTGAGACGCGCAGAGACTGCGCCTTTACCTTGAGGATGTACTTGACGCCTCCATAAATCAACTCAACATCCACAATGTTCAGCAGAGAATCAGCCGGGAGGACCTGACCCCTGATGGAGAAGATGGATATGACGTCAGTCCAGGGAGGAGCAGAGGTCCCTACAGCGCACCTTGGGTTCAGCGACATCCGCCATGGCCCCCCAGAAGGCTGGAGCGGAACTCATGGCAGGGCTGGGCTCCACCCCCAACACTGGGCTCCACCCCCAGCATCATCAAGCGGTCAGTGGGCTGGCTTTTAGCCCTTCATAGGCACCAGCAAACCAGACCGAGCTGAGACTGATTAAAGGTGTGGGACACAGATCCCAGAGCGGAACTGGCACCCACTGAAGAACGGGACATTTTTAAATGACTTCAAAACCTTAATGACGGCTTCTCCTAGGAGAAAGTCCCACATGGAAGTCAGGTGTGGTGGCATGTGTCTATTAACCTGGCACTGGGGAGGGTAAGGCAGGAGGATAAGTCAGCCTGGGATACACACCAAACTGTCTCACAAAAATATAAATGGGGGAAAGTGGAGGGGGGGGGTCTGCCACCCTCTAGCACGTGGGCTGTGATTATGCTGTCACTCAAAGGCAGTGAGCAATCACTACTGTTTTTTCTTTGACACTTTTTGTGGGTACACCGTTCGTTTGTCATGGCTCTTCTCAAGAGAGGGCACTTGGTTCTTATTGCTGGGCCACACAGGGCACGGGCCCGCCTTGGCCTGTAGTAGGCAGGAGTCACGGATTCTGCCGCCACCCTGCAATACACAGGACGGTCCTCCCAAACGACGATCCAGGCAGAAGTTGCCCTGCGGGCCTCACTGCACCCTACGGACCCTCCATACCCACAAACCTCTCTGGCTCAGCCCCAGCCTCTTCCAGGCAATACAGAATGTCGAAGGCAAGCCCAAAGGAGAGGCAGCCTCAAAGCACATCCCACCTGGCATGGTGGCACACAAGTATAATCCCAGCGCCCGGGAGGCTGAGGCAGGAGGATCCAATTCGGATGCCAGCATGAGCTACTTAATGAGTCTATTTCCAAACACCACAAAAAGCCCACCCTGCCCTCCACGCTGCCCACACACCACAGGAGGGAACAAGAGAACTGCCCGCCCTACCTTTCCAAGGAGTGCAAGAAATCCGTCATGCAAGTTCTGAACATCGCATCTGCCACGTTCAAGGCCCCACACACCACCCCGAGCATGATGTCCGGCTTCTCTGCCTAGGAAAGACTCCAGGTCTCGGTACCTGCCGGAAGCATGGATCTCAGCCACCCCCGGGGAGGCAACGCGGCTTCCTACCTGTACCCGCTCAGCAATGAGGTGGTCCAGCCACCCTGTGTCGATGTCGTTGTTCTGGAAGTTCTCGGTCTCCAGAAGGTTCACGAGGTATTCCACAGTGGTCCGGAAGTCACCCCGAATGGACAGTTCCTTTAAAGCCACCACCATGTTGCTGGAGGGGAAAGAGACGTGATTGGTTTCCACACACCCCATGTTTGCTGTGGATGTCCATGATGTGTTTCTCGGGGCACCTGAGAGCTTCTGGATGGGATGACCAAGCTCAGTCTCAGCTCCACATGGACTGGCTGGGTGATCGCACATGAGTAACTTACCTACCTGGGCCTCAGTTACCTCATCTGAAAAATGGGGGGGGGGGGGTAACCCTGCTGCCCGCAGTACTTGAGGTTTGCTCCATGTAAAGCAGTTCCCAGTGTCTAATCACCGATTGTCTGGATATGTAAAGAGGAGCGTGTCTCTCTGGCTCTGGCTCCCCTTGGCCTAATCTCCTGTCCTCAGAAGAGCCACTTCTGCCTGTTTCCTGGCTGCTCTGCCCAGGGGTGTCTGCTGCCCCTGGCTCAGCAGCTTGGCAAGCTGCAAGGCTGTGGGACTGCAGTGGACGTTTCTGGGACAGGCACTAGGGTGAGCAGATTCCTAGAGAGCCAATCCCAGACTCAGAGGCACGCGCCCCCCCATCCCCCAGACTCTGGCGGCTGCGAAGGCTGGAGTTCCCTCCCGAGTCTGCTGCAGTCAGCACCACAGTTCGAGACTCGCCTGGGGGCTTTCACCTGGAGCGCGCTGGGCCCACCTCCTCCCGTTAATTAAGTCCGGTTTGCCGCAAATCTCCCTCCATACTCTCCAAAGTCCTCAATTCGCCACAGAACGTGATTAAAATGAATTAGTCTAAGCTGACGGAGGAGTGCCACCATCACAGCTGTCAAACTGAACTGAATTAATTCATGGTTAAACAATTAGGCCAGCCTAATGCTTTTTATTTATTTTTTTAATGTGCATTGGTGTTTTGCCTGCATGTTGGTGAGGCTGTCAGGTACCGTGGAACTGGACAGCCGTGAGCTGCCATGTGGGTGCCGGGAACTGAACCCAGGCCCTGTGGAAGAACAGCCAGTGCTCTTAACCACTGAGCCATCTCTCCAGCCCCCGAGTCTAATGTTTTATTGAATGAAACAGTCCCTGATGTCTCTGGGCTCTTGTCACTCTGGAGGGTGACTACCTGCATGGGAATGTTTAATTATAACACAAACTGGGTTTTACCTTCCCGGGCCCACGTCAAGGCAGGAAGATTTAAAGAGGAGCAGCAGGGGAGTCCTCGGTTAACATGAGTTTCTCAGTCTGAAGAAACTACTGTGGCGGGATTTGACTAGGCAGGGAACAGAGGCCACTGTCACGGGCTTGAGGTGGACCAGGGAGCAGCAGGACACCCCCAGAAGAAACGAGTCTCAGTGTGGACATGGAATTAGTTATGAGGTTGACATGCTAAGGTGCCTCTGCCCTCCTCAGAGCCTAGTCCTCGGCACCCTGAGACACCTTTCAATAGCTTTGTGTCTCCTTGAGGCTAGACCTCTTGCGTGCTCAAGACCCAGTGGCCCTGGTGAGTTCTCTGCCATCCACAAGTCTCCAACAAAGAGACGTTGTTCTCGAACATCAGCTGCCTTGTGAGGTCTAGGGTCAAACTCGGGTGATCAGACCTGTATACAAGTATTTCTGAGTGTTTCTTAAAAGAGGGAGACGGGGATGGAGAGAGGGAGGGAGGAAGGGAAGGGGAGACAGAGGCAGAGAGGGAAGAGAAGCAAGCAGGAAATACTGACGAAATGGCCTCTTCACGGTTCTCGCCCCAGGAGAAGCAGTGCCCGAACTGCGAATCCGCGAACTCGTGCAAGCCTCCAGCAGCCGCCACGCTGAAGTAACCCCACACGTTCTTGTTGCTGCGGAAGTTCAGCTCCTGGACTGTCCCCGAGCTTGGCTTAAAACCCTGGAGCCCAGACAGACAGAAAAGAAGGCGTTACTCCAAGTACATTGTGTCTTCGTGGTGATTTGGTTCTGGGAAAGCCTACCACAAGCGAAAGTTCAGGGTCATCAACAGACAGACAACTCCGGCAATGGCTGTGGGCGTGTCTATCTGTGGGCGGGGCATCAACAATCAACACCCACAACTGTGGGCGTGGCTATCTGTGAACTTGTCTGTGGGCGTGTCTATCTGTGGGCGTGTCTGTGAATCTGTCCAGGCGAGCACCTGGTTAGGGAGATAACCCACTCCATAATAGCACTGGCTTTGCAAGCAAGAGGGCCTGGGTTTGATCCCCACAACTCACATTAAAAAAGCATCATGCACACGTGATCTCCGCACTGGTGGGGCAGAGACAGGCAGATGCCTGGGGCTCACTGGCCAGCTCAGCCTAGCCTTTAGCAAACTTGTGAGCTCCCAGCCAGTGAGAGACCCTGTCTTAAAAAAACAAGGTGGCTGGGTGGTGGTGGCGTACACCTTTAATCCCAGCACTCAGGAGGCAGAGCCAAGCGGATCTGTGTGAGTTCGAGCCCAGCCTGGTCTACAAAGCGAGATTCAGGACAGGCACCAAAACTACACGGAGAAACTCTGTCTTGAAGACAAAATAGATAGATAGATAGATAGATAGATAGATAGATAGATAGATAGATAGATAGATAGATAGATAGATAGATTGATTAAAAAAAAAAAAAAAGGTGAGTGGCCCCTGAGGAATGATGCTAGAGGATGTCCTCTGACCTCCACATGCATGTGCGCACACACACACACACACACACCCACACACACACACACACACACACACACACACACACACACACACGACTGCAAAAGAGCCAGGCATAATGGTACACGTGGGAGGTGGCACAGGAAGATCACAGGAAGATCAAGAGTTCAAGATCACCTTGGCTACATAGTGAACTAGACACCAGCCTGGGTTACATGAAAACCTTCCTCAAAACATCTTTTAAGAAAATGTAAAAGAGCAATGACAAAGAGTCGGGGTTGGGATGTCTCGGTGTGAACAGGCTGAACACGGTGAGAGCCGCCCTGGGAGGAGGTCCACTCAGCTTGGGGACACTGGACATTTTCAATGACCCCAGTTTAGGTAAGGGGCTGGAGAGGCAGCTCAGTGGTGAGAAGCTCTGGCTGCTCCTGCAGGGAACCCGGATTCAGTTCCCAGTGCCAACGTGGCTGCTCGTAAGCATGTGTGACTCCAGTTCAGGGGATGCGATGCCCTCTTCTGGCCTCCTCGGGTACCAGGCACATACATGGGGCACAGACATGCGTTCAGGCAAAAACACTCATACACAATAAATAAAAACACATAATTGTTTTTTAATTTTGAGTGAGCTGGGTACGGGAGTACATGCCTTTAAGACCAGCACTCAGGAAGCAGAGACAAAAGAAACAGAAAAGAAATGTGAAGGTAAAAAGAAAGGCCTGCTAGATGGCTCAGTGGGTAAAGAAGGTTAGGGCAAAGCATAATGACTTGAGTTCGAAGCCCAGACTCCACAGGTAGACGGAAAGAACTGACTTTCACAAGTCACCCTGACCTCCACATGCTCACTGTGGTTCCCATGCATACAAACAATAAATAAGTATTAAAAAGTTTCTTTTTAAAAAAGTGAAGATGTGGTACTGGGGGTGTGGCTAACATCCCACCCGGCTGTCTACCACATCTGGTGTTTGTAGACAGAGATCCAAACAAGAAAAATGGGGGCTCACCCCAGGTTCCTCAGACACAGTATGATTTAAACATTGAACACTGATGTATATTGACATGAATAGAAACATCAAATGATAACCCACTAGTGTGCCCAATTAAAAATATCTTTGACGCTGGGCATGGTGGTGCATGCCTTTAATCCCAGCACTCAGGAAGCAAAATCAGGCAGATCTCTGTGAGTTTGAGGCCAGCTTGGGCTACAGAGTGAGATCCAGGACAGCCAGGGCTGTTATAGAAAAACCCTGTCATAAAACATAAACAAAAAATCTTTCATTAAAAAATAAAATAAGGGCCAGGCAGTGGTGGTGCACACCTTTAATCCCAGCACTTGGGAGGCAGAGGCAGACAGATCTCTTGTGAATTTGAGGTCAGCCTGGTCTACAGAATAGCCAAGTCTATACAGAGAAACCCTGTCTCAAAAAAATTAATAAATAAAAATAAAAAATAAAGTAAAACACAACAATGAAACCAGAGCAGACTGGTGAGTCCCAGAAGAATGAGCAGCCAGAAGATGTGTAAGCAATTATGCCAGCCAATTCGCTTTCAAGACCCCAGTAAGAACAAGCCCCAGGGGGACCTCCCACAGGCTCCCTAAAGACTAGACCACAGCAAAAAGCACACAGAGCCAGACATCCAAGAACTTTGGCTCCAGATCTGGCTGCACACGCCAAAGATGAAAACTGCATGGAGAGATGGAGAGTCGGGAATGGGCTTTGTTGACCCCAGCAGGCCGTAATATATATACCCGCACCGTGAGGTCATGTGAGTGAGGGCTTTCCTGAAACCCAAAGCCATGACACGTAGCTCCCACACTCAGCTTCTTGTGTATACTGAGAAGCCTGGGTGCTGGTGCCCTCCCTCCCCCTCTCCAGGGCAAAGATCAGGGGCCCACCCTTCTTCCCTGGGAGTCTACGGTTAATGGAAACACAGGGGCCCCTCACTTGCCTCATCCGGGTTTTCACTGGTGATCCTGGCCGCAATGACGTGACCTCGGGCAATGGGCGGGCTCAGAGGGGTCTCAAAAGAAATGGGGGTCACTCCCCAGGGGGATTCGCCATACAGAAGTCGTATGTCCTTCAGCCGGTGCAGGGGCACGCCCATGGCGATCTAAAAGGAGAAACCCATCCCACAGGTCAGTCTGCTAGGATCCCACCCTGAAACCTGGAGGGCAACATCACTCCAGGAGCAAATCTGTGCTTAAGTCAGAGGCTAGCCTCTTGGAGCTACAGAAGCGGCGGCGGCGGCGGCGGCGGCGGCGGCGGCGGCGGCGGCGGCGGCGGCGGCGGCACACGCCTTTAATCCCAGCACTCGGGAGGCAGAGGCAGGCAGATCTCTGTGAGTTCGAGGCCAGCCTGGTCTACAGAGGGAGATCCAGGAAAGGTGCAAAGCTACACAGAGAAACCCTGTCTCGAAACAAAAAAAAAAATTCTAGTGTGAATCAAACCAGGAAGAAATAATCAAGCAAATGCAAACTGAGGGACATTCAGCCTGAATGCTCAACAGCACTGATGTCGGGCGGGTGAGACGGCTCAGCAGATAAAGGTGACTGCTGCCAAGTCTAACGACCTGAGTTCAATACCAGACCCCACCTGGTGGAAGGAGAGAGCCTATAAAACATCCTCTGACATGGCATGACATGGCATGCTCGCATTCACACACATAAAAATCAATCAATGTCTTCCAAAAAAATCACCAAGGTCACATGAGGCCCTGGGTTCCATGACCAGCACCCCTCAAAAAGAATGAAAAGGAAAAGACCAGGGAATGTTCCAGACTTAAGAGGACACACAACACTGAAAGGGAATGTACATCTGAGTTGGTCAGCATTTGTAAAAACAAAATAAAAACTGCCATCATATTGGGCTGGGCACAGTGGTGCAGGCCTTTAATCCCAGCAGCACTCAGGAGGCAGAGGCAGGTGGATCTCTGTGAGTTCGAGGCCAGCCTGGTCTAAAGGCACCAAAACTACACAGAGAAACCCTGTCAAAAAAAAAAAAAAAAAAAAAAAAAAAGGAACTATTGGAACAATTAGAAACGTTTAATATAGATAGTGTATCGATTAAACACTGTCCCGATGCTGTATTTCCCATGGGCAACAAGTACATTGTGACATTGTTCCAGACACCTTGTGCCTTTATACAGCAGTATTGGGAGACTGGTCACAAAGGTTCAGTCCATCCTGTGGCTTCATAACCCTCTCTGCCTCTCGGTCTCTCAGAAGTCAGGCCACACACCTCCAACTCAGGTAAGAAACTATGCTGTTTTGGGGCCTTGCGGCCCCTCCCCAAAGCCTCGTGATAAATTTACGTTCCTATCCAGTACCTGGCTCCTTGGCATGTAGGCTAGGCCAGGACAAACTCTGCACTAACCAGGCCCAGACACGCTTAGCTTTGGAGATTCAAGGTGTCATGGCTGCAGACAAGGTATCTCTTCAAGGGAAGGCTCTCTCTCTGTCTCTCTCCCCCTCCTCCCCTCCCTCCCCCTCTCTCTCTCTTCCTCCCCCTACCCCTCCCTCTTCCCCATACCCCCACAAGGTCCCCTCATACTGTACTCTTCTATCTCAAGGCCCCATCATGGCCCCTGTGATCACGAAGTCCTTCCCTGATTAAACAAATGTTCCATAGCACAAACAAATGTAACACATCTTAAAATAATATTCTACAACATTTCCCCCTTTTTGTCTAAATGCCCAGCACCCACATCAGGAGACTCATGATGCTTCTAACTCCAGCTCCAGAGGATCTGATGACCTCAGGCCTCCAAGAGCACCTGTACACATGTGGTTGGTGCACATAAACTCATGAAAATACACACAAATAAAAATAAATAATGCTTTTTTAAAAAAAATCTTTCAAAAAACAACAATGTATAAACAGGGAAGGAGGGGAGAACAGAGGGAAGAGGCATTGATTTTAAAAATGTAAGAGGGGTTGGGGATTTAGCTCAGTGGTAGAGCGCTTGCCTAGCAAGTGCAAGGCCCTGGGTTCGGTCCTCAGCTCTGGAAAAAAAAATAAAAAAAATTAAAAAAAACCAAAAATGTAAGAACTCTCATTAACAAAGGAGTCCTTAGCTGTGGGTCACATGCTCTCAAAATTTGTGTAATATACATTACATCAATGAATTGCCATGTGCTGTTAAAGCTAACTGAGAGGCCAGCTCTGGAGGGACAGTCACCACCCCTAATGCTATCCTAAGAATGTCTTCTCAGCCGGGCGGTGGTGGCGCACGCCTTTAATCCCAGCACTCGGGAGGCAGAGCCAGGCGGATCTCTGTGAGTTCGAGGCCAGCCTGGACTACCAAGTGAGTTCCAGGAAAGGCGCAAAGCTACACAGAGAAACCCTGTCTCGAAAAACCAAAAAAAAAAAAAAAAAAAAAAAAGAATGTCTTCTCAAACCCTTGTCCGGGAAAAGCCGGCCCTGTGAAAAGGGAATAGAAAACAGAACAGCTTGAGTGAGGTCACCACATCCAAGAGTGAGGTCACCACATCCAAGAGTGAGATCACCACCACATCCAAGAGTGAGGTCACCACCACATCCAAGAGTGAGGTCACCACCACATCCAAGAGTGAGGTCACCACATCCAAGAGTGAGGTCACCACATCCAAGAGTGAGGTCACCACCACATCCAAGAGTGAGGTCACCACCACATCCAAGAGTGAGGTCACCACCACATCCAAGAGTGAGGTCACCACCACATCCAAGAGTGAGGTCACCACCACATCCAAGAGTGAGGTCACCACCACATCCAAGAGTGAGGTCACCACCACATCCAAGAGTGAGGTCACCACCACATCCAAGAGTGAGGTCACCATGTCCTTGAGAACAGGAGGAAAGTAAAGAGTGGAAGCAAATCAGTGTCTTTGAGCACAGTCGGGAGGTCGGTCATTGCCAGCCACCTTCCCAAAGCAGGAGCATCAGTTGCTGCTCACACTGTGACACAGAAAGGCCTGGGCTGCTGCTCACACTGTGACACAGAAAGGCCTGGGCTGCTGCTCACACTGTGACACAGAAGAAAGGCCTGGGCTGCTGCTCACACTGTGACACAGAAGAAAGGCCTGGGCTGCTGCTCACACTGTGACACAGAAAGGCCTGGGCTGCTGCTCACACTGTGACACAGAAAGGCCTGGGCTGCTGCTCACAGTGTGACACAGAAAGGCCTGGGCTGCTGCTCACACTGTGACACAGAAAGGCCTGGGCTGCTGCTCACACTGTGACACAGAAGAAAGGCCTGGGCTGCTGCTCACACTGTGACACAGAAGAAAGGCCTGGGCTGCTGCTCACACTGTGACACAGAAAGGCCTGGGCTGCTGCTCACACTGTGACACAGAAAGGCCCGGGCTGCTGTTCACACTGTGACACAGAAGAAAGGCCCGGGCTGCTGCTCACACTGTGACACAGAAAGGCCCGGGCTGCTGTTCACACTGTGACACAGAAAGGCCTCAGCTGCTGCTCACACTGTGACACAGAAAGGCCCGGGCTGCTGTTCACACTGTGACACAGAAAGGCCTGGGCTGCTGCTCACACTGTGACACAGAAGAAAGGCCCGGGCTGCTGCTCACACTGTGACACAGAAAGGCCTGGGCTGCTGCTCACACTGTGACACAGAAAGGCCTGGGCTGCTGCTCACACTGGTGTTAACACTGTTCCCAACTGCCTCGGCTGGGAGGAGATGTTCTGCCCAGGACCCTCCTAGCCAAATGCTCCAGCAGATTGTTTGGGTCCCAGGCTTCCTCAGTGTGTTCTGCCTGATGGCCCATGTGACTGATCTAACCCCCTTCCACCACCCTGCTCCTCGCTGCTTTATCCCTCTCCCATTTGCTGTACACTTAATAAACCCCTTCAGGGATTGGAGAGATGGCTTGGCGGTTAAGAGCACTGGCTGCTCTTCCAGAGGTCCTAAATTCAACTCCCAGCAACCACATGGTGGCTCACAGCCATCTGTAATGAGATCTGGCGCCCTCTTCTGGCGTGTAGGCAGGCGTACATGCAGACAGAACCCTGCATACATAATAAATAAATCTTAAAAAAAAAAAAAAAAACCTTCAAAGCCCAAAGCATGACCGGTGGATCATTCTCCCTACGAAACAGTGTGACTCTAGGCCAAGTGAAAAAGAAAATCTTCCTCCTTTTATGTAAAAAGCAGAGGTGGGCGAGTAGCCATCCGCCCAGGTCCTCCTCACCTGCAACTGTGCGGCGGGCAGATTGACATCTGCGATCATTTCAGTGCACGGATGCTCCACTTGCAAGCGTGGGTTCAGCTCCAAGAAATGGAAGCTGCCGTCCTGGCTGTAGAGGTATTCCACCGTCCCAGCACTCACGTAACCCACGGTCTTGGCCAGGAGGACAGCACACTGCAGAGACAGACAGAAGCCAAGGGCTTCCAGCAGCTCTTGGGTGAGTGGCAGCCACCATTCCCTCCCCAAGTGCACTCTGGGGAGCTGCCCCTTGGGAGTCCTGACCAGTGATGAACACATCTGTGCGATGCTGAGATCCCCGGGATGGGCTCCCTGCCACATCCACACCTTGCAGCTACCATCGCTATAACCCGTTTCTTCTGAGCTGCCCCAAGCCCAGGTCTGGCAAAGGCACCTGTTCCATGAACTCAAACACAGCTGGAGCGGCAATGGTGGCTGGCGCCTCCTCGATAATCTTCTGGTGCCGCCTCTGGATGGAGCAGTCGCGTCCAAACAGCGAGACGGCGTTTCCATACTGATCTGCCAGGACCTGGACCTCCAGGTGCCTCGCATTCTGGGCCAGCTTCATGAGAAAGATAGGCGAGCCCGGGATCTCACTCTGCACCTGTCGGGGAAGCACAGGTGATGGCTGATCCCGGGATACTCCAGCTCTGGAAGCTTCTGCAAGTTCTCAGAAGGAAACACTAAAGAATAGCAATGATATGGGTAGGGGATCCTCCCAGCCACTACGCATTCCTCACTTTCTTTTTTCCTCCAACAGACACATGCTATCCTTTCTCATTGTTTTTAAGTCAAATGCTGTTAAAAGGGTACCATTTCCCCAACAATCCTACACTAAGGGTGTCACACGAAGTGGAACGTGGTGGTCTGTACCTGTAACCTCAGGACCCAAGAGGCTGAAGCAGGAAGGCTGTCAAAAGTTTAGGGCCAGCCTGAACTACATGGGGAATTCAAGACTAGCCTCAGCTACGCAGCAAAACACAAGACAAACAACAATGAAAATCCACTCCCTGAGTTTAGTTTTCTGGGGGTGTAGCACACGGCATGGTGTAATAATTAATGTATTGTGCACTTGAAATCTGCTCAAAGGAGTCTCAAGCATGCTTCCCAAGCACACATAAGCATGTGAGGTGCTGGATCTTTGAGAATCACCCCAGCAAATATATGAAGGACGGAACACCACGCGGAACAGTTTAAACACACGCAACTTTATCTGTCGAATAGCGATCCACAGAGGGGTAGGAGTGGGGTTGCAAGCTACCTTTCCCCTGCACATGCAATAACATATAGAATATTTCTTTAGACAAAACACCCCCACATCCACCTCTGGGCTGGGGAACCTGGGTGATGGAAGAGCAGATGGGAACCATCCCCTCTGATGCTCAAAGTTTCTAGAAGCTCTTCCTAAGGCTGCTTACCCAGCAGACACAACATGGCAGTGAATCCGATATCAGGATACGGCACTCACACTCTGAGAGCAGGACCACAAGAAACCCTTTCTAGCAGGTTCTCAAAGTATATTTGTCAGGGCATGAGAAGTGTACGGGCTTAACTGAGTCTTTCTCCAGAGGGCTTTTGTTGTTGTCTGAGACAGAGTCTCACTGTAGCTCTAACTAGCCTTAGACTCACTATGTAGACCAGGCTAGTCCTGCATTCACAGAGATGCACCTGCCTCTGCCTCCTGGTTAAAGGTGTGCACCATCATGCTGGCTCTTCAAAGGTCTCTATTGAAGAAATAATTCAGAACGGAAAAAAAAAGCAAGGTACATCAAATACCATGGCATGGTGTGTGTGATACCACATCATGGGGTGTGTGTGAGTGTGGGTGGGCAAATGTGGGTGGTGTAGGTGAGTGTGAGTATGTATGAGTATGTGTGTGTGTGTGAGTGGTAAGTGTAGGTGAGTATGTGTGTATGAGTGTAGGTGGGTGTGGGTGGGTGAGTGTGGGAATGTGTGGGCTGGTAGGTGAGTGGGTAGGGCTGGGGTGGAGCCAGGAGTTTTGTGCTTGCTAGGCAAATGCCCCACCATGAGTGACACTCTATGTCACTGATATGTCAGAATGTGGTTTTCCCTCCAGGGCTAACGTTGGAGCTTAATCCCCACGTGAGGAAATAAAAGGGTAGGAAGGAAATTTAATACAACTGTGGCGTCTGGGGGTCAGGCCTTTTGGAGGTGATCAGAAGTGTGTAAGGTCATCAGGCTAGAGCCTCTGGTTGAATCCTGGTGGCTTTGTAAGAGAGACCAGAAGACACACACACATGCCACACACACCATACATGCCACACACACACACACACCACACATGCCACACATGCCACACACACCACATGCCCATGTGGTGTCTTGAATCACTCTGGTACTCTGCCAGCAAGAGGGGTGTTGTTGCCAGGCATGGTGGCACACGCCTTTAACCCGAGCACTCGGGAGGCAGAGGCAGGCAGATCTCTGTGAGTTCGAGGCCAGCCTGGTCTACAGAGCGAGTTCCAGGACAGCCAGCGCCACACAGAGAAACTCTGTCTAGAAAAGCCAACACAGCCGGGCGGTGGTGGCGCACGCCTTTAATCCCAGCACTTGGGAGGCAGAGCCAGGCGGATCTCTGTGAGTTCGAGGCCAGCCTAGGCTACCAAGTGAGTTCCAGGAGAGGCGCAAAGCTACACAGAGAAACCCTGTCTCGAAAAACCAAAAAACAAAAAAAAAAAGAAAAGCCAACACACACACACACACACACACACACACACACACACACACACACACTTTGCTACATGCCTGCAGCCTGGTAGTATAAGTCTTGAACGCACTGTGATGAAAGGCGGGGTTAACAGAGGGAGGAGGCTAGCTACAAACACAGGAGCCACGCCCACACGGAAACCGAACATCCAGACGCTTAAAAACATAAACCCCAAACCGTAAGATTTACAAAATACCCTAAGCAAACAGGTGACCATTTCGGAGACCCTCTAAGGCAAGCCTCCGCCCATCTGAAGGGATGCTGCAAAGGCCAGCAGGAGCCACGGGCCTCTGTGAGCCATGATGTGAACATTTGCTTCAAGGGACCACACAAAGTGGGTGTGTGGCTCAGTGGCCACACTGAGAGAGCTTGTTTAGAAGTGTGAGCCCTTGGGTTCCCACCCCAGCACCGCTACCACTCAGAGAGAGAGAGAAAGTGGGAGGGGAGTACCCTGGGGGGATGTCTCAGTAGTATGGAGAACTGAGTTCAAATCCCCAGAACCCGAATACATAGCAGTGTGTGTATCTGTGAGCTTTCTACCTACAGAGACAGGAGGTGGGACAGGGGCACCTCTGGAAACTCACGGGCCAACTAGCCTATCGTGTGCAGCAGCAAAAACGATATGAGCACCTGTCACGAACATGTGGAGGACAGACAACTCTGACACTCCCTCAACCTGACACTCACAGGCTCACACTCACACACAACACTTAAATAACCAACAACAAAAACCAGCTCTGTAGACCCAGCTCCTGCACATGCTGTCCCCACTTAGGAGGGTATTGCTAATGACTGGACTGAGGCAGAGGCAGGGAAGGGCGCAGGGGAGAGCACGCACTTGTCTGAAGAGCATCGGGAAGTCCTCCGCACTCTCAGCCTTGCGGATGCCTTTTCCTCCGCCGCCTTCGGAGGCTTTGATCATCAGTGGAAACCCAACTTTCTCTGCCGCCTGAGGGAAGAAGACAAACAGGCCCTTTAAATGGGACAAGTCCAACACCAGGGTGTAGGGAAGGCTGTGTCACGCTGGCCCGCGGTCACCACGCTGGCCCTGCGCACTCGGCAGCTACCTCCAAGCCTTCCTCCACATCTTTCACGCAGCCTCGTTCATAGACGTCTTCTGGGACGCTGATGCATTTACCCTGCTGCCTGCTGTCCTCCGTCCACTCCACGGTGAGACCTGAGGGGGACAAAGAGTTGTGTTCTCCTGAGGACCGCAGGAGCACAGCCCAGCAGCCACACCTACGCGTTTCAGGATCCTGAATGGGAATCAAAGCTTAAGGAACATATACAAGGGATGGAGAGCGTTCAGCGGTCAGCAGCACTCGCTGCTCTTCCAGAAGATCTCTTCCCAGCACCCGAGTCAGGCAGCCCACAGCAGCCGCTAACTCCAGCTCCAAAGGGTCTGACAGCCTCTTCTGGCCTCCGAAGGCACCGCACACACATGGTGCACACATACACACACCACATGCATACACACACACACACACCACACACATGTATACACACATGCGTACATAGACATACACATACACACACACCATACACACACACACCACACACATGTATACACACATGTGTACATAGACATACACATACACACACACCATACACACACACACCACACACATGTATACACACATGCGTACATAGACATACACATACACACACACATACACACATACACACACACAGAGACAAATAATAATTTTTAAGATCTTTAAAAAGAAACACACGGAGCAATATGAACCGGAATCTAGAAAGCGCCCCCTCTCTACCCTAGGGAATCACTCTTTTTCTCAGGGATCACTGCTATCCAAAACCAGGCAAAGAGTAAACAAATACATTTCCCAAACTGGAACATTTTCAGTCTTTAGAGGGAAAAAAAGTCGAACGAAATAGGAAAACCTTGACACGTTTTTCCTTTTTTTTTTTTTTTAATCTGCCCTAGAAGTTCTACTTTGGGGCTTTTACCCAAAGATGATTAAAATCACATATATTTAGCTGTAGGACTGTGAAAGCCCCCTTCTCCTTTGACTATTTTTTAAATTGCAGAACAAATGAAGAAATGGCCTAAGCTGTAAATCTGCAGTAAATCACAGCACAGGCGTGTGCCCCACTCGACAAAGTCCGGCACAGGCTCCAGGTGTGGGGCACACGCCTGTGGCCCCAGCTACTCGGAGGCTGAAGCAGGAGGATGATGATGAGTTCTAGGACAACCTGAGAGACCCAGAGATCATCTCAAAACCAACACAAAAGAGTCAGGGAGAAGCTTGGGAGCAGAGTGTGTCACGTGTGCAAGGCCATGGGTTCCAGTCCCAGGACCACAGACAGAAAAGTGACAGCACACGGGCATCTTAAATGGCAGGAAGTCTATTTACTGGGACAGAAAGATGGCCATGATTGCAAAAGAAATTACAAAGTAGTCAATTTAACATCTTTTTAGCTTTTAATTTTGTTTACTATTCGTTTGTGTGAATGTGTGTACCTGTCTGTGTGTGACTGTGTGTGCGTGCGCATGTTTGTGGGTCTGTATGTATGTGATGTATGTGTGCATCTGTGTGTGTATGCATGTCTGTCTGTGTCTGTGTGTGTCTCTACGTATATGAAGTGTGTGCATGGCTTTGTCTGTTTGTGTGTGAATATGTGTGTGTCCGTGTGTGTCTAAGCGAATGTGTGTGTGTGCAAGTCTGTGTCTGTGCGTCTGTATGTAATGTGAGTGTGGGTGTGTATATGGTACATGCCACAGACTGCCTGTAAAGGTCAAGTTTCTCTCTTCCCGCCTTCCCAAGGGAGGGCCTCTCCCACTGTTCCTGCCACTGTGCACCCCAGGCTAGCTGGCCCTCGAGCTTCCAGACGGTTCTGTCTCCATTTCCCACTCCACACAGGCCTGCCGAGGTTATAGTGTGCACCATCACGTGCTGCTTTCTGGGGGTTCTGGGGATCTAGCTCAGGGGTGTCAGGCTCGGGCAGCAAGTGCTTAAACTTGCTGAACCACCTCTGCAGCTCACATCTGGTTTTTAAAGAAAGCAGCTGAGAGAGACCCAGTTAGTGCTCAACCCTGGATCATGAAGGGCTCGGCCTTCGTTTTCCTTTTCTTGTGTGTGTGTATGTATGTGTGCTAGTGTGTGTGTTGGTGTGTGTGTGCATGTGCGTTGGTGTGTGTACATGTGTGTTGGTATGTGTGTGTGTTGGTGTGTGTGTGTATGTGTGTGTGTGTTGGTGTGTGTGTTGGGGTGTGTATGTGTTGGGGTGTGTGTTGGGGGGTGTGTGTTGGTGTGTGTGTGTGTTGGGGTGTGTGTTGGGGTGTGTATGTGTTGGTGTGTGTGTTGGGGTGTGTGTGTGTGTGTGTGTGTGTTGGGGTGTGTGTTGGGGTGTGTGTGTGTTGGGATGTGTGTGTGTTGGTGTGTGTGTGTGTGTGTTGGTGTGTGTGTTGGGGTGTGTGTTGGGGGTGTGTGTGTGTGTTGGGGTGTGTGTTGGGGTGTGTGTGTGTTGGTGTGTGTGTGTGTGTGTGTGTGTGTGGTGGTGTTTTTGAACCAGGGCCTCACACTGTAGCCCAGACTGGCCTGAACTGTGTGCAGCCCCAGCCTCCCCAGTGCTGGGATTACAGACATGAGACACCACAAGCGTGTCCCATTTTCACACCTCTCACATTTTCTAAGTCCGCTACAGTGAAGTCACATTCTTATCTGGTCTAAAATTTTTCAGGTCTGGCTCCCTTACCGCTTCCGCTCCAGGGCAGGGTTGGGATCTGCAACGTCTGGGCTACGATGGTGGAGGCGATCTTATCTCCCAGGGCCCACATGGCCTCACTGGGGGGACCTGCAGGGTCAGGAAAGGACAGCAGAATAGGGTCAGCCGCGGAGAGGCAGAGCTGGTGAGCTCTCGGTCTTGTGCAGCCAGCATCCCTCACCGAGTTCTTTATCTTTGATGGGACACTCAGCTCTGCTCCACTCCAAATCCAGCATGGAGTATACAATGACCACAGACAGGAAAGATTTTTAATTGCATCTGTACTGAATTTGCACAGACTTTTTTCCTTGTCTTGATTACCTAATTAATATTATAGAACCCAGCATGGTCTCTGAACCAGGTTATAAGGAGCCTGGAGATAACTCAACACATAGCGTGTGTAACGATCGTGCCTTTTCATAGAAGGGGCATTGGTGTCTGTGGGGGTCCTGAGGACAGAGGGACTGCCTGTGTGCATACAGAGATGACCAACACATCCACAAACAAAAATCCTGAGACCCACAGATGCCATCAAACAAAGTATCATCTTATCTAACAAAAAGTAAGGGGCTTTGGTCCTGAAAAAAGCAGCCCAGAGATATGGCCCTCTCAGAAATGTGAGCCCTGGGCCAGCTTGGCTGGTACCTTAACACCAACAGAAACACCAGCAGAGGGCATTGCTGGCCACAGCATCACCCCATTGCAATAACCAAGGCAGTGGGTCCTGCTGCCATAGCCTGGTCCACTCACTCACGGCCTCCCACCCCTGCCCTTCATAAGGAAGCCAACCGATCTCCACTGTGAAGAACAGTCGGGGACAGAGACCCTGATCTGGCACCACCCAACCCCCACGCATCGGACAGAGGGCACACGCTACCTAGGAAAGCAATCTCATGCTTGCACAGCAGCTCTGGAAGTTTGGGGTTTTCCGACGCATGGCCCCAGCCAGCCCACACGGCCTGCAAACACAGAGAGGGTGAACAGAGATCCTGCAAGACCCTGCCTGCCACGGCACCCAACGCTCAGCTGTGTCCCACCAGGCCATCACGAACTGTAGCAAGGGGCATCACCGTCCCCACCCCCTGTGGCCACCTTTGAGAGCTGCCAACCATCACCTGCACAGGGATTCGCTTAGCAATGTCTACAATCAGCTCCACGTTGGCGTAGTTGTTGTTATTGGGCCCCCCTGGGACGGGAACGTACTGATCCGCCATTTTGATGTACTCTGCAGTTAAACCGGAGAGAGAGGGGAGAACCGGGGACAGACAGGTCATACACAGAACAGCGAGGTGTGACACATTCTTCCCATGAAGAGCCCATGGCGACCATGGATGATGTGGACAAAAAACGGAAGAAAATCAGCCAGGCGGTGGTGGCGCACGCTTTTAATCCCAGCACTCGGGAGACAGAGCCAGGCGGATCTCTGAGTTTGAGGCCAGCCTGGTCTACAGAGCGAGATCCAGGGCAGGCACCAAAACTACACAGAGAAACCCTGTCTCAAAACAAACAAGTAAACAAACAAACAAAAAAAAGGGAAGAAAACCAAGAATTTTAGTTCTATTCCAATAGCTGTGCAGTAGAGTTAAAGGGAAAAGGTCAGGATGGGCGTTCTTTCTACTAAAGGTTTGTCTTAACACTCTGCCATTAAATACGGTATTTGTTTGTTTGAAGACTGGGTCTCTTGTAGCCCAGGCTAGCCTCAAACTCTATAAGGCTGAGAATGAACTTTGAACGTCTGAGCTTCCCACCTCCACCTCCCAAGCACTGGAATGGCAGGAATATACACCATGCCTAGGGCTTCATGAACGCCAAGCAAGTACTCAAGACCTACAGTTTTTTTTTTCCTATCGTGTATAAAAGTGCATAAACATAGCAGGGTGGTGGTGACGCACACCTTTAATCCCAGCACTCAGGAGGCAGAGGCAGGAGGATCTCTGAGTTCGAGGCCAGCCTGGTCTACAGAGCGAGTTCCAGGACAGCCAGGGCTACACAGAGAAACGCTGTCTCAAAAACAAAAACAAAATCAAAACAAAAAAGAACAAAAACAAAAGCAAAAACATCCATGAGCTAGTGAAGGAGATCCTACAGCTCTGGGGCCCAGGATGGACCTGCCTGAGCAGGGTGGCGGAGGGGAGGGCAGACAGAGATGGCCACGGCCTGGGGTTCAGGTACCTGCATTGGCCTTAAGGTCCTCAGGGGTCACCATGACCACAAAGCGGATGGCACGTTCGTTACGGAACATCTCATAGGCCCAGCGGCGGATGGAGCGCATACACTTGACCGCAGCGATGCCGTTGTTGGCGATGAGGACCTGACGGGGACACCAGGGAAGAGCCAGGACCTTTAGTGGCACCTGCACAGGGAACCCAGAGCACCCGACACGGTCCCACACAGCTGGTGCTCACACACAGGGAGGACGGAGGGAGCGGGTGGGTAGGCAGGAGGACGGACTGGGATGGCAAGGGTGCCCTGGGTGGCCTGCTGTCATTCCCGCTGACGTCTCTGGGTGCTCAGTACACGCCAGGCTGCAGTGACGAGTGTCTCACCTGCTCTGTTTCATTTCACCCTCACAACCGCCCTTGGAAGGGAGTTTTACCATTGCCCTATCTGGAGACTAAAAAGACACTAAAACTCAGAGGAGCTAAGATACTTCCTCAGGGTCACACGGCCAGAGTGTCGGAGCATGGGCTCAAATCCAGATCTCTCCAACTGTAAGGCTCAGATTTGGTTTTTAAAAAATGATCCTCCCAGCACTCAGAAGGCAGAGACAGGAGGATCTCTGTGAGTTCAAGACTAACCTGGTCTACAGAGCAAGATCCAGGCTCGTCAAGGCTACATCATGAGATCCTGTCTCAATAAATAAATTATATGCGTGTGTGTGTGTGTGTGTGTGTGTGTGTGTGTAAAACAATAATAATTAAAGAAGAGGTCATGAATTTGGGAGAGGGGGATACAAGAAGAGTTGAAGGCAGGGATGGAGGGGAGGGAGTGATGTGGGAGGAAGCAGAGCTGTGTATGATGGTCCCACAAAAACAACCTTTAACAATAACCATACATACACACACATAATATATGGGGCTGAGGGTACAGCTCAGAGGTACAGCATTTACCTAACAAAGTTTGATCCTCCAGCACTAAAGAAGGACAATTAATTAATTAGAATGTCTCAGGCCTAGAGAGATGTCTCAGTGGTTAAAGGCACTGGCTGCTCTTTCAGAGGACCCAGGTTCAATTCTCAGCACCCATGAGGCAGCTCTTATATAACTAGGTCCCTTGAGATCTACTGCCCTCTTCTGGTCTCTGTGCAAACTGCATACACATGGTGCATATACACATACGCAGGCAGACTAAACCCTCATACACATGAAATAAAAATACGTAAGTCACTTGAGCCAGGCATAATTCACACCTTTAATCCCAGCACTCGGGAGGCAGAGGTAGACAGACCTCTGTGAGTTTGAGGCCAGCTTGGTCTACAAAGTGAGTTCCAGGATAGATAGGGCAACCCAGAGAGACCCTGTCTCAAAAAAAAAAAAAAAAAAGACAGAATCCAGTCATATGCCTAAAATCCCAATGGTTTAGAAGCTGAAGGAGAAGAATTTCAAGGTCATGGATAGCATGACTACATAATAAGACCCTGTCTCAAAATAAATAAATAATATAAAATTTAAAAAGCAATTGGGTCTGTGATCTCAAGCTCTGGCTCATGGAGCAATTCCATCCTGTGTTCTTTTCCACCGCTATACAGTCCTAGCCATGCTGCTGAGGGCCAGCGTCTCGGAGGTTTGGGATGTGATGGCATCTGTCTTACAGTAAGTTCACACCTGTGACTGGCCAAGGCTCCTGACTCAGCTGCACAGCCCGCTAACCCTGTGAGGACATCACCGAGGAAGGACTGAGGACACCTGAGCTGTGGCTTTCTCATTGCTAATGCAAGGCTCGGTCCTGAGGGAAGGGCTGGGGGTGGTAGGACAGGGCACACTCTGGGAGCCCCGTGGGGGGCATAGCTTTTAGCTCTCATCCCCAGACAACTCCCATGAGACTCCAGCACTGAGGGCTGCTGTCAGCTACTAAGTCTGAAAGTGAAAGAGCTCTGGGTGAAGGCTACCCGAGGCTAGCTTTGACGCTCTGAGAATGCAACACCAGCCACAGTGAGGCTGGCTGCAAAATAAGTCTCCCAGTGAGTCCAAAATGCAGTGTCTAGAAGTGAGGAATGGAGGGTATAAATCAGTGAGCAGAGGGCTGCTGCTGAGCATGCCCAGAGCCTGGGTTCAATGGCCAGTGCTGCACAGACTGGGTATCTCGGCACACACTTGGGAGGCGGAGGTGGGATCATCAGAAGTTCAAGTTCATCCTTGGGGTTTGAGGCCAACCTGGGATACACAAAACCCTGTCTCAAAAAAAATAAATGCCATTTCTAGATCTTTCCCAAGAGACTCTAGATCTGAGTGTTTGGAGCAAGATGGAGGAACCAGCTAGTTAGGTTCAGCTATCTCTCCTCTCAGCACCTCACTCTCCTTATTTGTAAAGTGATGAACCTCAGCTCCACTTACTAAGCTATAACCTTGGACAGCCAGTGTCCCACCTCTGGATCATAGCTTGTCATGGACATCGCAGAAATAACCATATGGTAGGGACCTGCTTTGTGAGGAGGAGGAGTAGGGACCAGGTGAAACATCACTGTTATGTGACATTTTGTTTGTGTTCTGACAAATAAAGCTTGCCTGCAGACCAGAGGGCAGAGCTAGTCACTAGTTAACCATAGAGGCCAGGTGGTGGCTCACACCTTTGATCCCAGCACTTGGGAGGCTCACACTTTTGATCCCAGTACTTGGGAGGCTCACACCTTGGATCCCAGAACTTGAGAGGTTCACACCTTTGATCCCAGTACTTGGGAGGCTCACACCTTGGATCCCAGAACTTGGGAGGCTCACACCTTGGATCCCAGAACTTGGGAGGCTCACACCTTGGATCCCAGAACTTGGGAGGCTCACACCTTGGATCCCAGAACTTGGGAGGCTCACACCTTGGATCCCAGCACTTGGGAGGCTCACACCTTGGATCCCAGCACAATCAGGAGGTGGAGACAGGAATATAAGGCAGGTGGAGACAGAATCTCAGCCCCCATTGGGTCTGAGGATTCATAGAGATAAGAAGCCTCTAGTGGCTGCTGCTCTGCTTCTCTGATCTTTCAAGTTATCACCCCAGTATCTGACTCCTGGTTTTAACTGATAGGGCTAATTAGGGTCATGGATACACATCACACATGGCAACATTCACTCTGCTGCAGCCCATCCATGATGTCACTATAGAGCATGGTCTCTTGTCCTCTAGGAAGGCTCATCTCAGAGGGGGTGGGGGTGCGGGCGAGGAGTCTATGCTTTTCCTACCACCGGCCCAGGAAGCAGCCACACACACCCCAAAGCACCCAGGTGCAGAGAGAGAGCTCTTGCAGAGCTGCAGATGGTTTGATTCCAGAGTGTTAGCACCTAACTCTAATCTGCCTTTTGTGACTGCTACCTTTTGTCTCCAGTACCTTCCCTTTGAAATGTGTGAATCTTGTCTGAGAGTTTCCAAAGGTGCAAAGCCTATGCAAAACTTGGTTGGGGGAGAACCGGAAAACTGAAGTATTCCCTTAACGGAGTATTTGCATTTGGCACTGTCTCTTTGGGGAGCTTAGATTAGAGGTTTTGGTATACAGAAATTGACTTGCTAAGGTGTAAATTGGGGGGGCTGCAGAGATGGCTCAGAGGTTAAGAGCACCAACTGCTCTTCCAGAGGTCCTGAGTTCAACTCCCAGCAACCACATGGTGGCTCACAACCATCTGTAATGAGATCTGGCACCCTTCTCTGTATACATAATAAATAAATAAATCTCTTTTAAAAAAAGGTGTGAATTGGATAACAATAAAAAGGCCCTTTGCTAAGGGACAGTGACTCAGTCCAGAGAGACTGATACCCCTGCAGCTGGAAAGGCTAAAAATCATCCTTAGGTGTGTGCCTCTGGGTCTTCATTCCACGGACTTACGTGAACCCACACCCGCAATATAACACCCAGGCGTCTCCTGACCAAGCCCAGGGCCTCAGTCTCCCCTTCTGAGGAATGGGGTAATACACCCATGCTTGGGAGAAGGGATGAAAAGTTCCCGAAGTCAAGTACCCAAGACTCAAGCAAGTGTCCCAAGTGTTGGCTTACCCTCCCTCTGAAGTGTGAAGAAGAGTCTGAAGCCTCCAACCAAGGCAAGGAGCCTACCCACCCCCCCCACCCCCCACCCCCCACCCCCCACCCCCCCCACCCCCCCCACCCCCCCCACCCCCCCACCCCCCATCCCCCCACCCCCCACCCCCCACCCCCCCCCACCCCGGCAGCCCACAGGACTCACCTTCTCGATGACCCTATTGCCTCCAAAGCGGGTGACAAACTCAGCTGGGGACGCTACGGTGAAATCTCTGTGCAGGTCCAGTTTTTTATGTTCACGGCCTCTCTTCACCAGGTGGAGTCCAGACATGCTGGGCCTGCGCAGGGGAAAGACAGGAGCCATGAAAGAGGAAGCCTGGGGCCTCCAGGGTACGGTTGGAGCCTGGGCCTAGGAGGGCAAAACCAGTGTCCAGAGAGAGTGTGTGTGTGTGTATAGGATGCACACACACACACACACACACACACACTAAACAAATACATATAATTAAAACATAAAGCACATCACAATACCGCGGAGGCCCCTGCCTCACTCCTCCGTAACCCCATGAAAGGAAATCGCTGGTGACTCTGGCGTTGCACATCTTCAAGGTCCTACACCACCTGTACATACAGACACCGCTGCTGAGTGGCAGAGATGCTTTCTGAGTGAAGTGTAGTTAGCTGACACTGTGGGGACACCTAGCACGTGCTCACCCGACTTAGGAAAGCCACATCACAGGTCTGCAATCTCTTTTTTGGAACAGTGTCTATATAACCCACGCTAGCCCAGCACTGAGACCCTCCTGCATCAGCCTCATGAATAGCAGGGACCTGCAAGGCCTGGGCCACCCCACAGAGCAGGGGTAGGATCACCACCAACTGATCATCACATATGAGGCTGTTTGCTGACTGAAGCAGCATCATTTGGCGCGCGCATATGCATATGCACACACACACACACACACACACACACACACACACACACACACACACACTATCCTGAGCTGTCCGTCGGAGATGCCGCCTGTGGCCTTCCCATCTCCAGACAGGAGGCTTAGCCGTCACACAGCTGCTCTGTCCAGGCCCCTCTCCAGTCTCCTGCACAGCAATGCTTCGTTCAGCCTGCTCGTTTCATAGATGCGGGCAGGGAGACACCACGGTCATTTGTTCTTTATTTTCTTCTGGAGCAGATGATTTTTGTTGTTGTTTTTGCTCGTTTTTTTCAGACAGGGTTTCTCTGTGCAGCCCTGGCTATCCTGGAACTCACTCTGTAGACCAGACTGGCCTCGAACTCAGAGATCCACCTACCTCTGCCTCCGGAGTGCTGGGATTAAAGGTGTGCACCACCACCGCCTGGCGCAGGTTTTTTTTTTAACCTTCACTTGGTGTTCCTTGTTGGTCCATCCCACTCTCCTCAAAGATGCTCAGATAGGAGGCTAACTCCTCAGTGCCATCCCTCATGGAGGCTTGCCTCTTCGTTCACCCGACTGGCACCATGGATGTCCGTCCTTCCTTCTGCCTTTCCTCAGAGTGAGATTCTAATTTGGGGTGACCAGTGGGCTCCCTCTTTCTGGGAGCACTCCCTTGTTTTGCTGGCATGTATCCACTAATAGCTTCACATGGTCAACAAGACAGTGTGTTTAACAGCAGTGCGCAATGATGACATCATCGACCCACTGACACACACACACACACCCGACTCCCAGGTCCCCTTGGCTTCCTGATCACCACCACCAGGGTCCTGACCACACGTTGGATGCTCTGCTGTGGTCATTGCTGCTGTCCCTGGTGTCTCCTGCTGTGGGATGTCTTTCTTTTATGCTGTGAGCATGTGTGGCTCCCATTGGATAATAAATAAAGCTGTGTTGGCCTATGGCAAGAAAGCTTACATCCAGGTGGGAAATCCAAGAGAGATACAGAGAGGAAAAGGGTGGAGTCGAGGGAGACGTGAGCCGCCGCCACCAAAGGAGCAACAAGATGTCAGCAGACCGGTCACACCACAGCCATGTGGCAACATACAGATCAATAGGAATGGGTTAATATATGATGAAAGAGCTAGCTAGCCAGAAGCTGAAGCCATAGGCCATACAGTTCATAATTAATATAAGCCTCTGAGCGATTATTTTATAAGCAGCTGCTGGGCAAGGCAGGACAGGAGACATTTCCGTCTACAGTTCCCTATGGTTCCCATGGAAGAAATTCTCAAGGAGCTTTCTAAGAAAGCTGTGGAAGGGAGGGTAAATGTTCGGCTGCTTTGCATGTCAGGCAACTGTTTTCCTTCTGCCCTTGGGCTCAACCCCATCATTGATCTGTGCTGAGCTGTAGGAAGGAGAACTTTCTCCGGAGTCTGGGGAGCCTCGGCTGTGGTGGTGTCAGGGCCTCCGGGTGGTTTTTTCTTGCTGTTTGGTTTGTTTGTTTCTTTGTTTGGTTGGTGGGTTTTAATCTCTGACCTTTGGTCAGTGGCCTTGTTTTTCCACATTTGGAAGCTTCCGTGTTCTTCTGTCCCCTGTATTTGATGGTGTCATGGTGTGCACAAACACTTCTGTTTCTGTCAGTCAGGCTGCGGACTTGCCAGGCCTCTCTATCTGGTGTCTTGTTTCTTCACGGTGCCAGGAATGGGACCTGAGCCTCACATGCTATGGTAGGACTCTGAGAGAGACCCCCAAAGCCCACCTTCTATAAACCAAAAATTAACACACTGGACTCTATCTTCAAATATCTCCTTACCTCTTTTTTTTTTGTTTGTTCATTTTTTGTTTTTTGTTTTTCGAGACAGGGTTTCTCTGTGTAGTTTTGGAGCCTGTCCTGGAACTCACTCTGTAGACCAGGCTGGCCTCGAACTCACAGAGATCCACCTGGCTATGCTTCCCAAGTGCTGGGATTAAAGGCGTGCACCACCGCAGCCCAGTTATCTCCTTACGTCTTATTCCTCCCTATTATACTCTGAAGTTTGGATGTTGAAGTTCAGAGGCTAGCCCACCACATTATATATTTTGTTGAAGTTCTGCAGCTAGCCCATGAGGTGATTCATTTTCTTCTATCTTCTGGGCGACGTCCTCAGCCTTCTTCTCTCCTAACCATCCCCGCACCAAAACTATTCATTTTGGCCCTTACATTTTCAACATCCCAGGGTTTGTTTGGGGGTCCGTGAATGTTCTCTTTTGGTTTTCATAGAGCATGTGTATTCATGTGTGCTCCTGTGGGTGCAGGGTATGTGTGCACACGCATGTGGAGGCCGGTAGAGGGCCTTGGGTGCCAATCCTCCAGAACACCGTCCACTTCCTCTGAGACAGTCTCCCACTGACCTGGAGCTCGCCAATTAGGCTGCAATGGCTGACTGCAAATTCCACACATCCTCCCGCTTCTGCCTCCCAGCCTTGATACTGATTTTTAAATGGCTTTGGGGGAATCAAACCCAGGTCCCCAAACTTGCAATACTGACTGAGCCATGTCCCCAACCCAAATGTCCTCTCCTTGGAGCATCCTGTTCCTTGACACACGATGGCCTGCTGACCCCAGTGAAGACAGTCGTGGCTCCTGCTTCAAGCACTCCTCTCCTGAATGACATCTGTTGTTTCCAAAGCCATAGCCATTCCACTGTCCCTTGAAGCACTCAGGTTTCCCACAGGGACATGAGGACAATAACACGCACCTCATTCAGTAGGGCTGCACATTTACCTAAGATTAAGAGAGGCTGTCCAAAGCCAGGGGATGGTGGCACATGCCTTTAATCCCAGCACTCGGGAGGTAGAGGCAGGCGGATCTCTGTGAGTTCGAGGCCAGCCTGGGCTACAGAGTGAGTTCCAGGAAAGTCTCCAAAACTACACAGAGAAACCCTGTTTCAAAAAAAAAAAAAAAAAAAAAAAAAAGAGGCTGTCCAGATCATCAGCAGAGGGAAAGAAAAGGGCTCAGTGTGACATGTGGTGCACACCGAATTAATAACCACACCAGAAAAATCACAGTCCACCTGCTCCTTAACTAACAGGAGCAGCAAGCACTCACTGAGCCCACTCCATGAAGCCCCCATCTGAACTCTATTCTCCTGGACCTTCCCTGACAGGCTGACATCATCCTGCGTCAGAAAGCCTGACCCCTCCCACAGACACACAAACCTTCCAGCTCCTGTGAGTCGATGGAAACGCCACATAAAGAAAAACTCCATTTGAGGCCCAGAACCATCTGTGACATCACTTTGATTTTAGGCTGGTGACGGAATCCCTTCATCAGGCAGGCCGTGAGCATCCCTGAATACCATCAAGGAAACAGGCAAGGCTGCAGGGGTGGCCTTGTTCCAGGCGCCATCTCCAGGCACAGGGTTATTTTGATTCTTTTTTGACAATACTGGAGGCCTACCAATGCTGGCTCCAGACAGACGACCTTCCCCTGGCACTTGAGCCAACTGAAGGAGAACTTCCTAAGTGCTGTGCTCTGGCCCAACGCTAAGCCCTGACCTTACACAGAAGGACAAGGGTGAGGGCTGAAATGTTCCACGGTGGCTTTGGAAACGGCTTCGAGTAGCAATCAACACCAGAGGTGCCAGCCCAGCCAGCTGCTGGAGTACAAGGCCAGGCAGTGCTGTCCTGGGAGGAAATCAATGTAGTCAAGGGCGTACAATGGCCTGGACCTTCTCGCGGTAAGACTTCTTACCACTCTGTGTATGAGAGGCTGACGTCTGTTCTCAATAAGGAGACAGAGGTTCAGGGAGGCTCAAGTCACACAGCTGACCAGCAGCAGAGCTGGGTGGGTAATCCAACCCTATCTAACCTCAGAATTTAATATTGAGGCAGGAAAGATTGATTAGGGTGCAAAGATAAATCCTGCATCACCTTGGAAATAAGAGTGTGGGCATGGGAGCTGTCGAGCAGAGCATTTCTGCTCCCCAGGGGGATATGTGACAATACCTTCTTGGTTGTCACGACTCAGGGAGCGTGGTACCTAACAGGTTGAAATCAGAGATGTTGCTCAGCCCCCTACAATGCACAGGGCAGCCCCAAGCACCATCAGAGCTCCAGCTGGGAAACCTGACTGGCCTAGAACCATCCTCCTGAGTGAGTGACTTTCTGTTCAGGGATCAGCTGCCTACTGCCCGCATGTCCCTGCAACACCCCTCCGGTGTTGTGTGCCTCCTCTCAGAGAATGAAATATTCGGAAGATCTGAAGCAGGGAGTGGCGACGCACACCTGAAATCCCAGCACCTGGGAGGCAGAGACAGGAGGATTGTGAATTCAATGCCAGCCTGGGCCACATGGAAAGTCTCTGTCTCAACCAAATTAATTCAAGGTGGGTCTGCAGGTTAAAAGCACTTGCCACAAGCCTGCCAACCTGAGTCTGAACCCTT